CGCGTCATTCCCTCACAACAATGTTCTTATCACCTGCAATCTTCTTAGAATAAAAATATTTTAATAAAAACTTTAGCAGTTAACAACTGGCATCATAGAACAAAATTGCAGCATGTTTCCATATTCAACTTAAAGAAGCTTTGCTGTGGAATAAATTTGAATGAATCAAACCAGGTAAAATTTTTTACATTTGTCATTCCCTCATGTCCTTTCTTAGAGTAAAATGAAATACAACTTCATTGCGAAAGTGGATAATTATATGTTGCTTTCTTGTATGAATATAATTGTGTGTGATTGATTTCAGAAATTAATTAGGCCTAACTGTTATTTTTAAATTTTATTAAATTTGTCATTCCCTCACTAGTGTATAAAGTGAGGGAATGATTCAAGATGAGTATATTATTAAATTTTTTGTGTTTAATCGTGCCAGCCAATTTTATTTCCCAAACCTGTAAAAACTATTAAATATATAAAACTAAATTATAATATATATAAAATGTACTTAGTATGTTATCACTTTCAAACTTGAGGTAGCTGTAACTTAGAGAAAAACATGTATTAAAATAAAATATTCCCTCACTATTAATGTCATTCCCTCACTTTTTAAAATGTGAAATTAAATAATTTATTTAAATATTAAGTATAATTTAAAGTATATATACTTTCTTTATAATGCCGTTACATATTTCTATTAATATAAAAAGTTTCAGAGCTTTTTATTCACTTTACTTTTTTGGGATTTCATGAACTGAAAAATGACAGTTTTCGTGAGAATGATCCATATACGAGGCCTGTCTGAAAAGTATCCGACCTTTGGCCAGAAAAAATATTTCGAATACCTGACGGAGTTGGGACCCTAATCCCCTTCAAAGTAGGCCCTTTGTGCTTCCACACACTTAGCCCACCGATTCTTCCACTACGGGAAACACCTCTGAAAGTCTTCTTTTGGAATGGTGTTCAGCTCTGTCGTCGCGTTCCGCCTTATCTCTTCTCTACTCTCAAAACGGGATCCTTTCAGTGGCGTCTTCAATTTTGGAAACGCAGGGGGCCAGGTTTGGGAAGTAGGGAGGTTTGTGAATGGTTGTAATTCCATGTTTGGCTAAGAAAGTGTGGATCAATTGGGATGAATGTTCAGGGGCGTTGTCGTGATGCAAGTGCCAGCTGTTCGCCGTCCAGTTTGACAGTTGTTCATCGGTTGAACCACTCCTTAATTTGTGTTACACCCATCGCTTCTTCTCCAAACACCTGTTGAATCTTACGAATTGTTTTGCTTTGAGAATCACCAAGCTTTTGACAGAATTTGATGCAGTATCTTTGCTCAATTCGTTCAGTCATCTTGGGAGGAAACTAAATCCGACGAACACTACGAACAGCACCTTACTTGGCGACCACCAGCCAGCGACTTGCACAAGCGAATGCGGTGAAAAAATTCAAACACGCGCATTAAGGTTCCTCCTTCCACCGTGCACTGTGGTGCCGCCTTAGAATCACTACTTTGCGAGGGAAAAATTAAGGTCGGATACTTTTTAGACAGACCTTGTATATATTAAAATTAGAAGCACAAACTTTGCTGAATAACACAAAAATAAAATAAAAAAGAGATCAAAACATAATAGAATGTTATGCATAAAAAATAGGTTATATAATTAATTTATAATGAATTAATTTAAAATTTCCCTGTAATCATTTATACTGTTGTCAAACTTACATCTTGTTTTTAATTGAAAATCTTTCAATCTAACCAGCCTCATTTTAGTTCCTTGATTGTTTGCTAAAGATGCTAACTTTGTATCAGAGAGATACCACTTGATATCAAAAGATGATATATTATGAAATTCTCTGCCAAACTTGTCCTTAACAATAACTTCTATCTCTAAATTTTGAGCACTATGAACAGCAATCTGAATGAAGAACAAAATAAAACACATACAATTAATTACATTTCATTTACAAAATGAAAGAATTAAAAGTAATTAGAAATAAAAGTAGAATGCATGCTATAAAGAATATGAGCACAGTGAAATGAAAGGTACAGCCTTATAAAAATTATTTGTAGATGAATTTCTATTTAATTTTGTATCAAACTATCAACATAGTCTTGGCTTATTTACAAGACTAAATGTCTTTGCATCAAATGTATGTCTAACTATGCATAAAAATCTAATGATTGTTTCACTATTTTCCATTGTTGTCAGTACATTTATATGGCCAAAAAATCGCAAGATAGGATCCAGTTTTCCCAGATTAATTTCCATATTTTTTTGGTTGTCATCAGCACAAAGTTAATAGAAGTCATAAAGGTATCGTTTTCCAGTAAAATATTATTCCATTCCATCATATTTAAAGGTATTTTATTTATTTACCTTCAATATTATTTTTCTTGCCTTATTATTACATTTTTGATTTTGATTGTTTTCTAAATCAAGAGTTTAAAACTAAAGGAGTTGTTTCTATATTATAATGCATTAGCTTATTATGCTACAATTTAAGATAAACTTATTTGAATCAGTATCTAAGCTTATTAATCATTTTAAAACTGCTATTTTGTGGTGTAAATTCCACTAATTGACTATTAAAAATTACTATCACCAAACTGTCAATTTGCACGCTCTCATTTTTCTGCGGGGCAAAAGATCTCATACAGTGCTACCGGTACATATTTACAGTTTTGAAAGACAACATTATTACGATACGCAAAATTGTTAACTTTAGTTATCCCTTTTGACGCTCTTCCAATGACTTTTCTATTGTTTTTTTCGATAAATAACCTTAAAAACGTTAAATGTACTTAAAAAAATCACTATTTCAGAAACTGTGTGGAAATGCGCAGTAAAGACTACCTTATTTGTGCAAACCTTATCGTAAATCTAAACTACTTTTGATCCTTTTTTATTGTTAGAATTTTTATGTTAAAAGGGATCTTTGTGTAAAAAATGTGATGTGATAAAAAAAAATTCCATGACTTTTACCATTGTTGAAATTAATATTTCAATATATCTAAATTTTTTTCTGAATTTAATAAAAAATTAGTTTTGCAATCTTTAATCTAAGACATTTAAAAAAAATTTATAACAATAATAAACATTTAAAAACAAATTCATTGGGACACACACAGCACAAATCATAATAATTTAACTAGTAAATATCGATTAGACAGGAAATTACGGCATTATGAAACATCAGTTTTTAATAATAAAGTGGGGAAAAATAATTATCAATAACTTACATGGTTTTCTGTACTTCTTGGACATTTCCCATGAACTGTTGAAAGAATGGGTTTCAAATGCATAGATTCAGGTTCAGAGCATGAAATTCTAAAGAAGAAAAAAATACCATAATTAAAACTTATATTCCTATTGAAGTTCAATTATAAGATTGTGCAAAATGGAGGAAAAACATATCAGTATAACATGTGAGTTAAGACTAGTTCATCAAAAGTGCTACAACTTTCTTTTTGTACACCTATTTTGAGCAATGGATTTGAGCAATGATATTAAATTAGCTATTTGTGTGAGCCAACATTTTTGTTTCAGTTTTTGTGTTATTGATTAATTAATAAATTTTAAAAAATGGGGGATTGGAATGGGGGAAATTTGAGAAAAATATTAGTTTTAGCTTTATATCAATGTCTGATAAAAGAGGAAATCAACTTTACAATTAAAAGAAAATTAGCATGCTTTATAGAGAGTTATATTTACTAATGGTTAAGCACTAAGTTGTTGTTGGTAAAATAATAAATTAGAGATTTTTTCACAATTTGAATTTTTGCATGTCGCAATAATATTGTACTTAAAATATCAAAAACTAAGTAGTAGGTTAAACTTTCAACTGTTACAACTGCCAAAAACACAACATAAACTGTAACAACTACTGAAAAATGATCAGGAATTCGTGAAATAGGATTGCAGTAGAGTTATTTCTTGAGTTCAAAATTCAACATTGCATTAAAAATATTGGAATTTGAAAGACGTGGAAATGACCCAAAAATGTTTTACGATTGCCGAAAAATATTGGGAAATGACGTTGATTTACTATGGAATCATTGTAAATAAATTCAGTCAAAAGTGATTACTTAAATCTGAAATTTGTGTGTCAAAATAACAGTAAAAAAATTCAAAATGTATAGAAATCACATGTAAATACAAAAATGGTTCGTATCTATGATGAAATTGAACAAAAAGTGATAACCAAAATTTAAACATTGCACATCAAAATATAATCAAATTAAAAGTGTTGGAATTCAAAAAATGGTTGAAAAAATGAACAGAAAATAGCATAGACTTACGATGGAATCGTCTCATCAAAAAGTAACACTTTATATGTGCAAATTGTGCATTGGAATAAGCATATTAGATTTTGATAAACCTTGGAGGAAAGACTTAAAAAACAATTGATAGCAGCCAATAAACGATGGGGAACTAATGTGTATTTAAGATGGAATTTTAGTGAATCAGACGCTTCAAAAATATATAACTTATATACATTATTTCTGTTCCCCCTTTTTTTTCAATCTTTTAACCAGATTAATTCCTCGATGTAAAGACAACAATCCTTAGAACAAGTGGAAAAAACATGCAACTCTTTACTGATCAGGTTAATTGTAATAATTCAGTTCATTTAGATAAACTGTTAAAATACAATAAGTTCTAAATATAATAAATATAAACTGTATAACAATAAAAAATTACAACAAACTGAAATGTTAAAATATGTAGATTGGGCAGTTTTATAATTACTCTACAATTAAAATTACTTTAGACATATTTAATATTTAAAATAAGGTTTAATAATGAAAAATAAATTTACAGCTTAATGATAATGTGCAAAAAATTTACAAAAACAAGTTGTGAGAAATTAGGAAGCTTAAAAAAATAATATTTTTCATTTAAAAACAATACATTTCTGCAATTCAAAATAAATCTCATATACTTAATAAAACTAATAACAATATGAGAAACAAAACTAGATCTTACTTGACCTGTGCTTCATTAACTGCAGGATTTTTATTAGAGTCACAGGGAAGATTACCAACTTTCAGTTTATATGCCTTAAAAAATGTAAACATTTCTTTTTTTAAATGTTTAATTACATGCAATACAACAGTTAAATATCAAATAAAATACACAATAATAATGAAAAGAATTGATATATTCAACAAACTTAATATTAAGAACATATAAAATTAGCATTAGCATACATTAAAAATTAGGGAAATCATTAATTTTCTAGAAATGTCACTAATTTATCTTCACACTCAAAGGAAGGATAAAAACTTATTTAAAGCAGCTGTATTTTTTTTAGGAATGACTTAGAAATGAAAAATAGAGAGGAAGACTGATGAGAACTAAAGCTTTAGATATTTAATAACTAAAGTAATTAAAAGTCTAAGGCATTAAACAGAAGAAAAAAATCTTACTTTTTCGCCATAGCTCTTACAAAAGGCATGAACTCTATGGACATCTGAAATATTATAAGTAAGTCAGTACTTGTGTTAAACATAATAATAATGTGTATATTTATGTATTAAAAGGTAACAGCAATTACCAGATACGTCAGATTCATTTTTCACCACAAAAACATCAACAAAATCATAATCTGCAATTACTGTAAAAAAGAAGAAAAATAAGTCTTAGCAGAGGGAGACAAAAATATAATTGAAAACATATTCAATCAAGATCTTGAATACAATGGTTAATCAATATCGTAAACTAATTTATGAATTGCATGTTATGTTAATCAAATAAAATATTTCTTTTCATATATTTAAGGAAAGAGACGTTCTAAAAGTTCTCGTCAAAGCCCATAGCCCCATTCTAAAATAAATCATTATAACAACACTCCTATACCAATTCGAAAAGTTGGCAATTATATATAAATGCTGTGTAACTATAAAAAAACTTTCAAAATTTAACATGTTCTTCAATATAGGTACCAAATTCTATATATACAAACAGCACAGTTGCCAAGAACTTAATCAGCTGGAACAATATAACTTTTAAATGTTTAATTGATAGTATACATAGTAAATCCTCGGTTAATCCGAGCCCCAACTTTTCGCTTTAATCGAGATATCAAATATTTCAAGGATTTTTTTTTTGGCTTTATATTCATTTTAAAACTATAGGAAAAAACACCCTTTTTTTCAATGATGATCATAAATATCATCAATAAAGAAAATGATGATGACAATAAGTAGCATTGAAAATTGACATATAAGAATCTCCCTGACAGGTGGACTAAAAGCAATCGAAGGTGCGATTGAAAATATAGAACAGAAAACACCCCACCAGTAATCCTTATTAAAAAAAAAACATTAAATATTGCAGCAGAAGACACCTAAGTAACATAAATCAAAAACAATTAAAGACTTTAAGAAAGAACTCACTTAAAAATAATATGAATTTGATGTGTTAATGTATGTTTAATTTTTGCATTTTAAAAATATACAATTTGAACCATTTATTTTATCTATAATTTTTGCGCTGACTGAGTTTTTTGGCTAACTTAATTAGTCTAGGTAAACATTAACTTGGATAATCAGAACTCTACTGTATTTTCTAGAGAAAAGCAATTTTATTTGATATCTATATTTCAACACCTTACTTCTATTGCACATACCATTTTGGTTTTTTTCTTCTTTAAATATCATGATGTTATTGGGTTGTTTAGAAAGTAATTTCCTTTTTTCACAACAGAGGACTTAATATTTTTTAGCCAGCTTCACACCTAGGCCGCATAATCAATGCAGTATTCATATCAATATATAAGCCTTGTAAATGATGCAGGGCTTTCTTGCAGAAAAAATAAATTGACTCTACACCGTAGTTTTTTGTTAGTGCTTTTCCAAATATGGAATGTTAATTAGTTGCATTTTTGGTACATATTACTTTTCTACTATTGGAAATGTAAAAATGCTGTTCAAGGAAAGGAAAAAATTATCAATATGTATTGACAACAGCAACAGGAACGCCAGTGCAAAAACCAGCTTGCAAAATTTTAATAAATTAATTTTGACGTTGATGATGCAACCCGTTCTGAAAGGTAAGTTAAAGCTGATTAGAAACAATGAAGGCATTAATTGAAACAAATGGGCTACTCATGAGATCAAATTTATCAAATTCGAATTTGAAATGCTTAAGTTTATGGGTATAAGGGTTCCTCATGTTCTTACGGAAAATGTTGTGTCATTGTGTTGACACCTGTAATTTGTTTCTCAAACATCAAGAAAATCATCCATTCTTGACAAGCTCTTCTTTACGTCACTAGAGATGTGAAATCAACAATGCTCCGGCCACTACCAAATGTTTGAAATAGTAAAACCTTTACTTTAAAAGAGGTCAAAAATCACCTGGATCAATTTTTGTGAGAAAAGGGCAAAAGTTTTACGAGCGTGAAATCACGCATCATAATTTGCAGAAAGAAAGGAGAAAATAAAAGGAAAACAAAATATTCAAAATAGAGTTCTTACAAACTAAATGTTCTATTATTATACAAAAAAACTTAATTTAAAACTTTTTTTAAATTTGTATTGTTTTTCACATCAACAAATTCAGTCAGAAAATAAATGGTTTCCAAAATTACGTAAAATTAAAGGTTCTTCTAATATGAAATTCATAAGACAGGTAATTAATTAATAAAATTAAGTATATCTTTTCTGCCTTCAATAAATAATATGTGATGAGCATTCACTTACCATCAACAAAGTGAGAAGAACATGTTGGCCAAGGCCTTGGTCCGCCTTCAAAAATTATATTTAATGACGAACCAACTGCAATTACTGCTTCATTGCTTGGATTGACAACCTAAGAAAATTAATTTTAAAAAATTTGAGATATATCTGAGATATGGCTCTTAATTGCATTATTAAGTTGATTATCAGTTTTGGGTGAATTATGCAAAAGAAAATAATACAAAATATTTCATTTTAGAAAGAAAAAAAAGCATCAGTTCAGTTTTAACAAATAAATTTGATCAAAACAAATCCAGCAATAAAAAAAAAGCTCTAAACCCATGACAGCTTGAATTAGATACGATATACCCAACAAGAAGTATCTTAACGAACACTTGTTTCCTATCTCATGAAGAGTCAAGTCCAATTGGAAGGGAAACTTAATTCCCTTGGAATCAGTTTAACTGATTACCGATTTGAAAATAATGAGAAATATGAATATAAATATACTTCTATGTCTATATGTGTGCTCAATTTGTTAAAAGAATTATAATTAAAAAAAAATAACCCAAAGAAATTTTCTTGAATAGTTTACAATTTATAAGCTTATTTATAAGCTTATTTTAAATCCAAAAATAAATATACTTGAAAAAACTTTGTTGACGAACTAAGTCTTTCAGAATCATCTTCTATTAAGTCATTCTAATAATATCCAGGATTTTAGAAAAAAAAATCTTGACTTTTTAACACTTAGATACCGATTAACATTTTTATTAAAGTGATATACAGATCCCTCACTGTGACTTGTGTAAATTCAATCTCCAAATCCTAATATTGTGATTGATATAAGCATATTTTAAGAATCATACAGCATGAAAGGAATTAATGTGAACCATACATTGTGATTTAAGTTCAGAAGTCACATATTGGAATAATATGATGCATGAATATAATGAAGTTTATATAACACAAACCCAATCTGTAAATAAAATTCACATTCTTATAATTTTTTAAAATACTTAAATTAACTTGGGAACCATGCATTGTGATTTCCAACAAGTATGTCTCTTACTCATAAAAATATAAACAAATTGTTTCAAAACAATACATTTATTATTATTAATTAAACACATCTCTGAAGAAAAAGATGGTACATTGCATATGGATCTTTAAACAGAGAGTGATTACACAAGCACATGGAACAATATAATAATTTTTAAAAAAATTTATGAGATTTACTCAATTGCCCATTTTTACTTATATACTTAATGCTCATGGCCTGCCAAAATTGCTGCAGATAAAATGCAGTTCATAGAAATAATATAAAATTGTTATAAGTGCATTGAGATAGCAAGTTTATAAATATAACATAAAAGTAATTGTAATAACTATACTGTACTTATACTGCAAATGACACAGGCAGTAATAATAAAATTATCAATTCAGATATAATTTGTAGCTCCTGAGGATTATTAAATAAAATATTTAAATTTGATACTAACTCTCAATTTCTTGTAACATGCCACTATGGCAGCTTTCTTTAAAGATACATCCTCACGTTCATATTTTACACGTATGCGATTAAAGCCTTTAGCAACACATTTCAGTAAAATGTTTCTACAGGCTGTAGGTTTAACAGGTACATTGATATCTGTAAAAAAATAAATTCATAATATGCAGAGCGCTGGAAAAAGAGAATATTTTATAAACAGATAAAATATTAATGAAAATTATATAAGTTACTAATTATTTCAATCGATATCATAAATCACAAAAAAAAAAGATTGAAAAATTGATTTGCTCTTTGAATACATTTAATTTGTAATGTTTAGAAAATTTTTACAAACATTAGATCATTAATGTAATAAATAGCAACAAAAAAATTTTTAAAAACTTAAAATTTATTTTTTTATTCAACCTTTTATAAAGTACTATACAATAGTATGGCAAAACTAGCTGCAGATAAATAATAAAATAATATGAAGATAAAATATTAACTCTATAGAAACACTGCAACCCCGGAATATTTCTTATTTCAAAAATGAAAGTATATTTTAAATAAATCATGAAATTGTACTATGTCAATGCAAAATTTGTACCAAATTTTTTTTTATTATTTTATTTTTATAAATGCATAAGAAAAGTATATGGAAGCATAAATTTGCAATATTTCAAAAATGTTCATAATACAAAGATAATTTTGCGTCAGCTGATTTTTTTTTTTTTTTTTTTTTTTTTTAAGAAATAAGCATGTTTAAAAACTGTTTTATGAAATAAATATTTAAGGGTTTAAACAGCAATGACATCGCAATTTTTATATATATTTCAGTAAGTGTATGTAGACATGTAGGTGCAATACATTTATAATTTATTTATAATTAAGACAGAAAAAATTAAGTAAACAAAGTTACCAACAAACAAAAATTAAGCAGCAGTTAGAGAATAAGTAGAGTAATTTAAAAATCTAATTCTAGTTAACTAGCTATGAATATTCTTTTAAGAAAAATAAATCATAAATGTAAAAAAAGATAAACTTGCTTCCATATCATCCTAATTTTTCAAAACTTCAAAAAATAGTTCACTAAAAGAACAGTTTGATATACAATATAGCTTGAAAATAGAGAATATCAAATATCCTACAATAACAATAATTCAAAGTTTTACTAAAATAAATTATTTTTTAACAACACATATTGCTGTAAAAAATTTTAAAAAATCATCTTCATAATTAAAATTAAATCTCATCTTTTAAAGCTTTGAAAAAGTTTTAACATTTATATTTGGTAAAGCTTATATAACTGAAGAAAAAAAAATAGTCATACCTGTAGCTTGAATAAACTTTTGTAATTCATCAATTTCAACCATTAATGGAATGCTTGAACAGTTTGTAAACAATTGAACTGTTTTATCTGCAAACAAATAAGACTTATTAAAATAACCAGGAAAATTAAAAAATTCAAACAATAAGTAAAAATAAAAGAAGAAAATTACCGTATGAATAGCCAAACATAGCAACAGGCAAACTTAAACTGCCATTCAATTCAACTTCTACTTTATCAGGTAAAATTTTCATATCAATAATGCGTTCAACTGATACCTACAGGTAATAATAGAAATAATTAGAGTTAAGTATAATAACAAGGTGGCCAGAGTTCCAACAACACAGAAAATCCCTAGTTTTCAGAATTAAATACTAAGAATTTTACAGATTTTCATGATTTGAATTAGCCTAGCTTTAATTTCAGTTTCAAAATTTAAAAGTAAATTAACGATTTACAATAAATGCAGAAAATATTTTAACAGTAAAATTGCTCACTTTTTCCATCTTAAATTATTCACTACCTGATACATTAAAGTTTCGTAATATAATATAAACAATAATTTCTGCTGTAAATGATTCCTAATTACTTTTATGAAAGTTTTATTACTTTAATAAAACTATATTACTTTATTAAAAGTTTTATTACTTTAATAAAATTTTTATTACTTTAATGAAAAGTCTTGAGTGGGAGTTGCCACTCTTGATAAATATATTTTTTATATAACTTGTACATTAATATAAAGCGCAAAATAATATTTATGCAAAATTGTAGCAAAAATGAGTATAAATAAAGTCAAACAATATGAATAAATCAAAAATAAAAGCACAGAAATTGAAATACTTTATTTTAGGTTCAATAAACAAGAATATTCCTCAATGTCTAAATATAAAATGACAATAAGAAAGTAAGGATATAAACACTATGCATGATTGCCATAAACATTCAGAAAAAAAGTCCTTGATTTTAGCAAATTTACCTGACTTTTTGCTAGCAGTTATATAGTTGCCACTGCATCACACTTGCCACTGAAGTTAAAATAAAAAATATTTTGTTATAAAAATTATTGCGGGATCAACATTTTTGGAAAAATCTCACATTTGGTACCTCTAACAAATTCTTTCTAAATAATATTATAGGTATTTTAGTAAAATTCCCAGACTTTTCCAAATTGATAAAAATCACTGACTTTTCAGAGTTTTGTGGTCACCCTGCTATGTGATTAGAAAAATTGCAATTGTTTATTTACTTTCTTACTGCTTTTAGAGCTGAAATTATAGCATGTTTATTTCTGTACCTTTATTTGTACCTTATTCACACGCAGAACAAAGTATACACTACCCTCAATTTGAAATTGAGATAAAGCAGAGTTCAAGTTTGTTTCTTTTTATAATACTACCACAGTTCTGTATATTTGTAAGTCTGACACAAAAGATACGCTAAGATTCCATATGATATGAAATTTTCATGTATTTAAAAAAAAAATTGTATACAGCTATAAAAAAAAACATTGTATACAGCTCACAGCGATAAAAGAGATAATACTGAACATATTATTTCTAATGACTAAAGACTGACAACTAAGTCAATAGATGAAAGTTCAGATAAAAAGCAGAAGGGTTGCTACATAATATGAATTAAATAAGACATCAGTTCAAAAATAAATAACATGACACTCTTAATTTGGCATTATTCTATGCTTTAAAAAAATAATAAAGGAAAATGTTAAAGAAAAAAGTAATATTTATAGCAACTTGACTTAAAATAAGAAGAAAAAAATTACTCTTCCAGATCCAGTAAATGTAGGGAGATTAGCATCAATAGCATGGACAAAAAAGCTGCCAACACCATAAGTTGTAACTTTTGCTTTAGGTTCATCCTCGAGATACACTGACTGAACTGATCCTAAGTGATTATCTTCGCTTTTCCATTTGAAGCTACCTGTACCACCCATAGCCTAAAAAATAATAAAAAAAATTGAACAATAATTAAACAAGTGTCTGTTTAGTAGTGGAGTACATAAATTAGTACAGCGAGCACAGAATTCAATAACTTCACAATAGAAAATAAGACACAGCTTTTATGAGGAGGTAGAATGCAATTCCTTTTTTAAAAAAATAAAAAATAAATAAAAAACTTGCTGCCTTTGGATATTTTCAATTCAGTAACTTCATAAATTACTTACATTCATTAATATTTACTTACAATTATAACTAAGCAAGGATTTATAACATCAATAAAGTTTACCTTCAAGAAGATGGAATATACTGGCTTGGTTAAAGGATCCCACGGTAATAATGTTTCAGATGGTATAACTTTTATACTTTCATATATTACAACATCCTGTGATCCGCTTACACTTGGCTCAATCTTTTTAATAAGACCATCCTAATAGAAAAAATAATTAATGCAACAATGCATTTTGAAATTCTCAAAATTAAAAAAACAAAATCTAATAATAAATTGCATATAATACAGTGAAATCTGTTCCTCGGCAAATTAATCTGAATGATCAAGTACCAAACTGGCAAATGCAATTTACCATTTTTTCTAGGTAAATCATGATTTTGTTGTCCCACTGATGAGCAACTTACACAAGTTCACTAAAAAATTTATTGCCCTATATTTCTTTAAGAACAATCTAATAAATTGCACAATAATTATTAGTAAAAATAAGTCATAATTATTACTGTATACTGAAAACTATTTTCATACACAGCATGTAATCTGATTTTCCAAACAATTTTTTAAGTTGATAAAAAAATCCAATTTTCTTTCTAACAACAATATTTTTCACAGTATGTGGTTTAAAAAAAAAATCAGAACTTCTCAACAGCAATAACGTTATTAAATATTGATAACAACAAAAATAAAATACATACTATGCAAATAAAATACATACTATGTTTAATTTCCCGCCTGTTTAATAGTTACTACATTATGGTAGCATTCCTTTATTAGCAATTATATAATCAAACAAAACTTTAAATTGTAGATGCTTACTTAAATCCCACAACAAAAAGTTTTTTTTAATTTTATTTGAAAGAAAGTATACATGCGACAACCAAACACACTATATAAAAAGTAAATTATAATAAAATATAAAATAAATATTAACTAATAAAACTTTTCCTCATGATAACTGAAAGTAAAACATTTGAAAACTAGTAAATAAAAAAAAACTTTGTTTTTTTTTCCATCAAGCTATAGTTACCTCATCAGTAACACCTAAAAGTTGGGCTGTAATTATACAAGAGCCTGGTATAAGAGCCTTAATTTCATGATATGTCCCATTTGGCATCAGAGATTTAGCTTGAAAAAAATTTGAAGGGAATTGCACTGATACTCGCACATCCTAAAAAAAAAAAAAGATATTGTTTAATAAGAAAAATAGTCAATAGCATAAAAATAAATACTAAATGGATCTTACTAACTTTAGTCAAATGAATAGGATGACTGTTTCTATCATACAAATTAACAGTAACATAGTAAAATTTATTCTCCTCCAAACTCCACTTTTCTCCAGGATGAACAGATAATGCTGAAATAACGATATTTTAAATATGAATTATGGTTTCCAGTGAAAATTAACTGGTAAAATTATAAAAATTCAAAGCAATTATATTACTTACTCAGATAGGAGGGAGGGGTAACATGGATAACACCAGAAGGCAAATATGCAATTTCCTTGCCAGTAATATCTAATAATTGTTCAGGAAAAACCTACTACGTTATTATATTTATAACATTTCACTTTTACAATATTTTTCCAGTGCAAATACAGGAAAATAAATGATATGGTAGCAAATTTACAATCGAATTATAAGTTACCATAAGGATGTTTATTAATTACAAATATTTTGCTTTCATTACAAATGAAGATAAAGAATAAGGAGGTTCAATTTATGTCCATTTTAACAGAAAGGTCAATTGTATCACTGTTTGTTACACTTTGAGGATTACTAAGTTTTGTAATAAATATGGTGGAAAATTGATTCTCAAGAGTTTTTATATTCGTGGAAAAATGGACTGTTCTTTGAAAAAACAACTCCCAAATGCGAATGTTTTTTCTAAGAGTCAGTTTTCAGGAATCCTTTCTTCCTTCTTGATCTTAAAATAAGAAAATGATCACTATTTTAATTCCATTTAAAGCGTAGCTTAAATGAAAACAGACCAAGTGGTGCTGCTACAGAGATGTCATGCATTTTAAATCTCTGGTTATCTCAAAAACATTTTCTTAACAGCAATGAATTAATTGATCTTATGAAGCCTTGAATCCCTACACACTTAATATTGATGTAACCCTTTCATAAAAATTATTTACACCATTTGTTCTATATAATGTTTGCCATAAATAGCAGAAATGTAACAATAAGTGCTCACATTACATTCACCTTTCGCCACTAAAAGTTATATTGATGCATGTTGTTCAGTTCATCACATAAATCTTACTTTAAATCCTCTCCTGCAATCTGCTGTGCACTTACTTTTAAGAGTGCCACTGTTATTGTTATTGTAGTTCTAACAAGCACAAGGCAACTTTTATACAAACAGTAATAGTAATTAAATTTTTAAAACAACATTTAAATACAGGCGAAAGTTAATTTGAACATGTAACTTTTACAATTGAACTTTCAATATTACATTCCAATTTAATCTCAAGTATTTTATAAGTTTAATAGTTTTAGAATAAGAAAGGATACATTTGTCTTTCACAGCAACATTTGTAACTCCATACTTTAAAGCTGTCACAGTTGGAGTTTGATCATTTAACTTAGCAATGGATTTATCAACCACTTCAAGATAATATTGGTCAGATGGTAAAGATATAGCTAAAGAAAAATAGAACATGTATTATTAGTATATGCATGAAGAAAAAAATTTGTAGCCAGATTTGAAGTTGATCTGGTTTGAAATATATTTAATAAATTAACTAAAACAAACATTAACAAAATAAACATCCAACACCAAGTCATTTTGGATCTGTTAACTGACATTCTACAGATATTTCTATTGTTAAAACACATAAAATATTTTACAATAAAAAAAGAACTCTTCACAAATTATTTTATCATAAAAACGGACAAATCACAAAACATTTTAATTTAAAAATGGATCATTCACATTATTTTACAATTTGAAAATAGATCCTCCACAATTGAAAAATGAAGTGGATGGTGTTTTTTTAAAAAAATGGATCCTTCACAAATTATTGTAATTTAAAAACCGATCCTTCATAATATTTCTCACATTTTAAAACAGACCCTTCATAAAAATTCTTCTGAAAAATGGAGTGGATGACATCTTTTATTCAAAAATAAAGCCTTCAAAAAATATATTAATCTAAAAGTGGGTCCATCACAATATTTTTAACTTTAAAATAGACCTTTTACAAAATTCTTTAGAAAAATTTATTGGATATAGCCTTTTATTCTTACTTTCATATGTAACATAAAAACGTATTCTTCACAATATTTTTCACTTTTGGTTGACATCCTTTATCCATACTTTTAAAACAACTTCTTGAGATTTTTTTTTTCTGACAAAAATAGGTCTTTTGCAGAAAGACAGTTCAGAAAATTTACAGTTCAGAAAATTGTATGTAGATGTTTCACAAGCACACAAAACCAGAAACTTCAACAAACAGAGTCTAAACAGACCATTTACTTTTGTAATTTGGTTGAAAATTACAATAACAGGACCGTATTTTCACAAAATTATCAGAAAATTTTTCATAAAAAGTCTGGAATAACACCAAACACTAATAAAATCAGTCAATCAGTCACTTTAAAAATTAACTCCAGAAGCACAGAAACTCAACATTTAAATATCTGAAGTCATAATCAATTTCAAATTGTGTAACACAAAAAACAATGCTCAATTTCTAAGTAAATTTTAAAAATGGGGTTCAATAAATATGTAAAAAAATATATATACAGTAGGGAACCGATTATCCGGAACGATCGGGACCATCGCTATTCCGGATAACTGATTTTTCCGGTTTTCTGAATCGCTACAAAAAGCCATTTTTTTAATTGTTAAACCCAACTAAAAAAAAAAATTTGGAAATAATCTTAAAAAGAAGAAAAAAAGATGAAGTAATACACTAATGATTATTTCCAAAATGATGGTAAGGTAAACATCTTTCAAAAAAGAAAGAAAAATCCTAAAATCTTATGAGAAAAAAAAAATATTTTTTTAAAAAAATGGCGGGAAAATTAATCGAATTTCGTTCCGGTTTTTTGATTTCCGGATAACGGATTCTATACTGTATATATATAAATATAGTTGTAACAGGTGTTGTCATTCTAGCTGTGTGTTTAATAGTTGATTATGTTGGTAGATGAATAATTTATGAAAAATCATGATAAAATTTCATATAGAAATATTTAATATGTTAAATTAATAATTCCAATGTAAATTCAGTTTACAAACTTTGCAGTACATTTCGAGACTCTTTTTGATAACCAGCACAAACTGTAGTGGATCCTTAAAATAGTATTCACTCCTTAGTGTATGCATATTGCATATTCGTTAAGTTTAATTTTAAAACTGTTTCTTTTTTAACAATAAGTCAGTTATTTTTAAAATCATATTACTTTCAAAATTAAACGTACAGAACAAAAGTGAATTGTTAAACTTTGTGTACTGTAATTGTACATTTGTTGTTAAAAAATTAAATATAGATTTCGAAATTTAGAAATCACTCACATAATTTTTTTTAATCTTATGCCTTATCTAGGCCAATCAGACATGCACTTTCTTACTGTCCAATTACAAATGCAAAAGACCAAAAAGAGAAAAAGCCCAGTGCCAATCTTTTAATTTAGAGCACAGAAAGAGATATGCTGTAGGAGGTAATCAATCTGGAGGCTTGTCAACAATAAAAGGTAGCCAACAGCTATCTTCCTGGATAAATTAGGAGATATTTTGTTTTATTTTATCGAAGACACAACCAACTTTCTAAAGCAGCTATATTAATTACTATAATGAAGTTCTTTTTTTCTTTTTTTTTTTGTCTTTATTAATGCTTTACATCTTTTTATGGGAAGGTGAAAGAGATGCAAGGGCAAACACATTTGGCTAGTCTTCCTTATTACCAAAAATCCCAACATATATTTTAAGTGTAACAACCAACCTAGCAAAAACATATAATTAAAAAAACACACACATAAACACAATTACATGAATACTTACGGAATGCTTTTCCTTGCTTTATTAACTCCAGTTGGTACTCAACTTTACTTCCTGGTAATAAATAAATGTGTGATGGTTTCAAATTAAGATTAGCAACAACAACCAGGCTAACATCATATGGTGGAACATGCTGCAGAAAAAAGAAAAAAAAAGCTTTATTTAAATTTTATTTCATAACTTAGTAAACTCATTAAGCAGATTATAGGTTTGTTTTTCTTTTTTTAAATATATACACAAAAATTTAACTTATTCGACACAATCAAATTTATAATTAGTAAACTCATTCAGCAGATTATAGGATTTTTTTTAAATATATAAAAACCTAACTTATTTGTTACAACCAAATTCATTTACATAAATAGATTTCTTTTTAAAAAAAAAACTACAAGAATTTCAGTTTACAATAAGTAAAATTTTATAATTTCTTGTATTTAATTTTCCCTTTATTGTCAGTTTTCATTCTAAAATATCGACAAGAATTATGTCATTTCAAAAGTATGGCAGTTTATTTCAAATTAATCCCTTGACATACCATTTCTTGATATAGAAATGATCTTTGATTGCACTGTAAACAACAACTCGCAACGGAATGTTGATAGAGATGCCAACTGTTTCGGACAAACCAAAATAATTTAAAAAACGGCAAATAACTACAAACTAAATTTTGCACATATTTGACTATTTTTGATTCATTTTTAAAAGGTATAGCAGGACATAACTTCTATAAAGTGGCAAATTATATAAGCCTACGAATTGTTTAGAAATAGTGTTGGATAAAAATCTACTAAATTGAATTTATTAAACCAAGAATCACAATTGATAAACTCCCACTTTAAAATATTTATTTGCTGTCTGGAGCAAGTTGACATCTCTGTGTTGAAGACATCTGAGACACGTCAATTATTGTTTTGACTTAAGAAACAAATGACGTCTCCCAAACATCTTCGTATGTCAAAGGGTTAAGTACTAATGTAATTTTGGTAATTGAAAATTATTAACATTGTAATATATTTACAATAAATTTCTACGAATACAAAAAGTGAAACAAATTTTGAATAATTTGATTTGAACAAGCATGTCACAGCAGTCTTGGGAGAAAAAACTGAATATTGGATAATAACACATAATTTTAAAAAAAAAAAATTACAAATTACAAATTAAGCTATAATAAAATCAAAAATATTTGTTTGTAAATATATTAAGTAGTTGCTCTTTTAAGTAATATGACTTTTAGGTTGTTTCAAAATGTCATTACTTTTTGAATTCTCAATTGAAATCAACAAAGAGAATTTGAAGATTTAATATTCTGTTAATAAAATTGTCATTTGATTAACACTATCTTTTAATCAGAACTTAACACTGTCAATACAAGTATTTCACGAATTTCACATGCAACTAAATGTTGAATAAATATTTGTGAAAAAAATCCTAGTTTAACATTTTACTGTGGTTTAATGAATAGTAATTCGTCTGCTTAAATATCTGCCTAAAATTACAAAATTTATTGAATCAAGTACTGAATTAAATATATATAGTTCTGAACTGAAAACAGATAGTAAAAAGAGCATTTTAGGCATAAAATTAAAACTTTTTAAAATCATATAAGCATACCTTATAAGCCATATCAAGTGGCTTAACTGTAACTTTAGCTGAACCAGTTTTAGCTCCTTCCATTAAGACCATAGATCCATGCAAATTTTGTTTTTCCCAATAATCAATTGTTGGAGGAGTTTTATAAACTGAATCTGCAAACTTCAGAAACCTATACAATCAACAAACATAATTATAAGCATTATAACAACTTCTAATTTACTAGATAAATTTAATGTTATTTTGGAGATGCTATAAGTTTAAAGAAGCAGAAAAACATTGGCATACAAGTTGTGATAATTTTTATCTATTTATAGAACAGTTAGATGCCTTTTGTTTTTTGTAAAACATTAAGGAAAGTATGAAGTGGATCAAAATATTAGTTTAAGGGCTATATAATATTGTATTTTATAATAAATGTAAATATTAAAGTACCAGGAGTGTCCAAAATTACTTTTATACCAGGTCAAGTTTTCAAGAGAATCTAAATTTGCAATAAAAATGGCAAAGTTGGCATGCACAGTGAGTGAAGATGAGAGGTTGCGTTTGGTATTATTGATTAGTTTTAAAGAAAATTTGAACACATCAATTTTTAATATGTGGATCTTATGACTATTTAATATAATTTGCATCACATTTTAATTTTCGTCAATTATAACACCATCTATAAACCGTAATGTTTGAACCTACAAGATGATTTTGATTCTTTTCATTGAAGAACCCAAATGGGCAACAAAAAATAAAGGTTCTTGGTACATGTCCTAGAATTTGAAGTTGACCCCCACATTCTAAAAGTGAGTTTAAATGTAATTATTCTTCAAGATACTTGACCATTTCCTTACTTTTTGAACACTCTATAAAAACAAAGTGAAAATTTGTTGTTAAATATAAGATCCTAACAAGAAACTACTATGCAAGCAAAATTTGTTAAAGTATACCTTTACCGAAATAAAGTTGAAAAAAAGAAAAAACATCTTTTTTATAAATCACTAAAATAATTGATTTAAGTTATTTTTTAAATATAGTTACAGAAAAAATATCATCATTCTATAGGAGAACTATTGCAAAATTTATCTCACAAATATGCAATGAATCTTCATGTTGTTTTTTTGTAAATCCTTTTAAGCATAATAATGAATAATTTAAATATTCATTTCAAAATAAAGAAAATCTTATTTAATATAAATTTACATAGATAAAATAATAATAACCTTAGGACACCATAAGCATCATTTTCAAGAGAATCACTCTCTAGAGACCACTGAAAAGCTACACCAGCTAGACTTGAAAAAGTATCACCTAAAAAATACAGTCATAGTAATATAAATACAATCACTATGTTTCACATCTAATTGTTTTGTAATATATACACATGAATGAACAAAATGTATGAAAATTTAGGAACCAGAGCATTATGGAATAGAGAGAAGCGTTTGTATTTGCCCAATAGTTCAGTAAAATGTTGGCAAAAAAATAGTGTGTATACTTTAATAGGTGCATACAGAATAACAAACAGGACTCTATATATTGGAAGAGTTACTGAAAACGATTCACACTAAAGATGCCAGACTGTATAATAAAAAAATCCTTGCATCTTTATCAAATTTTGATTAATAATCAACCCTTTAAGCTTTATTTCTATATTTTTAGGAACATAAGTTGCAGGTTTTCTTGACTCCAAAAGCTTGTTTCTCCTATATCATTATATGCAGGGGTGCCACTCTAAAAAAAAACTTCAGTTCCATTTTAAGCAGCGGCTCAGTATTTAAAAGGTGCAAACAAAAGAATATCAGCAAAAAAAATAGAAAATAACTTAGTTTTATTGTTTTATAAGAAATAGATTTTCTATGTGTCAAATAAAAGGTATTCACATAACATTTGAAAATATTGGGGGGTGAAAGTTTCTTTTTTTTTTAAAAAAAATAACATTTTATGTGCATAAAGACAAAAGTTAAAATTTTAACAAATCATGAGGGGAAAAAAAAAACATTATTTGAATAATGATGATTATAGAGAAAGTATTAATTGATAATAAAAAAAATTACTTTGATCATTTTTTGCTACAACTTCAAAAGCTTCTGGGGCATCTTCCAAAAAGAGAACTCTAGTTGTTGTAACTATTTCAATAGAATGTATAGCATCGATCACTACATCACATCGAAGAAGTTGCCCAGACTCTAAAACGATAAACAAAAAAATTGAATCATTAATATATTTACATTCAAATAATTTTTCAATTTTAAAAATGAGCATTTTCCATGATATATATCTTTTATATGCTTTCATACCTTTTGAGTTTAAAATGTGTCAGAAATTTAAATGCCTTGTCGTTTTTTAAAATAACTGATAACAATTTTTTTACTTTTTTTAAATAACTGTTATCAATTAATTTAATGAAACTCTGCACAACTAGATAAAGCACTGATTTTCAGATAATAAAATTTTTCACAACCATGGCCTTACATTTTTAATTACACCACTTTTTTGCTCTGCTCAATGTTTTTAATAAAACAGAACCAGGACTTTTATAGAATTTGATAAGATTTTTCCAATTTGTAGCTTTTTTTTAAGTACTTAAAAATCTTATCAGAACTTTCTGCAATTATCAACTTCAGGGCTATTTCTATATAGTTATCTCTTTGCACCAACCAAGCGCAATGACCTATTTTTGTAAAGTAATTTTCGGAAGAAATTCCACACTATTGTGCGTGCAGCATTTGGGAAAACATATCTAAAATCTTCAATTATCACTGCTCGCACGGCCTTATATGTCCTATTCATGGGTGACACTCTAAAAAGATTTCAAGACTGAACTTGTTTTTTGACCAACTATCAGGGCCTAGTGTTATTTTGCAGAACTTTTCAGAAATTTATAGTTCATTTTCCATGAGAATAGCTCTCATATTATATGAATGGCTTGGATTATTTTTCTCTTTAAAAAAAGATGTTTTTTTTTTCCTAATTTTATCAGTTTATTTTGAACAGCAAAAAAAAAAAGTTTTTACACCAATTGCTGAGTTAAACCACCAACTTTTTTCTTGGAACCATTTAAGTATCATCAATGTTTGGCTCTAGTGCCATAAAATTCATTTTTTAAAAAAATAATCTTAAGTCAACTTTATCCAACATCTCAAAATATCGGAAAAAATCACAAACTGACAGGAATTCAGCAATACAAATATTGTTTACCCAAGCAGATGTTGAAGTACAGTCAATCCAATTCTCTTATTTTAGTGTGACATCATTTGCAATAATTATGAAAAATAACAATATTTTCCTTAAAAAGATTAATTTTTTAAAATTTATTCTACACTGCATTTTTAAAAGCAAAATTTTGTTTATTTTGAAAACTTGTAAAAATAAAGTCGGAATTGAAGTTGGCTGCAGTTAAAAGGATAGGAATGGAAGCAAAACACAAACATGTGGCGCTAGTGGCATTATCAATAAGAATGGCAAGAAATTTTTTTCTCTTCTTAACCAACGTGCTTTGCCTACCCATCCACTGTTAAGAAATAATTTCTCAAAAGGATGGAAGCAAAACACAATGCGCCCATCATGTGGCTCTGATGAACTGAACAATTTCTTTATGTTCTTTTTCGCATTGAAAATCATGCTTCACTTACTCGTCAACTTCCAAAACCAATCTCTTGCAGATGTGAGTTTGAATTTCCATTCGAGCTTTGCGTCTTTTACTTATTGCATGAATTTTCTTTTTTATTTCATGAGATTGTTTTAATCTGGGACACAGTTTTTCTGATTACCCAGAAGACCAACATTTTACAAGGTTCCACTTAATATCAGAAAAAAAATACCTGAATTTTCCAGGTATTTCAGGAAAACTTTTTATTTCTAATGTTAAATAGTAGATTTTGTGTGTAAAAAACCATTATTGAATGAAGATGGATACATGGAAGAATTTAACTAAAATGTGCAATTTTTACAGCAAATAATAGTTATAAATACTATAATAATTTAAATTCAACATCAACAGATTACTGTTACTGACAATTCTAAGATTGGTTATTTTCTAGGTATGATCTAGGAATTTTCTAGGTTTTTGTAAAAAAAATTCAACTTTTCCAGACTATTCCCTGCTTTTTTGAGTCAAAATAAAATTTCCTGACAATTCCAGGTTTTCAATAAAAAAATATTAGTTAAAAATTAGAAAATGTCTTTCTTCTGCTGAGCAATTTGATACTGATCCACTATGTTAGAAAATTTTTCGAAAACATTTATTTGATAAAAGCAATTTTTTGACTACAATTTTAGCCGCCAGATAGGTCAAATGGGTGGATACGACTGACATGACAAAAATTTTACTTTTTAACACAATTAGGCTGTGGCATGGAAATTACTGTGTTTGCAATAACCTTAAAATATATATATATAGTGGTTTGCATAAAGGCAGTAATATTTATAATTATTTGCGAGTTTTAACCTTTCTGTCTGCAGTTTTTATTCGCAGTCTGTCTGATTCTGTGATGTCTTTTTTTTTTAAGTTTAATGAAGTGAATTGATTAATTGAACAATTTGAATGATTAAAATATTTCTTCAATTTTAACTATGACCACTTACTTTCATCTTCAGCCAATATAATAGCATTATCTCTATCTGAATACCGAGAAACTGCAGAAACTAATGCTGTTGTTGAACAAGAAAAAGGTTCTCCTTCTTTATGGACTGGAGTTACTGACACTAAATCATACCTACTTGAACTCCTAAAAACAAAGAAAATTTATAATTTATTTATGTTTACAGTCTCCAGATAACATAAAAAACATATCACAAAGAAAAACTGTTAGTTACAGCATAAAAAGTGACATGATAGACACCACTCTACAAAAACTATGAAACTGCACAATTTTTAATGAATTTGTTAAATGCACACTATAGTGGGTGAAACCTTCATTAAAATACTTTTTCATTACTTAATATTAATTAAAGTATGCTTTAGATAGAGGGATACACTATTAATGTAAACTTTATTAATTATAATAAAATTACAAATATCAATAATTATTTATCCTTTCATTATCCTTTCATTAGCACTTTCAAACTTTAATTTTTTTCATCTTAATCGACTTCTATTTTTACAAAAAGACAGTCTAAGGATTTCATTAAAATTTTAAATTGGGTTAAGAGTCTTTTAATGAAACCTCTTAATATTTAAAAAAGAAAAAAAAAGATTTCAATAATTTTGAAAACAGTCAAACATTGAAAAAAAAAAAATACTTTGGGAATGATCTCCTCAGTAGGTTAAGTTGGTAAAAATAAAATTTTTAAAAAAAAAACGGAATGAATTTTTATTTGAATTATAACATTTTTGTTAACATATACAGTGTTTTCACTATAGAGCGAGAACGCGAGAATCTTTCATATTTTTTTCTTTTCTCGCATTAAAAAATTATTACCGCGAGAAATTCGCTCATTCTATAAGCCAATTTCAAAATTCGCAAATTTCTCGCATTTTGGAAAAAGTTTCGAATTACGCCATTTAGAATAAAATCCGTTTCACTTTTCTTCCTGGATCTTTCATTATTTTCAACATCTGCCCCACCCTATTTACCAGTATTGTTCAGAACCTTTAAGAACAACAGAACACCATCTCTCCGAACCACGGAACCTCTTTCAGAACGCATTTCTCTGCAACCACGTGTTTACCGAAAGTAAGGTTTCTTCATGCAAGACGTTCAAATTTTTTGCGCATTAATGTAAGGTGGACAAATACCTTGTAAAGGCAATACCTTCTACTCCGAAATGGACAAATGAAAATGAAACAAATATGGGTAGAAACGATCAAAACAAAACAAAAACGCATTTGAGCAACCTAATGAGAATAGCTGATGAAAAAGTAGATGTAGAACATTTTCCATATGATGTGCAGCAAAAATATTCAATGCTTTAAAAATTAGAAGGTGTTAAAAATGTATTTTTTCCAAGTTTCTTGGTGTGTGCATGTTTTTTTTCTTTTTTTTTTTTTTAATTTTTAGAAATCTTACGTAATTTTTTGAAATCTCACCCTGTTTTTGAGGAAGAGTGAGAAATTCTCACCCATTTTTCTTCTGTGATGAAAACACTGATATATCAATCTATTCTCTGACAAAATATATTGATAATGCTTAATATTACTCAAAAATAGGATTAATATAATTAATGTTTATAATATAAATGGTTCAGATAAAATTATTATTTAAATATTATTAATATTGATAAAGAAAATAGTTATCTTTCAGGCTAATCATAAATTTGTAAAAGCAAAGATCCAATTTGTCAGTCAATCAGACAGATATGAAATATGAAATAATAAATTAATTTCGATCAGAGAACATTAATCTAAATTACTCTCAGCGGAATTTCAATGAAATTTTCTTAATTTCTGTAAGTGCATTGCAGATTTAATAAGGTTTATTTTGCTTATATTTAAATTAACACAAAACTAAAGGGATTTAAGAGAAAGATAATCATTTACCAGCAAATTATTCTACATACATCAAAAAATAATACTCTCACTACTTTTCTATATAAAACCTTAATATCAATGAAATCAAGGTTTCTAAAAAAAATTTATAAATTATATTATATAAAAAATGTTTTAGACATAAAATACTTTTATTTCTTGAAAATTAAATGATTTAAATAAAATATTCTAAAAAAAAATTTTAGTGTTTATTATCAATATTTTTTTTTAAATCAGGTGATTCAAATTCTGTGAAACGTCAACAGGTATGGCATACATAAGGTTTAATAAGACTGAAATTAGTCCTGAGGAACTCTTGTGGAAATATCAAATAAGAAATTCATATTCTTGAAATTTGTTTTTATTCAAAATGCATTTTAAAAAATTGGTTATACTTTTTAAAAAAATGTTGAAGACACTTAAAATGCAATAACAAAAGTAATGATTATAAAACATGAAATTGTGTTGATTTCATAATGAATATCTAGGATATGGTGCTTGTTGCTGAGAACACTATTCCGAACTTTTGTGAAAGGTCTAATTGTGTGAAAAATCTACTAATATTTTTATGACAAAGATAAAAGATCCAGTTTTTCAAATGGAAAATACTAAGACCATGCTTTTCAAAGAACTTTAATTTTAAAATAGGAACACCATTAAATCTGTTCCTAAATAGAAGTTTTGTGAAAGCTCTACTTTTAAGATAAAAGATGTTTTGTCGCAAAAGATTTTTTTAGATTGATATTACGAATGATTTGTTTTAACGATAATAAATTTAATGAAGAATCCATTTTAATGGGAAGATTTCCATATTGTGACTAGCGGCAGAATAATCGCCAAGTTCTACCTATATCTTCAGGACAGCGGCGAGAGAAACTAAAAAATACATCACAATCAGGGTTGGTAAGTTTTTGACATATGACGGTTTTTACCGGTTTATACCATGCTTTTTACCGTCATGTCAAAAAACCCTCTGTCAAAAACCCATAATTTTTTTTAAAACTGTATTTTTATTTGAGTTTAACTGCTTATAATTTAAAATTAATTCATGTTTGGGCAATAAAATTAGAAAAAAAGTTGTTAAAGGATATTTAAGAACAGATTCTTGCATTTTCCCAACATGATTATATCAAAACATACCATTTGAAGTAAAATATTAGGATACTAAACAAAATTTTCAACATTTCCAAGCATCATTTTGTTTGGCATATTACATTACTGAAGAATGTCAAGTCATTCTTGACTTAGAGTTTGTTAGTAGTTACAAGTTTTGAAAGTTTTGTTTAGCTTATTTCTAATATTTAAGAAATGCCAAATTTTAAATTCTTCTTTTTAGTTCTTGAATTTATTAATAGTTCCAAGCTTTTTTGTTTGTTTGTTTATTTCTAACAATTAAGAAGTGCAAAATTTTGAATCCTTTGCAAATCAAGCTATAATGATAAAAGTAAGTATCACTATTTTCAATAAGTATATTACAATATTTCTGTATGAATGTATATCCTTCTATAAGAATACATGTATATAGTTGCAAAATCAACAGCAATCATTTACAACATTCATTTATAAAGACAATTATGTGAAAATAATATATTGTCCGCTATATGCCATAAATGAAAGAAAACAGTAGGTTTTTGACGGTTTTTACCACTGTCATGTCAAAAACCAGTTTTTGACGGCAAAAACCCAACCCTGATCACACTACTCGTTTTTCTACTCGTGGCCACCTTCATGCAAACGCCTACATGATGACAGATCACAATACTACATGACAGATACCATACAGAAACCCCCGAGGCATAATTACAGCGAAATTGTCACAGAATGTTACAGAGTTCTTGCAGAAAGATTTTTCTTTTGAAGAGTAAAAAATTTTAATTTTCTTTTCCACAGAAATTTACACATAAAACTTGAATCGTGTGTTTAGATGATCACTTTTTGGCACGCTCAATTTATGCCGATAGTATCGTAATTTGATGTAATGTTTGGATTGTATTTTTGGCAGTTATTGATTTTCACATGGTTTTTAAATAGCCCGATATATATCAAACGATGTGGAAAATTCAAATTGTGCATTTGAGGATTTACTTTTTAATGCAATGAATCTACTGACTTTTTGGACTGTTATTGCAATGGATTACTCCATAGTTCTTAAATCTGATATTTTTTATACGATATAATTTATTACATACTCTAATCTTAAAACGAAACTCGCATTTGAGTAACCCATTTTTTGAAAAGCCTGATTTGCTTGAATTCGTCGATCTTTTTTTTTTACTACTATGGATTTCATGATTTTTAACTACTTTTTCTATCGTGATGATTATTTACAAAATTCAAAGAAGGAAATAATAAGTGTGCTTTTCCCCCACCAAATGCAAGAATACCACCCATAATATTAGAATAAAAAATATTAAATGTTTAAACAAATTATACATCATTTATTTTGTAAACACAACACTTTTGTTATTTTAAAATAGTACCATATATGTTTATTATTATTAAAAGTATCTTGCAGAAAGACATTAGTGCTAGAGAGTTTTGTCGCAGATAGCTCGTAAAAATTCTGCCACAGGTACAGAAATATCCCCAAATTAATAATAAATCATATTAGAAAAGGTACGTTTTAACAGATCCAAATTTTTACTAAAATGACCCTCGTATTCTAGAATACCATTCATGATGGCACACATTTTAATTTAAATTAAATGGTACTCTGCATTATATTATTGCCAACAATTTGGATTGCTATTCCCCCTTTTAATAATATATTCTGTTTGAAAATACAATATCTTATTGGTTAACGATCATCTGCTGTTTTTCCATTAGTTTAACACACGTAATCTGAATTAGAATATAAATATAATCGCAAAATTTTTGAAGAAAATATTGCATAAAAGCAAATATTCTAATACAGATTAGGTGTTAATATTCTATTATGTGCAATTTTACTAGTCTTCAGAAAAATTGAGTGTTAATTCCATGTAAAAAAGGAAAATTTTAACTATTTCTCTCTTTATTAATAAGTAAACGAATAAACGCATAGATGATATAATCTTTTTAGGACATTTTTAGTCTTCAACTATATACAATATTTTTAATTGTAATATACAGATACATTCTAGCTTTGAAGTATGAATCTGCGTACAAAAAGAAATTGCGTCTGCGTTATTACTCAGTCGTTTGACACTTATCTACTATAAATAGTAATTGAAAATAGAAGGAAACTACCATTTATAACAGCCTCCTTCTTTTACTTCTAAGGAGTAGTTTGTTGGGACACCTGTATTATATGGTAATAGTATTCGCGGAACTGATAGTTTAGCAGTTTCACCACTAATTAAACACGATAAAAATAAGAATAATAGCTTAAGCATGATTTGCTTCGACACCGGTACAACATCAAAATTTACCGCCATCAAAACAACTGAACAGCACGATGTTTTCATTGAGTTAGCGGTTACGATGAAAACACTCCTGCTGAGAGTCACAGAGCTATTAGCCAAATTTTTCTAAAAAAATTTTTTTTTCCTTTTTTTTGGGCTGTTGCTTGGCTGACCGCCTTTTTAATNTTTTTGATCATATTAGTTTTATTTATAAAAATAAGATTGATTTTAAGATTTGAGACAAATAATTTTAAATTATTAGCTTAATACTGAGGACTTTGCTTAGCAACAGCTATAATAATTAAATGCATAAATCTTATTGGCTGATTTTTATAATCATTGGTTTCAAAACAGATCACCGAAGTCAAGCATCACTGGCTGCGGTCAGTGTGCGGGTGGGTGACCGCTTGGATCAGTCTGCATAGGGGCCGAGGGTGTGTGGTATGGATCCTCATTGAACTGCTTTAAGATAAAGTGCTCGCCTTAGCGAGGGGTTACTAAAGCGGAGAAGCCACCCCCTCTTCAGGGAATCGAAATTGTGATGTCATGTCTACGGATCATCCTCAGAAATATTTCCCAGACCATTGCCGATAGCCTATTGTGCAACTGTAGCAACATAACCGGGTGCAAGAACACGTGAGAGAAAAGACTTAGTATAGATTAAAAAAAATAAGCTTAAAACCTTATCAAAACCTAAGAATCTCCATTTTCTATAGGGTTNAGACAGTGATTTTTTTTTTATCATATTAGTTTTATTTATAAAAATAAGATTGATTTTAAGATTTGAGACAAATAATTTTAAATTATTAGCTTAATACTGAGGACTTTACTTAGCAGCAGCTATAATAATTAAATGCATAAATCTTATTGGCTGATTTTTATAATCATTGGGTTCAAAGCAGATCACCGAAGTCAAGCATCACTGGCTGCGGTTAGTGTGCGGGAGGGTGACCACTTGGATCAGTCTGCATAGTGGCCGAGGGTGTGTGGTATGGATCCTCATTGAACTGCTTTAAGGTAAAGTGCTCGCCTTAGCGAGGGGTTACTAAGGCGGAGAAGCCATCCCCTCTTCAGGGAATCGAAATTGTGATGTCATGTCTACGGATCATCCTCAGAAATATTTCCCAGACCATTGCCGATAGCCTATTGTGCAACTGTAGCAACATAACCGGGTGCAAGAACACGTGAGAGAAGAGACTTAGCATAGATTATAAAAATTAAGCTTAAAACCTTATCAAAACCTAAAAATCTCCATTTTCTATAGGGTTTGCAGACTTGCAGTTTTTAATCCAACCCAGAAGACAAAGGAACTCTCTAAATAAACATTGAGACAAACTATCCTTCGTGGAGGTTTTTTACGGAGCTAATCAGTAATTCCGTTACATGAAGAAGAGAACCGCACAAGTCTTCCATAGTTCGCCTAACAACATTAGGATTCTAACCCAAGACCCGTCTGCCACTGAAGATACTTTAGGCAGCACTGATGTCAGCGTGATCTGAGAGCAGGATTCGTATCATCCAGCAATTTCTGGGATTCGAACTTGCTTCACTTCATTAGGAGGCAAGTGTTCTCCTAATGAGTTCAGGGGGTAGAGCATTCGCCTTCCAATGAGGTGAACCGGGTTCGAATCCCGGCTATGGCTGGGTCGATATGAATCCTCATCCGGCTTGCACTGACCACAGTGCTGACGTGAAATATCCTCAGTGGTAGACGGAGCTTGGGTTTGAGTCCCTTTTTCGTAAGGCTAACCGTGGAAGGATCTCGTGGTCTTCCTCTCGATGTAGCGCAAATGCTGATTAGTTCCATCAAAAAGTCCTCCGCGAAGGCCAATTTCTCCCAATAATCCAGAAGTTCCCTTGTCTTCTGGATCGGGTTCAAAATTACAAGGCTACGAAGTTGAAGTCGTAAACCCAAAAACTGGGTCGACTGTTCAACGACGGTTATAAAATATAAAATGAAATCCACTTAACCCGGGGCCGGGATAGCCTAGTTGGTAGGGCACTGGACCCATGTCCAAGAGTTTGTGGGTTCAATTCCCGCCGACCGAAGACTCCCAATATAGTAAATGGTGACTGATGCACGTTAAATCTGTCGAGTTGCTAAGTCCTCCATGTTCCCAAAACAGATCAATACTTCTGGGGGTTCTGATCCAGAAGTTTCCTTGTCTTCTGGATTGGTTCAAAATTACAAGGCTACGGAGTTGAACATTAGTAGTCGTAAACCCAAAATTGGGTCAGCTGTTCAAGGACGGATATGAAATAAAATGAAATCCACCATACCCATAGCCGCGATGGCTGAGGGTATAGAGCGTTCGTCTTCCGATGAGGTGAACCGGGTTCGAATCCCAGTTAATAGGGGATCCGCATCCGGCTTGCACCCACCACAGTGATGGCATAACCACATGATCAGTGGCAGACGGATCATGGGCTAGAGTCCCTCTGCCATCAGGTTTACCGAGGGAGGTTCTCGTGGTCAACCTCTCTATGTAACGCAAATGCGAGTTAGTTCCATCAAAAAGTTCCCCATGAAGGCAGATTTATCCCAATACTTGATCCAGGAGTTCCCTTGTCTTCTGGATTGTGTTCAAAGTTACAAGGCTTCGGTGGTGAATATTAGTAGTCGTAAATATAACAATTGGGTTGACTGTTTAACGACGGTTATAAAATTATAAAATAAAATCCACTTAATCCATCACGCCTTTCATACGAATGGTTTAAACAAAAATACAAATTTTAAGCCCTAAAGCACTTTTACGGACTTTTAGCTTCGCACGTGGTCACGATTAACAGCATTTTTTTTTTAAATCGAGAGTAATTAGTATTTTAGGGACAAATGGGAGTGGTGAAAATTGTGCGCAAGCATTTGATTCATTTTATAAAAATTGGAATAATAATAAATAAATTAATAAAATATTAGCTAAGAAAAGCGTTCCAATCTATGCCGTCGAAGACAATTCAATTAATGTAGTGTGAATAAACTGTTTCGATGTAAAAGTTCTCTATATGAAATTGGGTCGAATTATTAAACAACACTAATGTTAATAGCAGCATACACACAAAGAAAAATAAATCAATCAATAAAAAGATTAATAAATAAATAAATTTCGAAACAATAATTTTAAATTTTGTAAATCTGCCATAATTAAATTATTTGAAACTAGGGGCTTTGCTGACCAGTCCTCACATTTGCTGCAATAATTTATTTTTTCTTTTTTGACCATAGACAGTTTGATACATCTACATTTAAAGGTATTCAATTGAAGGATCCCGAACGTGTTATTGCATTAACATGGATTTGGTTTCACAAATTTTGTTTCCACTTTCATAGGGATAAAGTTTACAATTTATCATTTTGCTCAGTTGCCATGGAATCTTCACTTGCACCATTTTTTTTTCTTTCTAAATTCCTATTTAATTTTGAGTTATTATAAAGATCCCTTTAATGTTTCTCGGCAAAAAGATAATTTAATATTTATAGCGAAAGTTGATTTCTTATACACTTTAAAAAATTTTAATCATTATTTTCAATTGCATACATTATCTGAACATATTTTTACGCAAAGTTTAAAGTTAATTAAATTTTAATAATGTATATATATAATAATATATATAAGTGGTAGACATACTATATATTATAATTGAAATCAAATACATAATAATAGAAGAGAATATCAAAAAAGGACAATGAATAAATTTTACAGGTAAATACTGCTTAGTTAGGAATATAGAAATATTTCACGGTTAAACAATACCTTTACAACTTGTATTAATTTAATGTAAATGAAAACCAAAGAAATTTGGAGCTTTATCTAAGAGAATTGGATAATGAGATTTTCGACTTAAGTATGCTCCGACGACAGCAGCGAAACATTTAACGTGTATATATATTGCGAGGGGAAGTTGTCATGGACCGTGTCAACCTTCATCTATGAAAAGGTACCCCAACAAAGAATCGAGTTAACATGTCTTATATACTAGCGAATTGAAATTGTATTTTTGTAGTGGTAGACACACTACTGTACTACCCCACCAGAATTATAGCTCTGATAGAATTCGATGAATGGATACCACTAGTTGATTCATTGCTGTTTCGTGAAAAGTCGGGAGAGCTGTACTAAGATCGATCACCGTACTTTTGAGTGCTGATCTTTATTAAGTTCATGGTCGTGGTCTCCTGTGTTGTCATTGGAAGAAGAGTGTATAGAGGGTAACATAGTGTGTGATCGAGATTGAGTAACAACAGTTCGAGGAGGTAGATGATGTCACAGTCGCAAGTAGCAAGTCAGCTTTTCAATGTGGACCATCCATCGAAGTAGCGAGTTCATGTCGAAGTGGTAGTTTCTGTCAAAGTAGGCGTGTTGCATCACGTCCGAAGGTCACCAATGTGGGGAGAGTAGATATCGACAATGTCAACCTTCATCTATGAAAAGGTACCCCATCGTAGAATCGAGTTAACATGTCTTATATACTATAGTGAATTGGAATAGTATTTTTGTAGTGGTAGACACACACTACATATATATATATATATATATATATATATGTGTGTGTGTGTGTGTGTGTGTGTGTGTGTGTGTGTGTGTGTGTGTGTGTGTGTGTGTGTGTGTGTGTGTGTGTGTGTGTGTGTGTGTGTGTGTGTGTGTGTGTGTGTGTGTGTGTGTGTGTGTGTGTGTGTGTGTGTGTGTGTGTGTGTGTGTGTGTGTGTGTGTGTGTGTGTGTGTGTGTGTGTGTGTGTGTGTGTGTGTGTGTGTGTGTGTGTGTGTGTGTGTGTGTGTGTGTGTGTGTGTGTGTGTGTGTGTGTGTGTGTGTGTGTGTGTGTGTGTGTGTGTGTGTGTGTGTGTGTGTGTGTGTGTGTGTGTGTGTGTGTGTGTGTGTGTGTGTGTGTGTGTGTGTGTGTGTGTGTGTGTGTGTGTGTGTGTGTGTGTGTGTGTGTGTGTGTGTGTGTGTGTGTGTGTGTGTGTGTGTGTGTGTGTGTGTGTGTGTGTGTGTGTGTGTGTGTGTGTGTGTGTGTGTGTGTGTGTGTGTGTGTGTGTGTGTGTGTGTGTGTGTGTGTGTGTGTGTGTGTGTGTGTGTGTGTGTGTGTGTGTGTGTGTGTGTGTGTGTGTGTGTGTGTGTGTGTGTGTGTGTGTGTGTGTGTGTGTGTGTGTGTGTGTGTGTGTGTGTGTGTGTGTGTNAACCATGCAACCGAAACATTTAGCCGTTGGAAAATTAGAATAAAAAGTTATAAATAGATTTTTGTTTTCGATTAGAGGCGACAGTGAATTAATATGTCTGCAAAATAATGAAATAAAAAGAAAGTATCCGTTACATTGATCTGGAAGAGAAGAAATAAATATTTTATGTTCGTTTAAAAAGATTAAGTTTTTGATTTATTTTAAATAATAATTCTATTAATAAAAATAAGCTTTAGTAATGAAGGATATTTTAAAAGATAGAAAATAAATATGTGTATGCCAATTCATTCTGGCATCACAATATATATATATATATAAATCCTTTCTATTCGGTGTTCGATGCGATTTGATCATTACCAAATTATACTTTATTCTATTCGGGGACTATTGCGAAATTCAACTAAACAAATCAAGAGGTGTATTTGATTAAAAAGTCTGTCTGCCAAAACAACAGCTTATAAATATTCGCGATCGCAACGCTCGAATACGACATCTGGGGAAATGATCGGTTCCATGCCTTTATCTCTACCCCTTTTCTTCTCCTAATCTCTTCAGTTGTGTAGGAATGTTCTACGATATTTTCCCCCTTCTTAATATTTTTCGTTTTCTAGTGACGCAAATATTTTTGTAAAATTTCCGAATCACTTTCTATTAAAGCTATGTTCCATGCAGTTTACAGTTCCATATAGTTCCTAGCTTGAAAGTATTTAATCCATTTGAAAATCAAGAGAGAAACTTGCGTACTTTTTTCTCCTATGACTCTCCCCTTGCTAATGGTGAAAGCATGCAAAGTATTGCCATAGGTAAAGAGTTCTGCTTTGCGCCATCTATAGCCCATTTCGTTTGCCAATATTATTTTTTAAATTTGTTAGTTGCAATTCGGCAACACATTGTCTTGTTTACATCTACAATGCTAGTTGGCAGAAGATAATCCTTCTGTAAATATTAGCTTTAAGTTATATTTTAATTTTTTATTTTACTGAAGTCGCTCGAAATTTCTATTTAATCGATGCAAGTAACTTTTAATAAATGTTTTTTTTCTTGATATATATGTTAGATTTTCTGTTGTAAAATCACATTTTTCCCTGCAATACCGAAACTAAATATTTGCTTGAAATTTATATAAAATTATGTATTTAACCGTAAATGAAATTTTCTCCCTTTTTGAATTTTCTCTAATTTTACTCAGATGCATATTCATAGGCTTTTTAAATTTTATGTTATACAATGTACTGATTTTCATGTCAAGGACAAATTTAATTATCCGTGAAAACATATTTGTTTACCTTTAGTCATACGTTCGCTGTTTAGAACGAACTTAAGAATTTTACCTCAAATTAAAGAATTGTAAAGTAAATTCAGTTATTGAAAGTCAAATATTTCTTTTGAAAGTGTTTAACTTTTACATGTCAATTGTTATATAATAATTGGTTAGTTTTATTGTGATTAATTGGTTCGATTTTCGTTACTACCCGCATTTCCTTAGTAACATTTTTTCTAACTCTCCTTATTTTATGTCTTTTAATATTGATTATTCATTTTTATATAATGATTATTTATTTTTGTATTTATAATACTTGTCATTTTGTTATATTTTATTATACCCACATAGAGATCTTTATAATATTATTGTCCACTAATTTAACCATCAAGTATATACTCTTTAAAACAAGTAAGGATCTGTTGTAATTATTTATTTATACAAATTATTTATGTATACAAATGTTTTCTTGCTTTTGCTATTTCTCTTGTGATCAAGTTTTTTTTTTATTTAAAAAAACAAATTTGGATTGATTTACTTCTGATCTTCAATATTACTATTATTATTTTTTTAGTAAATAAGATGTTGACACTTATATCATATTATTTTATAGTCTAAGAAATTAATGCAGTGTATTTATTTTTGTAATTTTCATTTTTAATTCTGCTGTTGCATTGTAATTATGAAAATTATAAATTGAACTATTTTATAACGTTTCATAACTGTCCAAAATCGAGAAAGGAAATCTTCACTTTATTTTATCAGTCCAGAAATGGACCAATTCTCAGACATCACTTTTTTTCCCCTTCTCAGCACTTAAATATTTCATTAACATTCTAATGAGATAAAGGCTTAATTAATTTTTTTCTTCAAAAATCTGTTGTATTATCTCAATTTTGATTATAAAGCGGTGTAGTTATGGAAGGGTTTTTGGAGACTAAGCTTCCTAACCTAAAAATTTTCAATACTCAAATTTTTAAAAAATATCATTTAATTTAAGTTTTTTTTTTTTTTTTAAATGGGTGATTTTTCTTTACAGAGTTAATAAATTTACTTTTAAAAGTGCTATTTTTCATGAAAGCTCTTTAATTTTGTTTTTAAAAAGGCTTTTTTTTATTATTAATTGTAAATTACTTTGTAGTTTAATCTCGATTTACATTGAAAAAGTATGCTGCATTAAAAGTTTTTTTTTCTCTCATGATCAATTTATGTTTAGCAATACTCTTCAAAATTTTAAATATTCAAATTTAAAAGAGGCTTACTTTAATCAAAGATTAAAAAAATGGAAAATTTACATTTATAATTACTATTTTTCATAAAATTCTTCTTAAATACAGTTTTTATTATCATTATTTATAAATTACATGTTTGTTTAATTAATTTTCATGCCAAAGACATTATAAATTAAATGTATTTAGTTAATTTTTTATTTATTTATTAGGTTAATCTACTCACATGATCTTTAGCAATGAGCTGGTTTGACACTGCCGGTATTGCTAATTTTGCTAAAACTGCTTTAACTACTGCTCAGAAAACAATAGATAAAGCATTAGACATTCAAGAGGAAAAAAATCCTAGAACAGATAAAAAAGTTGGCACACAGAAATTGGGTAAAGTATTCATAATTACTTGTTTTATAATGAATATTAACTTTATAATTTTCAAGTATATTATTTGTTAGGGTTTTTGACCAAATGTTACACTTTTCATTGTTTAAGAAAAATGTTACACTGATACTCTGAATGCATATTTAAACTCTTAATGGTAAGATAAGAATATATATTTTGTGAATTTATTATTATTATATACTGTATCTAAGAGAACTTTTTTTAAATTCATGTTTAAACAGTTAAATATAAAAATGTTAGCTGGATATTTTAAAAAACTTTTTGGTGATCAACAATATGGTGTGAGATCGAGGGTTGCCATGAGAGTATTCGGCTAAAAGAGATTTCTTTTTCTATAAGTAACATAGCAAATATTTAGGGGATTCAGATTTTTTTGTATTGTCGAAAAATTTGTGTTTTCGAAATTTGTGATACATTTGTATTAGAAATATTGCAAAAAATTTTAGTTTAATAAATTAAAGTACAATACTTTAACAGAAAAGAATTTTATTTTGTAAGTAATTTATAGTTTCTTTTAAATACTTATTTGATTATTTTTTTCTCCACTTTTGTAGATTCTGAAAGTTTTTTTGAAGCCTTTGGTCTGAATGAAAAACCTTCTACGTCACAACCTACTGTTAAACCTAGTAACATAAGTTCTATAAAGCCTAGTCAAAATGCTATACCAAGTAGTACCTTAAAGGAAGGTGATGTACATGGATCAGGGTTTTGGTCTGATACTTGGGGGTCATTTTTCGATGGAAAAAACCCTCTGCCACAAACTGACTCAGAATCTGTTTCTAAAATTAAACCTACAGAAGACAGTAATTTATCTACTGAAAACAGCCACAGAATAGATAATGCTGTCCTTTCACAACCACAAAAAGCTAGTCTGTTTCCTGGAGAAACATGCCCACCTGTTAATACTTTTGAAAGTGAGACTGTGAGCTCTTCTGATCCTTCAAGTTCCTCTAACATGTTACCTAATATTGAGAAATCAACTAGTCATTTACCCATTGTTAGCAACTCAAATAGCTCTGCATCCCTACCTGCACATGAAATCAGTGAAAATAAAAGTGTTTTAGCCTCTGAAGAAGAAATTAGTAGTAGTACACTTACCATTCCTCATGATACTTCTAACCCAGAGGTAATTGACAAAAATATTGACACAAAATCTTCTGTTATCACTGAACAACCCTGTTATGAAACTAACTTAACTGTGACAGATGTGCCTATTATTGAACCAAATTTGGTTAAATCCTCAAAGAAAGGTGCCATACCTTCTCAAGTTGTTTCTGAACCTTTTACCTGTGATACATCTTTAGAAGAAAAAAGTCAACATGTTAATCCAAGGGGTGACAATAGCCATAAACTTGATGAAAATTTGCATTCAAATAAAAATTGTGATAAAACTATGGAAGAAAGTACATTCCTTGCCCTAAACTTACCTATTCCTGCAGAGCAAAGTATTGCTAAACCAGAGTCAGAGTATGATGTAATAGAGTTAATGTCAAACAGCCAATCAAATGATCAAGAAATTAAACTGGAAGATTCTTTTATCAAATCTGGAGACTCCAATCATTCAATGTATGATGCCAGTGAATCAACATTGATTATTCCTGATTTGCCAGTTTCTATGCCTGAAAATATTGCAAATTGGGAATGTTGTGCTTTAGATACCTTATCACCCGATTTGTTTATCACTGATGAAAATGAAAATATAGCTCATAGTGAAGAAAATGATCAGAGAGATTCAAATATCTCTGTGCCAGAAGATTCATTTCATGCTCTCGGTTCTGACTCTTTTGGTGAAAGTCGTCCATGGATTTCAAACAAGCAAAGTCATCACCTAATGGAGGAATCCCAAAATTCATCCAATGGTGAACGAAATTCGCATCATACTGATGGTAGTAGCAACAGTAGCAAAGAGGATGACGATGATACTGATACAGCTGAAGTGAAAGAATTTGATACTAAATCATCAAGCAGCAGTGGCTCGCATACAACATCTAGTTCTTTTGTTAAATGTTCTGTTGAGGATAGCAACTCTACAAGAGGGCAATCTCCTACATCCACCATAGCTTCTGAAAGATCAGACGTCACAAAACAAGAATCAGAACAAACTACTTCTGGTGATGAAAATGAAACTGCTACATCTTCTGACATAGAAATCCTATCACCGCCAAACGGAGAAAATGGAGATCGTAATGCATCACCTCTGAAACACATTTGGCTGCCTCGTCCTCTTAGGTTTCGTAGAGCAGAAAGTCCAATCTCAGATAGTAGCAAAGATAGCATAATGCCAGTTGTCAGTGAACTGGATGAAGTGTGTTATATAAATGAGCCAGATTCACCTCCAGGCATGTTTGGAAATAAAAGTATGTGACATTTTCTGTGTTTTTTTTTATAACTTTGTCATCATAATTAGTTTATATTTATTCTGTAGATTTTTATTTTATTTAAAATTAAATCAATCAGAAGTGTTTAGTACCTTGAAATGTACTTAATTACTCACATAAAATCTTGCTAGTGTGTATAAATAAGCAAATCAAACTGTTTCAAATTATTTTTATAAGTATGTTTTTCTTTTTTTAAAAGAAATTCAAAGATAGTTTTAATTAAAGCTAGTTATCTAAAATTCACAAAATTGCTATCAAGTATTATACAAATCAATCTGTTTTAAATTATTTATAAGAGTATGCTTCTTTCTCCGGTCTTGTTATCGTAAGCTAATTTTCCATTTCTCCTCTTTTAATTCAAATTCCAAATGAGTGTCATAATTGATTATTTTAGTACTAAATTATTTTTAAAAGTATGCTTCATTCTCCTATCTTGTTATTCCAATTTACCTTTTCCCTTTCCTTTAATGTACCTTTTATTTTAATTCATATTCCAAATGAATGTCATAACTGACTATTTTAGTACGAAATTAGGTACTAAATTATGATTGAGATACATCAATTAATACTCAATCTATCTGTTCTGTTCTAAATCATACTTTTTTAGTGAAAATACACCAAGAGTGGATTTGCAGTATTGACATGCCATGTTATATTGGCATGGCTAATTTGATTCAAAAATAACTTCTTAGTGAATATTGAAATTATGTATTAAAAAAAGACTGATTAGTTTAATTTTTATGTAAATTAATATTGAAATGTCATATTTTTAAATTTTAAACCTTTCTATATTTTTAGATCAGATGTTATTACATCAACATAAAGATTATGAAGACAATGATAGTATTTGCCAACTGCTACAGGTATTACATATGAGAAACTTATAAGTTAAAGCTTTATTTTTATTCAAATGTCTGACACTAAAGTTTAGATCAGCATTTGTCTAGCAGATCATAACTTTATTCAGTGTAAAATATTAATTTCTATGCTGCCTCCCTGAGGTTGATTGACTGTATCATTCAATTAAAGCCTGTTTATATCAAAATTTGTCTCTATACCTGTTTCAGACAGCTTTGTATTTAATCATAAAAAGCAATACTGTTTTTTTTTTTTAAGTGTCACAATCAATCCATTGAGTAAGTTGACTCCCTGATTTTCCTTACAAATGGCAGATTTTGTGTGCATTTAATGAACCAGTCAAGCTCTGATTTTACATTTTTTGAAAATAAAGTTTTGATTTAACTATGACTAAAAAGTAAAAAAAAAAAAAATATTTGTAAGATTTTTTTTAAAATAAAAAATGGTTTACTAAATTGATTTTGAGTATGTCTAATTTTATCTCTCTATCTTTTCTCAAATAAAATATTAGGAAATTAGGCTTTATGCCAGGTGAAGGTATTTTTGGGTTGTAGATATAAATAAAGAATAGGAAAAGACATCTCAAGTAAAATTGTTCTTCAGAAAAATGACCTTCATTAAAATTAATAACTTTTCTTTAAGAAACAGTATCTACTTCTTTATATATAAATATGATAGTTTAATTATTATAATTCATATTTGCTGAGTTTAATTTCAGTTCACAATGAAGCATTTGATAATTTTAGATAATTTCATTTAATTATCTAAAAGTGCTAGATTGACAATATTAATTTAAAGGAACCTAAAATCTATTGTACATAATTCAAATATACTGCGGCTTAATACTGCTGAATTAAACTGTTGTAAGCTTTATAACTTTTGGTGTTTTGCAGTTTTTATTCTGCCAACCATGCAGAATGAAAACGGTAGAGCAAATTTGAGATTTTAATAAAAATTATACAGTTGTATTCTGCTTATCCAAATTCACTTTAACTCAGAAAAAAAATAATTCATATCAGAGTTGGAACTCAAAATAATCTCGATTGAAATTAATTTTAAAAAATTAAAAAAAATTGTAAATGAAATTAGTATTGGATACATGAACTATTTCTGTCATAATTTTGAACTTACTAAATTTTAATGAAGCTATATAGTTTACTGAACAGCTACAAGTTTTAAACTAATCTATTCCAATGCTATTGATTTTATTTGATTGATTTTTTTTAAAAAGAAAATATAGTTGAAAATTATTTTTTTTTTTATGTGTAATGTAAATTATATCCTATGATGAAATTATTGGTTACTGTGCCTTTCTTATGTGCCTACTGTTTCAATGTATTTTTTTTTCTTTTATTTAAATAGAAACAAGATGAATTACAAAATCGCCTTGACATTAGAGAAAAAAAACTGGTTGAATTGAGTAAAGAAAATATTGAACTACAAGAAAATGAACAAAGACTTAAAAAGTATTCTTGCTTATTCTAATTATCTTATAGAACCAGAAAGTGTTATTCATCTTTTTTTTTTTTTTTTTTTTTTTTTTTTTTTTTTGTGTCTTGTTGTTTGATATGTTATGCTCAGTGTCAAAAACCCTATATACCCATTAACTGTTTTTTTTCCTATGTACCTTTTGCTGTTTATAAGCAAAAATTTACTTTTTAGTCGAAATTTTATTTATTTATTTTTATTAATTTATGTTACTAAAGCTTGAAAGTAGCATGTAATTGCTTATTATTATTAATATTATTTACAATTATTTTATACTTTGTAGTCATTTATGTAATTATGGTACATTTGAAGGATACTTAAAGTATTTTTCTTGGCAAATGCAATAAATAATAAACAAAAATGTATTTTTTTAATTGTATTTTAATCTTTAACATTCAGAAAAAGTTAATCTTACCTTTACCATGCATGTTTGGAAATTCTGCCTCGTTGCAAACTGCCAACATCACTTTGCAACGTACCTTCAGGGCTTAGAAAAGAGCCAGTTTTCCCAATCAGTGTACAGCATAAATATTTGAAACATTTCACAAAAAAAATATTTTATTTAATGTTAAACTTATTAAATCTAACTTGGCATATTTTTCTCCCATCTTGTTAAGTGTTATATTTTTCAAGAAAGAAAGTTTCAACTTCTAAATAAAAATTATAAGATTGTAATTTTTTTCTTAATATTCTTTTTTCTTTTCTAAAGTTTAATTTTTGCATTTACGTCTATTTTATGCCCTAAATTTTATTTATAGAATACATTTCTCATATAACAGCTTTCTTATTCATTTCATTGATGTATTGTTTCTGCATATATATTGATAAACTGTTACATATTTCTTAAATTTTTAATGAGTTCATTATATTAAAATTATAAATTAAATGTTGCACACATAGGTTTGACAAAATGCTGCTACTAATAAAGTGTATTTCTCTTTAATTGCTTGTAGCATCTATAGACTCTTGCACAAAACATCAAACCAATGCTCCCTTTTTTTAATGGTTTCAGATTGTATTATATGTTAACCCTTAATTTAATAAAAAAAAATATGTAGAGTTGAAAAATTAAATTCTTATGTTTCAAATATAGATATAAAATGGATTGGAATTATGATACAGATCTATAAACAAAAATAGATATAAAATGGATAAATGCATAAAATGGAAAAAATAATTTATACATTAGAAAATTTACTTAATAGAATGAAGACGATGCAGAACATTTAAATATATTTTAGAAGGAGAGTTTTTTAGGGTTGTTTAAAATTCAGTTGTATTTTTAATGGTATCTCTGATTGTTAATTATGAGTTTCAAAAGATATTTGTTATTTAAACTCTATGGTGTAAGACAGAAACTTACTACTCATTTTTCAAACTTATTTATATACAACAAGACCGCAAATATTCTACTGCAACAACTACTGCAACTCCAACTACTGCAATTAGGATTAATTTGATGTTTTTGTTGTAAAATCATACATGTTTGGTGCAAATGGATCACCTTGTATAGGATATTTTTTTAACTACTCCACACATTGTAATAAATAATAAAATTGAAGAAAAATATACAGAGTTTTTTCTGTCAAAAGTCTTCAGTGTGTGACCCTTTAATTGCAGACAAATTTATAAACTGAAATAATGCTTCATAAAGATGTTCTTTCAGTGTTTTAGACATCAGTTATTTGTAAACAGCGTCTTAGGTATGCAAGAGACAAGTTATTTACCCTTAATCACATGGCCACTAAGATCTCCGGACCTTATGCCATATGATTTCTTATTATGACATGTGATTTCTTTACATAAAAGGCATTGCTTATGCCTAAAGCACTGTAAACTCTGATGCCTGAAGCACTTCAAAGGCTTAAGGACATGTTTGTGTTGCATAAAGAAACAATTAAATATTTTAACCACAAGTTTTGTTTTACAAACTCTATAGTAATTAAGAATTTAGTCATCCTCGTGCATCCTAAAAAAGTGACAGATTGAATATTACTCACTAAAAATAACTTCTCTTTAATTTTTTGAATATTTTATTGTAATATGTGTCACAGTTCAAAAATATGAATGTTTGAAATACATACATGATAACCCAATATAGTGGTACAAAACACAATATAATGGTACAATGCACATTATGCTATTGGTACAATTTTTTTTTTAAAACTAGTCTTAGTTCTTATATTGTAATCCTTAGACTTTTTCATAAATTACCTATGAGTTTTAAGAAATTTCATGTTTCTAACTATTGTTAGGATTTTTGTTTGAGTTTCTAACTTATTTTATACTTAGTTAAATTTGTTTTACAGCTTAATTCAAAAAATGAGAGTAGAACAAGAAAAAGAATCCAGGGACATAGCTGCTCTTACAAGAGAATTCACCCAACGTCTTTCTCGTGTGGAGGAGCAACTTAAAAATACAACACGGGTAGTTATTTACTTCTAATTAACTTTGATTAAAATATTTTGTTTGAACATGTTAATAATTATATTTAAAGTATAAGAATTGGCCAATGAAACTAGTATTATCTGTTGCACAATAAATTATTAAACAATACACAAATCATAAGTTAAAAACTGAGAGCTGTCTTTGTACTTCAAAAAAGTGATATCATTTGTGCTGAGTTATTGAATGCGGAGAAATGTTATAAAATCAATTTTAATTTGTAACATACTGCCAAAAATGTACTTTTTTCTATGTTATACATAGTACAGCATTAACTGTTTGTTTTCATGTACATATCTATTAATTTTAACATACTTTCAGATATAAATTATTGTAAATTGTGGTGCATACCTTTAAGTCCTAATTTGCGAAATTAAAAATCAAAATTTTGCATTTATAAATTATAAAAAATATGTTTAAAAATTGTGTTTACAAATCTAATTGTTTTTGATATCCTTTCAGCATCTATATTATTTTATAATATGTCTGGTCCTTTATATGGTCTTAAATTTTTTTAACCAAAGTTAAACTAATTTAAAAGCATCTGCTTTTTTACCTAATTTTAAAACTTTTATTTAATTTAAAACTCATATTCTAACTGCAGTTGCATACAAAATAAAATTTGTAGTAATTAATGTCATTTTGTTGTAAAATGCGATAGTAAGTGATTGGTTTTGTACACTTTTTGCTATCTAGCCATAAAAGTAGATTATCATATTTTTATTAATAATGGTAAGTTATTTTTTGTTAAGTATATATTATAACTTTTTATTAAAATTTTATGCTTTAATAATTAAGATGCATTTAAATTTTGATTAATTGAAAAGAAAATGAAAATACTAATTTCTTAAAGATCTGGGCTTTTGACATGACAATAAAAACCATGGTAAAAACGGTCATGAATCAAAAACTTGTCAACCCTAGTAACGAAATGTTAACATGGAAAAAATTGCTGCATGAAAAGAAGAGTGAATAAGAATTGAGATTATAAAATTTGATTAGTTTTTTAAAAAAGGAATTTCAATATTCAATTTTTAATACTCAAATTACAGTTTTAAGATCAATATAACAAATTCAACTTTAGAAAATAAATGATTCTTAGCAGTTTAAAATTGTATGTATGTATATTTGTATGTATTGTATGTATGTATTGTTTGTATGTATTGTTTGTATGTATGTGTATTTGTATGTATGTGTATTTGTATGTATGTATATTTGTCTGTATGTATATTTGTCTGTATGTATATTTGTTAAAACAGGTACCACTGTGTTTTAAATTTATCAGGGGTGATTGTATTCCGGAGAGCCAGGAATTCCGGGTTTTTTGTATCATCCCACCAGGTCTAGAAACTAATAGCAAGGCATGGAATTTTTTTTCCAAAATTGCGCGTATCTAAAGACCATTGATTTGCGGACTTCCACGTATCAGAATTTATAATCCGAAGAAATTTTTACCACAATTTAAAGTAAGAATTAAGTTCTACAATCCAGAATTTAAATTTTGAAACCTTCGCTGAATCGCGTTAACGAGATGCTTTCAAACATGTGACTCTTCTGCAGTTCTAATTTTTGGTTTGTCAGACTTGCATAGTTTTTAATGTTTGAAGCTGCGACGCAATTTTAATATCTAACATCGATTTTCGTATTTACCCAATTTGAAAAGCGTGCATCGCGAGTGAGTTTAATATCCGATGTCGCTATTTATATTCTCTGGATCTAAAAAATCATGTGAATCGTGATTCATATTTACGCAATTCAAAAATCCAATAATGTGATTTGTATTTTCGCAATCTTGAAATCCAGTATCGTGATTAATATTCATGTGATTTTTAAATCCAATATCACGATTCTTGTAAGAACCAAGTTTTTTCTGAAAGTAGTATAAAGTAGTAGTATATATTAACTATGAATAGTATATAAATTGTTATCTTATCGAGTTTTTACACATAAAATTTTCAGGGTTTTTTAGTATGTGTCAAAATCACCCCTGATTCATTTTCTTATTGGATTTTATGTGGTGAAAATATTGTTATGGCATGTAAATAGATCGTACAACAAATATGAAAATGAACTCATACTTATTAATTTTTTTTTACGTAACAGGAAAGAGATGATCTGAAGGTTCAGCTTGAAGAAGTAAAACTAGACTTAGCAAGCAGGTAAACAATTGTTTTTAGTATCAATTTGTATGGGGACAAAAGTAGGAAATTTTGTTACTGGCCAGTTGCAAGCTGTAGCATTTTTAGCAGTAGCCTATTTTTTAAACATGTATCACTTTTTCAAAAAATTTAACCCATTAAGAAAGTATTGATATTAATAAAGTAAGAATTTTTTTTTTAAAGCATTTCTAAATTTATGGTGAACATTACAAGGTTCATTTCTGAAATCAAGAAAAATGTTATGAAACGAGTATGAAATAGTAATATTTAGAGTATTATAATAGATTTTAATTCCGTAATTACTGAAAATTAATAGTAAAGTGTGTTTTCAATAATGTGTTGATAATTCATGCTGATTTAAGTAATTTTTTTTTGTAGAATTTCTACTTCAGATTTTGATGAAATAATCAAAGAAAAAGATCAGCAAATTAAAGAACTAACAGAAGAAGGTATTCATTTTTGTGAATTTTTCCTTAATATTGTTTGCATTAAGAACTGTTTAAACAACCTTTCTGTATTTTAAAATTTGCTAACAGACCATTTAAAAATTTATAATTAAATAAAAGCACTTAAATTTAATCTATTTTTCTCAGTATGCATATACTTTTTATGGCTGTTTTTTTAGAATAATAATTCCTATTGTTTATGTTATAATAATTCCTATTCCTATTGTAACAAACCATTTAAAAATTTATAATTAAATAAAAACACTTAAATTTAATCTATTTTTATCAGTATGCATATACTTTTTATGGTTGTTTTATTAGAATAATAATTCCTATTGTTTATGTTATAATAATTCCTATTCCTATTGTAACAAACCATTTAAAAATTTATAATTAAATAAAAAGACTTAAATTTAATCTATTTTTCTCAGTATGCATATACTTTTTATGGCTGTTTTATTAGAATAATAATTCCTATTGTTATTTTATTTTTGCGATGATCTAGGTCAGAAGTTGTCAAAGAAGGAGTTACAGCACACTACTATTATTAGAAAATTGCGAGCTAAAGAGGAAGAAAAGAATCGTACTATAAAAAGTCAAAAGTAAGTTGATATAAACTATTGTTCAAATCAGTTATAAAGTTATTTTTTTCTTTAATATTTCCTTTTAACTTCTTTTAAATTATATATTTTTAATCATTTGATACTTAACGTATAAATTACGAATAAAAATGAATCATCACCCAGTCAAATGATGATTTTATGTTATAATGTGTTTAAAAATTACTATTATATGATAATGATAAATTGCTGACTTTTTCTAATTATGGTAACTCATAATTAATAGGTCAAAGGAGATTTTATTGATGAACTAACAAACAAAGTTCAAGCAAAGTTCTAACTAACTTTTGACAATTATAAAATATGACCATTAACATACACTTTGCCTAGTCAATGTATATCATGCCTATAAATTTTTCATTAATGATTCTAAAAAGTGCCTAGATCATAGATGACGAACCTTTTGCAATTTGTGTGTGAGTTAAATACGGTTTATCATTTCCAAATGCCCATCGCCCCACTTGTTACATTTCTTTTTCAAAATAATCTTAAAATTGCTGCTTTTATTTTAATCTATAGAATTACTTTGTGTAATTGTATTTGCTATTTAGTTATTAACCTGCTTCAAATGCAAAATAAACAAGCAGTATCTCATAACTATTTCAATTCAGTTTCATAATAGAATACAACAAAGTATTCTAAATCAGTCACCGTTTGCAATAAATAATAAATTAAAACTAAGATAATTAATATTAGATGTTTTTAATTTTTTATGGTAGGAAAGGTTTGAGGTATCAATTCAATTAAAATAAATTATTAAGTGCCTTTATTTTTTTCATTAAAACAATGTGTCATTTTTAAAATGTTTCTCTAAATACATTTCTACTTTTCAAACATTCATTTAATATTGAAAACATATAACTACAATATTACACTCAAAATTTAATTTAATTTTATGCTATCTAGTGTGGTATATGTTGCTTATCAGTTACATCATTTACATATGTCATAGTTTGTTGTTTTAATAGCACAAGATTGATTTGTTTTTTACAATGGAATGCATTGATGAAAGCACCTGCTCAATAACTTATAAAGACTCAAACATTGTGCATATTTACAATTGCAATTTTTATTATAATTTGTATATTAGTTTTGTTTTTTATTTTCCTAGCACTTATGTGCTTCCCCAAAAAAAGTTAGTCACCCTTACAATGTGAACTTATCTTGTGACTTGTGAAGAAAGCATAAGACACCCTTATTTTTTGTTGACATTTTATTTCAGTGAATGTAAATAAATAATAGTAAGTTAATATCTATTGTTCATGTGCCACTGGAATGCTTGTAATGTGCCACCTAGTGACACATGTGCCATACGTTTTACATCTCTAATACCTAGATGTGTAAGTAATGTGTTAAAGTAATAAGTAATGTGTTAAATGTTAAGTAATGTGTAATGTTAATAAGTAATGTGTTAAGTAATGTGTAATGTTAATTTATTAATACTTTGTTGAGTAATTATATATAATACCTAGACAATGTGTGAAATATTAATCATTTCATACTTTGACTGACAATTTTATGCATTTTATACTTTGACAGTCAATTTTAGGCATTTCATACTATGACTAGGCATTATAGAGTGCTGGATTTCATACATTGACTATAATTTTTATATAGTATAGACCAGTGTTTCCCAAACTTACAACTTTTGCATACCCTTTCTAAGTTTTTCGTAACGCTATGTACCACTTTTAGAAAAATTAATGTATTTTTTAAAAAAATGTTTACTTTTCATTTTTGTTACAAAATTTTCGGTAAAAAATTCTCAAATTTTTGTAAAAAATTCTGTGTTAGAGTGATAAAAACTATATTTTAAAGAATAATCTAAATAAGTAGAATTTATTACATACCTTTACTATAAAAAAATTGCACAAAAGTTAAAAATCAAAACTGGCTGTTGACACCACTAATTATTAACTGTTAACTCTGCAAAAATAGCCAAAAGAAAAATACGTAATCGCATGAACGTAAAGCATCATGGTTGCTTTTGATTTTAAATAAAAAAAATTTAAATTTTCGTTTGTTGCAAGATAATTCGCATAAGAACACGTACCCCACTAAACTGTTCCCGTACCCCTGGGGGTACGCGTACCACACTTTGGGAAACACTGGTATAGACAAATATTTTTAGATTATCATCAAATTGTTTCTAAGTGTTATTTATGAAATTATTTTCACATTCCGTTAGCTATGCTCTTTATATGTTGTGAAACAATTGCTTGAGAGTTTTTTTTCCCTCCAAATTATCTTGTTAGGTACAAGTTATTAATCTTGTGTTGATTCTAATTAATTTTAAAAGATTTCTTGAAATCAATTTATAAATTTTTGGACATATTTTATTATTATTTATCTTTTATAGCGAAGAGCTAATTGAAAATACAACAGAGGTAGAAAGACTGAGAAAATCCATTGGAGCAAAAGAAGAACAAGAGAAAAAACACATAGGTATACTTAAATAAAGGTGTTTGATTTTTTAGTGTTGGTTTAAAAGAAGTTCTTGCTGATACTGAATGAAACATAATACGAAACATTAATTTATTTTTTACAATTCATTGGGTCTATTCCATGAGTAACTGCTGAGTATTTATTAAGCAAATCAATAAGAATATTGTAATATACTGAACAAAATTTACATTTTTTAAAAGATATTTGCTCTTGATTTATATTCTTTTTTTTCTTTCTGTTTTGCTTAAGTCAATGTCACAAGTAAATTTCCAAAAACCTTTCTGTTTAATTTTAACAAAAATAGTTTAAAGTATTGTAGTTGAATGGCATTAAGGTTCCATTAACCATTTTTAGTTTTAGTTCCATTGACCATTCCATAGGTCAGTAACCATTTTTAAATATTTTTTTTAATTATCCAAAAATCACTTTTGATATTCAATTATTTAGTTAAAAAAGGCAAACCAGGAGCAAAAATCTGAACAAAAAAGTTTATATTTTAAGTAGTTCATTATAATATGCTAATTATTTTACTTTGTGAATGTCAGTTACCTGTGGTATTAATCCATTAATAGTACAGTATGTGCTAAGTTGCTATCAATGTCAGATTTTAAATTTGTATGTCATAATCAAGTATATTTACCTGCTGTAGATTAGACTTGTGCAATTTTTTTTAAATATTTTAGATGCTATCAGAGATCTAACAAATACTGTTAAGAAATTAGACAAAGAAGTATCTACATTAAAGGTATGGATAATTATTAAAAATATAATTTATGCATTTGTAAATTTTTATGTTTTTAGCTTTTATTGGCTGATTTAATTTATTCTTCAATTGAAGTATTTCATTTTATATTGAAATAAGTATATTAGATTATTTAGTATTACTTGAACAAAAGTAAAAAAACAAATATTTAAAAAGAAAAAAAGTTATTATTATTCAAAATTTATTGTTAATTTATTTTTAAAAATGCTTTTCTACTATTGATTTTCCTTTTTATAAAGTATTTAATATGAAAAGCATTCTTATTAAGGACCAGGGGTGCCAATATAGGAAATCGCTGTGACCTCCTTAAGATTTTCATTATTTGGCTAATTTTGTTTGGCAATTTGGCATATTTACGAAAATCGTATTGTTATAAAAACTATTCTCATTAAAATTGTAATTCTTTGAGGTTTCGTTCTCTTATATCTGAAGATAAAAAAAATAATGTGAGATATGAAAATCTCACTCCTTATGTTTCTTCATTATATGTAAAAATAATTGCAGTCGCTAATTTATGAATTCGGTCAAATTTCATTCAGCAAATTGGGAATTTTCCCCTTCCTAAAATATAAGTTCCCGACGCCCCTAGCAAGGATAAGTTAATACTTTTCATGTCCAAGCAACTGATTAATTCATTGTATAATCAATATTCCTCAGAGGGGAAACAATGAATTGAAATTAAGTCATATTTACTTTATTGTATATCCTAATTCAAATCTATATTTTTATTTAAGTAGAAAGTACACAACTTTAAAACAAACTTCTTTACATGAAAATTTATCCATAGATGTAAAAAAAAATTTCGAGTACCTAAAATAATTTGTATTTATTAATTAATTTTTGATAAAATAATTTTTTATGAATTAATTATCTTTTCTTTTATGCAATTTATTTAGAGTGATTTGGAAGATAGCAGAGAGAAAGAGCTCAGCTTTAAAAAATCGCTGGACAGCACTTATAGGGATCTTACAGAATTGAAAAAATCTTACGCATCAAAAGAAATTGAAGTTCAGGTAGATAGCTGTATTCTGACATCATCATTCAAAACTATTTTAATATATTATTTTTTATACTATTGTTTATTTATAGATTTAAACTAATGGTTATTAATAATATTAGTACAATTAATATTTTTTTCTCTATTTAATGGAGATTTTAAGTTTTAATGTGGAAATAAATATATAATCTTTTAAAGTTTAATATAAAAAAGGCATTAATATTCTTCCTTTATATAATTTTATTAATTTAATTTTTATTCTAAATGAGGTATTTTCCTAGTTATATTTCTGAGTTTCCATATCTTGGAAAAGATTTAATTTTGCCTGTTTACTTTAAAAATTAAGTAAATTAATATATTTTTTTAAATACCCTTGATAGTGAATGTTTTGAAATCAACTTATTACTTGCTGCCATTTTATAACTTTAATAATTCTTAACTTACCATTAATTATAAAAGTCCAAGAAATTTAAATAAGTGAATTATTGATTTTTTGAAATCAAATGTTTAAATCATTAACTAAGCATTTTTTTTTAAATTAGCTACTTTTCATCTCTTCTAACTTATTTTTTTGTAATTATATTTGAATTAATAAATTTAAGAGTACATATATATTATTCACTGAAACAATAATATATAACTGTGAGATATGGAGATGTACTATTAAATATTTTTTCCTGTCAATTCAATAGAAAGCGAACTCTCTTCCTTCGTAAATGCACTGCAAAATTTTATAATTGATACCTGATTCACATTGATACCTGAAAGTTTTAATTCCAATAAGGAGCTAATTCCATAATTGAATATTTTCTATACATTAGGAATAAGATAGTATTTTTTTCATTACGAATATAAATATGATTCGTTAAAGCAAATTCATGAAGTTTTATTGTCTATTTGAAATCTTAGTTAGAATTAGAGTACAAGCTATTTTAATTAACTTATTGTTAGTAAGGTTAGAGATGCACAAATTAAAGCCCGCTCCTTATATATTTCCTAATGCCAGTAAAAGTGAAAGAAAACATTAACTGTTTATAAAAGAACTAGTAAACAAACTAACAACTGACCCGTCAGCATTTTTAAGACCCTTCAGCATTAAAGACTGTCCCAAACCCCATCTCCCTTTAAAAGTGATAAAAATATAATCTAAGCATATTCCTGCGAGTAAATAATATAAGCATATTGCTGTGAGTCATTAAAGTAAGAGTAAAAACGAACCTGGTATTGTTATTCAACACCTGAGGACATCTACATTAAATGATATAAACATTTTATTTTAATTTTAACAAATGCCAGGCTTCAACAGTAAAGCCTTCTTTCTTCCTAATATTTCTGAACAATTCAATTAAAAATATTAAGTACAGTGCACATGTCAATATGGCACCTGTCTACTGTGAGTTTAGTGCCACAAAGACAGCAAGCCAGATAGTTTTTAAATCAAATTTTAAAAAGATGGACAGTGAGACAATTGTTAAAAGTTGGAAAGTGACAACAGCATAATTTTGTGTAAGGTATGGGATAAATAATCTTCTAGGACATATATGTTCCCAGGCCTTTCCCCTAGCGAATATAACAAAATACCAGTATAATATAGTATAAGCATAATAATTTAACATAAAAAAATAATATAAAGATTCTAACATAAATATAAAAATAATATAAGTATTTTTCTGTGAATAATTAAAGTTAATGCAAAGAAGGATTTGTTATTCAACCTGAGAGTGGCTTCATTTTACATGCTTTTTATTTTCTAACAAGCCTTATTATTTTTTGTACTTAATTAGATTTCTGATATTAACTAGTTTTGTTATGTCAACCAGATCCTCTTTATTTTTATATAAGTCATTTGGCTATTTATATACTTTGATTATCAATGTCCTTTCTTTTTATTTTATTATAATAAAATGAAATTATCTAATTTTTTTTAAAGGAATTGAAATCCAGTTTAGAGTTACAAGCTAAAGAAAATTTAGAACAATCATTAGAAAATGCCAAAAAGGATGCTGCTAGGGAAAAAGAAAGCTTACTTCTACAAATGCAAGACCTTCGAAGTTCTCTATCTCGATCTGAAGAGGAGGCAAATCTAAGAGAGAAAATGTTCAAATCAGAAATTGCAAGTTTACAAAAAGTTAGCATAGATTTTTTTTCTCAGTTCAGGAAAATTAATTCCATCCTGTTTGTGTACATTGTATTTTATGTGAATTCTAGTATATTTAAGTGTAGATTAAGAAACCTTAGTCAATATGTTACTTATGTCATTTTAAACTTGTAAAATTAAAAACAAATTATTTAAAAAAAGATATTTGAAAATTAAACTTATTGCAGTAGAGCAACAAAAAATAATATCATGCATTATTCTGATCATGTGTCATAATATACTTTAAAATTTAAGCAAATATTAACTTCTGTGTAACTATTAATAAATCAATATATTCTTAGCCTAAGGTTGTTTTTTTTTTTTAATCTTGACATACACTAATTTTATTTTATTTTATATCTGTCATTGAACAGCCGACCCATTTTTTTTGGTTTATGACTACTAATGTTCAACTCCCTTAGCCTTGTAATTTTGAACTAATCCAGAAGACAAGGAAACTCCTGGATCAGTGCCCCCAGAGGTATTGATTTTTTTTGAGAACTTGGAGGACTTTGCGACTTGACAGATTTAATGTGCATCAGTCACCATTTACTACACAAAGAGTATTTAGTCTGCAGGGATCGACATCACAAACTCTTGGGCGTAGTGCCAGTGCCCTACCAATCAGGCTATCCCAGCCTTGACATACGCTAATTGGAAAATTTGGCGCTTTGCAAATTGCAGAGATTACTTTGCAATCTATCTGCAATCCTCACTGCTATTCATCTATCAAATCACATTGCAGTTTACAAAAGGCTGTAGTATTCATGTAATGTTTGTGCAAATCCAAGTATCCATCATTTCCTTATTATTTGAAAGAAACTTCTTTAAATGAAAACATTTTATTCACTCTTGAAAGTTCATTAAAAAAATAGAATTAAATCATTGCCTACTTGTATTGTTTTTATAATTGCCTTTTTTCTATTTTAAGAATTCTTATGTATCTTATTAAAAAAATATTTTTTTAGAGATTGCAAGAAGCTGATGAGAGAAATGAAGATTTAACAAAGAATATGTCATCTGGTAAGCTATTTTTAAATAATTGATGTAATATCTTGATGACCGTGTGCATATATGCAATTACTTTTTAGACATCCATTCTTTCATGCAGAGTATATTTGTTTTTGAATTAACGAATAATGGGTAGAAGTGAAAAATTCTTACAATTTAGCCCTTGGGGAAAGGAATCAAAAATGTAATTTAATGATAATTTTAATTTATAATGGAAAAAGTATCATAATTATTAATTTTTTTCATGTAAGTAACTAGTTATAAATTTAAAAGCTATCAATATCTACATAAAACTAAACTGATAATTTTCCTTACTTATGTAATATATTAGTTAAATTCAATGATAAAATTTTGTATTTAAACCAGAATTCCAATTTTTAAAATAAGTTCTAGATAGTTCCTTAATAGGAATAACTAAATTTTTCTTAACAGCTCACAAATAATTAATTGTGTATTTAAATAGTTTTGAAGTATGAAAATATTACTGGTTTAATATTTTAAAATAATAAAATTCTTTTACTTTATTGTGTACAAATTTAGCTCTATAATTGGTATTTAATTCTTAAATCAGATCACTTTAATATTTTGGGTACAGAAATTAATAGTTTTATTAAATATTATTTTGTGTGCAATATTTGTCTTTAAAATACAAACACATACATAACATACTTTTTAATAGCAACAAGGCCTCTGGTTCGACAGATAGAAAACTTGCAAGCAACATTTACTGCTCAAACAATATCCTGGGAAAAAATCGAAAAGAATCTGACTGACAGACTAAGTAAGTTTTGCTATTATGCACAATGTGTAACTCCTTATATTTTTGTTCCAGATCTAGAGATATTAATCCACTATGAGTGTTCCATTTTGATATGTAAATGTTTTTAACTAATTTTTATTTTGTAATGAGATTTTATTACTGACAAAATTCTTTTAACTATTTACAGATATTCTATTTTCGAGATCTTGTTACAGAATCTTCTGGAATATATTTATTAAAACATTTTTTGTTTATTTCTGTGTTCAACAAGGTTTTTGTTAAAATTAAAATGTACTTACCAAAGTTTATAAAAAACTAATTAACAATGTATAATAAAAATAAAAAGTACACAATAGCCAGCTAAGGAAGTTAAAGCTCCACAATTTTGAGATCATTGGCATGATATTGGTAATGTGGTCACATTGTGCACTGACCGCCTTTACTTTCCAGTGAACTTGTTGCATTCATTAATTTAAAGCTAAAAGTTATCATTGCCATCATTAACTGCAAATGGAGATGTAAGATTTTTTTTAATTTTATTAGAGCTAAGTATGTTATACTTAAGGTAAAGTCTGTCTGTATGATCTTAAAGGACAGTTATTGGTGCTTTTCAATAAGCCGTGCACAAGTAAATTCAACAATTTTATTTTTTTAACATATAATGAATTGAAAGTCCCTCTTCCAAATAAATAATAAAATAATTATTTATAATTTGAAATATTGTTGAATCTATTTACGTCTGGTAACCGAAAAGTACCTAATTATTTAATTTCTTAAAAGCATTGCTGACATTTTACCTTATTTGGGTAAATGCAGATTATTTATTTCTAGAAACACCTTAGCAATCTTACTTATTTTTGATTATTTGATTTTGTTACTTTGAGTATATCAATCTATTTTTCAGTCAAGAGAAGCATAGCTACTTTTTGCTAATTTAACTTAACATTGAGCAATAATATTAGCTTAAAGATTGATGAAACAATGGCATGCCATTGAATCACAACCTATTAATGCTGAAAGAACCTGATTAGAAAAAAATCCATCAACTATTTTGTATCTAGTATTTGCATTCATTATTTTCTTTATCATTTTTTTAATACAACATTTATTTTAAAGTTCTGCTCACTGCTGAACTTTTCTGACTTATTAATGTTTACTAAGGACACAATAAAACTATATGCTAATTATTTTTGTTCATAACTGTAAAGCTGATTATTTTTCTTTTGAATGGTTTTTTAGTAAATGTGTTTATTTTAAAATTGAAGAAGTAATAGAATTATTACTTTACACACTTATTGTGAAAAACAAATAATAGTTTGACTAAATATCATTACTTTTTTGTTTCTTCAGTTTTTAAATAAAGTATTGTTTACTTCTTAAATTAGGTGATGCCCAAAATCAAATTGCTGTTCTATCTGAACGAGAGCGTGCAAGTGCTGAAAGGTTTTCAGAACATCAATCAAGATTAACCATTCTGGAATCTCAGAATAGCTCGTTAAGGCAAGAAAAATTGCAATTAACTGCTGAATTAGAAGATCTTAGAACAAATCTTCTTGTTTTGGAAGAAAATAAAAGCAGGTAGTTATATGTTTATGTTCTAGAATTTATATTTTATTGTTTGTCATTAAAAACTTACATATTTCTTCCTTCCCTTATTTATATTGTATATTAATTCAGCTTGATTTTTAAAAATAATATTAGTGTTGCATGTAACAAATATTTATTCATTAAATTATCCATTTTACTTTTAACTCTAGCGTTCTAGTTATCATTTTCTTACGCAACCAACTATTATTTTTTTCTCTGTTTTATTCACTAGAGAAAAAATACTCCATAAAAAAAAAAAAATTATAAAATTTTTTTTATCATTTAAACTTTTTATGTTTCAAAATTCCTTCTGAAAATATTTCAACCATACGTTTTTGTATACTTAATTCAATTACAAGTTTAAAAAGATCAATTACTGTTTATAAAGCACATTAAGTATTATTTAAAACTGAGTATATAATCATATTTCAAGTTTTAGAACAGAGAAAAGAGTTTTTAGCTGTTGACAAAAGTTTTGTACAAAGCAAAAAAATATTGAGAGAGACTAATATCGATTGTGTTCGGAGAAAATATGCAATATATTGCTGTATATTTATCATACATTCTATGTATTAATAAACTAGTTAGCATTATAACTAGAAGGATGACTAAAAAATCTGGCTCTAAGATTAAATAAAAATGTTAGAAGTTATTTATTAAATAATTATGTTCATTTTTTAAACATTTTAATTAAATTTCATCATTTAATCTAATTAGTACCCAATAAATTGATATGCATTGTCTTTTAAGATATCTGCTTGATTTAATTATAGGGAGAATTATACACTTGAAAAAGTAAAACAAAACTTCAATGCTGAAATTAAAAAACTGAAACAAGAAAAAGTGAGTAATACATATTCTTTTATTAAGAATAGGTGTTTAGTTTTAAAAAATTTATTATTCATTGCTATTTAATTTTCAATCTGAATATAGTATTTTTTAATTCTTAATTGTAACTTTAAACGCTAGCAGCATCAATTCATCATATATCATTTTATTTTGTTTAATTCAAATTCAGAGATGTCAGCACAATTTTTGTTTGAGTCTGCGCAGTAGTAAGTTTCATTTTCGAACCTTTACTTTTACTTTGTTTTTCGTCACGGAGCAAATTATTACGAATTCGATGTGTTGTAGATGGTTATAATTTTCTTTTCGGGACCAGCTCCCAAAGATATTACGATGATACATTCAAAATTGTTATTTATCGATAGCTATTAGCTATATTAATTTACGAGGTGAGTCGTTTTTATGTTTTGTTGTCATTAGTTGTGCTGAACTGTCTGAAATCGTTTTCATGTTTAATTAACTAAATAATTTGCTGCTATCTTATTTTCAACTTGTTTACTGTTAAAAATTTCAATTCAAGTTTATATTTTGTGAAATCAATTAATATCCAGTATCGTTAATTGTTCAATATATTATTTGCAGAATAAAATGTTCTTAAGATTCTTAATTTGTCAGGGTTTAAATTTTACAATATATATTNCTTTAAAATACAAACACATACATAACATACTTTTTAATAGCAACAAGGCCCCTGGTTCGACAGATAGAAAACTTGCAAGCTACATTTACTGCTCAAACAATATCTTGGGAAAAAATCGAAAAGAATTTGACTGACAGACTAAGTAAGTATTGCTATTATGCACACAATGTGTTAACTCTTTATACTTTTGTTCCAGATCTAGAGATATTAATCCATTATAAGTGCACCATTTAGATATGTAAATGTTTTTAACTAATTTTAATTTTTGGTAATGAGATTTTATTACTGACAAGATGCTTTTAACTATTTATTGATATTCTATTTTCAAGATCTTGTTACAGAATCTTCTGGAATATATTAAAACATTTTTTGTTTATTTCTGTGTTCAACAAAATTTTTTAAAAATTAAAATGTTCTTACCAACAAAGTTTATAAAATAACTAATTAATAATGTATACAATAGCCAGCTAAGGAAGTTAAAGCTCCACAATTTTGAAACTATTGACGTGATTTTGGTAATGTGATCACATTATGCACTGACCGCCTTTACTTTACAGTGTGCTTGCTTGCATTCATTGATCTAAAGCTGAAAGTTATCAATGCCATTATTAACTGCAACTAGAGATGTAAAATTTTTTAAAAATTTTATTAGAACTAAGTATGTCGTACTTAGGGTTAAGTCTGTCTATTTGATCTTAAAGGATTATTGGTACTTTTTAGCCATACACAAGTAAATTCAAAAATTTTATTTTTTATAACTTATAATAAAATGAAAGTCCCTCCTCCAAATAAATAATAAAATAATTAATAATAATTTAAAATGTTGTTAAATCTATTTGCATCTGGTAATCAAAAAGTACCAATTATTTAACTTCTTAAAAACAATGCTGACATTTTACCTTCTTTTGGGTAAATGCAGATTATTTGTTTCTAGTAAAAACCTAAACAATCTTTTTTATTTTTGATTATTTGATTTTGCTACTTTGAGTATATCAATCAATTTTTCAGACAAGAGAAGCATAGCCACTTTTGGCTAAATTAGCTTAACATTGAGCAATAATATTAAACTAAAGATTGATGAAACAATAGCATGTCATTGGATCACAACCTATTAATTTTTGATGCTGAAAGACCCTGATTAGAAAAAAATCCATCAACTATTTTGTATCTAGTTATCTTGCATTCATTATTTTCTTTTATTTGTTTAATACGACATATATTTTAAAGTTCTGCTCACTGCTGAACTTTTTTGACTTATTAATATTTAGTAAGGACACAATAAAACTATAAGCTTACTATTTTTTTTCATTATTGTGAAACTGATTATTTTTCTTTGGAGGGTTTTTTAGTAAATGTGTATATTTTAAAATTGAAGAAGTAATAGAATTATTGCTTTACACACTTATTGTGGAAAACAAAAAATGGTTTGAAAACAAAACTTAAAACTGCACATTCTGTATAAGCATCGAATTTTTTTCAGGAAAATGCAATGACATAATGATTACAAAGTGAGAAAAATGTAATTTCATGTCTATTTGTTATAAAAAAGTTTTCAAGGAGAAAATGTATACTTAGGATTGTTAACATTGTGTGCTATAAAGGATTTATACTTAAATATAGAGGATATTTTTTTTCATCCCCACCTCATTTTCAATCATTATTCTGTGCCATGAAATCTATCCTCACAATATGTACTTTGGGATCACACACTTTGAAAATGGATCATCTCTAAAGGAAATATATTAGAGATCATCATCGTAAAATATTGATTTTAAGTGTTTATTTTTTTTCTTCTGAAAAACCAGCAATAATTTTTTTTTATTTTAAAATTATTTTCGTAATATTCTTTTTGTCTCCTCAACTTGGTTTTCTGACAAAGTATCATTACTTTTTTGTTTCTTCAGTTTTTAAATAAAATATTTATTACTTCTTAAATTAGGTGATGCCCAAAATCAAATTGCTGTTCTATCTGAACGTGAGCGTGCAAGTGCAGAAAGGTTTTCAGAACATCAATCAAGATTAACCATTCTGGAATCTCAGAATAGCTCGTTAAGGCAAGAAAAATTGCAATTAACTGCTGAATTAGAAGATCTTAGAACAAATCTACTTGTTTTGGAGGAAAATAAAAGCAGGTAATTCTAAGTTTATGTTCTAAATTTATATTTTATTGTGTTTATCATTAAAAACTTACATGTCCTTCCTTCCCTTATTTATATATTGTATATTAATTATGCTTATTTTTTTAAAAAATATTAGTATTGCATATAACTAATATTTATTAATTAAATTTTCCATTTTACTTTTAACTCTAGCGTAACTTGTTATAATTTTTTTCTTACTTTCTTACACAACAAACTATTATTTTTTTCTTTGTTTTATTGACTAGAGAAAAAATACTCTATATGAAAAAATTTATAAAAATTTTTGTTTTGTTTTTAGTTTGACATTTAAAAGTGTTTAGCATTTAAACTTTTTATGTTTCTCAATTTCTTCTGAAAACATTTCAACCATAGGTTTTTGTATACTTAATTCAATTACAAGTTTAAAAAGATCTATTAATGTTTGTAAAGCACATTAAATATTACTTAAAATTGAGTATATATTTATCTTTCAAGTTTTAGAACAGAGAAAAGAGCTGTTAGCAGTTGTGAAATGTATGTACAGAGCAAAAAAAAATTTTGAAACTTTAATATAGATTGCGTTTGGAGAAAATATGTAACATATTGCTGTATATTTATCAAATGTCCTATGTATTAATAAACTAGTTAGGATTATAACTACAAGGATCTATTATATATAATTCTCTTACGTGGCTCCCAAATTTTGGCTGTATTTCTTTTCCGCTGGTGGCAACAGTTTTCATTTTTAAAGAAGTACTTTGTACAACTAAATAAGATTCTTTTCACAACACTTAAATATTTACTTTATTTTCTTCATATATACAGAGAACAGTCGGTAAAGAATTCTGTTAGGTTAAAAAACATTTTGCTAAAAAAAGAACGAATTCTAAAAGAAATAAAAATAAACAACTTAAAAAATATAAATGCTGTTGCCAGCCATAGAATTTTTTGAAAGTTAACTGAGCAACATAAATCAAAATGACTTAGAAGCGCAACTAGATCAAAATTATGATACCTGAGTGCTTGACGTAAACCTTCAATTCTAAAAGTGTTGTATCGCCAAATGCCCAAATTAACAATTGAGTTCTTAAAGAAATTCTATAAAAAGTTTTAAATAAAAAAACTACTATCCAGCTACTTCTATAACTGCTTCTTGAGGAACTTGGCTCATTGATTAAAAATATTGTTTTAATTTTACAGTACTAACTTTACTTCTACTTACATTATTGCTATGACCCTCATTTATTACATTTTACAACTTCATGCTAAATTTGAAGACTTTCAGTTGTTTTGTGGTTGAATACTGACATTTAGAAACGTGTACATAAAAAAAATAATATTTAGAGGTTAAGAGTTGCCTCAGAAAAATTTGAATTGTTGACACTATATTTAATAATGGAAACAATCGTTTTTGTGAAAAATTGAATTGTATTGCTGACATCAAAACTAAAAATATTGTGTTTCAACTTAACAATACTACCTTAATTTTTACTTATAAAATTACGATGATCCTTTCTTATATATAGATATATATGCATTTTACAACTTCATATTAAACTTCTGTTGTGAGTCTGAATACTGACATTTAGAACAAAATTAAGGTTTAGAATTGCCTCGGAGAAATTTGAATTGTTAACAATGACTTAAACAAAAAGTTTTATTTTAACTGACAAATACTATATTATAATTTTAACTTTTTCTATGACTATACTCATTTTCTTACTCTTTTCTTTGTTTTTTATACATTTTATTTTTTTGTGATAAAATAAAAAACTTATAGTTGTTCTGCTTCTGAACACTGATGAAAACACAAAATGATGGGCTTCATCAACAATCAAAAATATATACATTTATTTTACAAATTCCACATTATTAGGGTGGCGCCCTTCGGAGAATTAAAAATACAAAATTATCTTCATAAAAGCCGATGCTTTACATCTGGCGTTTAGTGGTAGACTACTATTTCATATTGTTTTACAACACATGGCTTTAGCCCTCTGGTGGGAAGGACTTTAAAACAAAACTTACAACAGTTACTTTTCTCAACAACTGAAATTTAGAATAGTGTGATTAAGAAAAATATGTGAACTGTTTGCAATTTCAAATTAATATTGAAATGTACAGGTATAGAATTTTCTACAGTGAAAAGTTTTCGGAACTTCAGTATTCAAAAAAGTATACAAAAACTAGACGTTAAGAACGTATCCAATGAGCGAGCAAAGCGAGCATTGGATTGCGAAGCAATCCGAAATGAACTGTGAAAGCAGTTCCGGGGGTTGGTGAGCGCCAGCGAGCAGGGGGCGAAGCCTCCTAGTGACTAAAAAATCTGGCTCTAAGATTAAATGCAAATGTTAAAAGTTATTTATAAAATAATTATGCTGATTTTCTTAAACATTTTAATTCAATTTAATGATTTTATCTGTATTATCTAATTAGTACACAATAAATTGATTTGTATTGTCTTTTAAGATATCTCGTTGTTTTAATTATAGGGAGAATTATACACTCGAAAAAGTAAAACAAAACTTCAATGCTGAAATTAAAAAACTGAAACAAGAAAAAGTAAGGAATACATTTTTTTATTTTAAGACTAAGTAGTTAATAATAAAATATATATTTAAATTTTATTTCTCTCTACTTTTATTATATTCATGAAGTTTTTATCTATTGTTTAGATCAATTTTCAACAGTAATAATGTTCAATAATCAACTCTTTATTGCTTCAGCTTTTTTTTTCTTTCTTGATTTTACCATTTTTTTCTCCATATTGTGACTTTTATGTTATGTTTCTGAATAAATCTTAAATAGTTCTTTTATTTTTAAGTTATATTGACTTTTTTTTATTACTATTTATGAATTTTTATATTTACTTTTGGAATTTTTAAGTCTTCATTCGTAACTCATATCCTTTCTTACCCAGTAAATTTCCTTTACCTTGTAAACTTACTAAGTAAATAATCAAACTAAATAAGGGAAAAAAAAGATTTTTTTTGTAAGAATTCTTTTTATGACACTTTATCAATATTAATTTTTTATTTTTAAACTCAATGTTAAAATACTTAAGCCTTATATTGTAGTACATTTTTACTTACCTTGAAAATTTCCTTTACCTTTCAAAAAAAAAACATTACTCTTTACAAAATTCTATTTGTATTTTACCTTTCCTTAAAAATATGAATTTCCTCAACATTTATCAGGAATCATCTTGAAGTTTTTAAGCAAATTTTTAATTCAGAATTTATATTAATTATTTCTTGGTTAATTTGGAAACTTTATACATAAGTATAATTATTAAATTCTTATATAATGACTGTTATTAATTAATAATTTAATAGACTTTGAGTTGCATATGTCCATTGAAGTTAATTTTTGTTTGTAATTCTTTGAAATTCATTTTTGTTTTCATTGAAAATTACTCGTGTTAATTTATCTGCATATTTTTAATACATTTAATTATAACCAATTAATCTTGAAGCTAAGGAAGGTTCAAAATTAGTAAACATTTAAATTTATCTTTGTTAAACATGATAAATTTATAGAAATCTAAAATGGTGTCATACAATAGACAAACAATGCAAAAACAAGCATTTTTATCTTTGGAAGACTTGTAACTTAAACAATAAGTTCATCTTTCTGCCCTTCTTTTTTATAATATATTTATATTTTATTTTTTATATACCAAAAAGAAAAAATGTAATATATATGCTACTGTAAAAGCTTAAAATCTGGTAAAACTTAGGATTTACCCAAGTAACTCCTAGGTTTTACTGCAAAAACTTGGTAAAAGGCCAAAATGAAATCATATTAGAGCACAATTCAACAAAGCCACTAAGGTTTAACCGGTAAAACTATAAATTTACCAGAGTTTAGGTATTTATTGTAACATATTTACAAAAATGAATCATTTTAACTATCTAAATAAGTATATGTTAGTGTAGAGTACATAAGCATAATTTTTCATATATTTTTTTCCATTTCCCCATTTCTTAGGCAAACTTAGAAAGCACAATGGCAACATGTTTGGAGCAGTTAGACATGGAGAAAAGAAAAGTGGTAAAATTAGAGGAAGAAATCAAACTAAAGGTAAATGTGTGGAAATTTTTGAAATATTTTTTTAAATCAATTTTAAATAAATTTGACACTTTTACTTTATTTATAACAGGATGCTAGAGCAATGATATTGTCAAATGTATCTCCATGTCCATCACCTACTGGTTCTGTCAGAAGTTCTGTTAGCAGCATTCATAATTGGTCTCAGGTAAATACAAATTGTTCCTAGATACTGGATATTGAAAACCTACGAATGCCATTAGTCCTTTAACACGTATGACACCTTTGTATTTTTCTAATACTTAGATAGTCTTGCACATAGTTTTTTTTTTACTATTATCCTATGTTGGGACAGAGGTCATATCAGGCCTACTGATAGCCCAATAAAGTTATCTGGAGAACAGTTCAAAAAAGAAAGTGCAGGACAGTTTGTCAAATGATTAAAGTCCATAAAAACTTCTAGAGGGCACAGGGTGCAGTTAGAAGCATTGTCCTGCACATAGTTAATAGCAACTCAAATATGTTCAAGCACAACAAACTCATAGGTTTCAATTCTCCCGAATCAATCGGGAGAACTTCTGATTTTCAGGGTAATTTCCTGGACTCTCAAAAAAAAAATTCAAATGTCAGTAATTTTTTCAAATCTTATCAAAAATTTAAAAATTTTTGTTTTTTAATTTTTTCCCCACTATAAATACTACATTACATTTTTATTCCATTCAAATCTGGTAAACATTTTCACTTATTAAACTAAACTTGTGACTACATATTTATTCAATTAAATTTTTATGAATATTTTTACTTGGTGAGCTTTAATTTTTATTATATTTTAATTTTTATTTACATTGAAAAAAATTTATCCATCTCAGTGCATAGTATATATAGTAGTAAATACATGTGTATATAAAATTTCAGTGCTGTTAGTATTTAATAGTATTCGAATTTTAAATTCACTATGCTGTAATTTGCTATCTTTCTGCTTACATTTGTAACTAAAAGAAAAAGTCCCTGGAAAAATTCGAATTTATGTTGTAACTACAAATTTAGTCATTAATATCATAAATTGTGCCACAAGCAGAATTTTTCTACTTTTGATTCTCCAGTGTTTGTAGTTTTTCCACTTTGGGAAATGATGTATGTATTATGAACAGTTCATGCAAATTTTTCTATTTGCAAAAGCTGCTGAGTTTTAAAAGCTATTTTATTTTTGACTTTCATGAAAATTATTTTTATTGCATATATTTTTTCATCTTTAGGATCAAATAATATTAGCAAATCTTTATTTATAGGATGAATCTCATGATATGGGCTTACATACACCAGTAAATAGCTATCGTATGTCGGTTTATGAATCTTTACGATTAGGAAGTGGTTCGTCATTGCTTGAAAACTTGCAGTCACAATTAAAACAAAGAGAGGGAGAAATATATCAACTGCAGGTAAAATTAAGTTAATTTGATTTATGTTCTACGTTTTAGTTATTACCATATTAACTGCAATGTTAAAAAAAATAATGAAAAAACAGTGTTTGAGTTTAAAGCAGATGTAATTAGTTTAAAATGCTAGACTAAGCTTTCTAAAAGTTATTTCTTATTAAATCTGTGACTACTATATATCAATAATAATCAATATTCTAAGCCGTGGTCCCACAGTAGTTAAGGCACTGATCTGTCCATCCTGAAAAACTGCGGTTCTATCCTCGATGATAGCTTGAAGACCACTGTGCATCAGATCAATTGGGACCAGATAGTATGTAGTAAAAGTAGCCAGTATGCAATGCTGATCACCATCATAACTTTTGTCATAAAATTGTCGAGTCATAATCTCTATGACCCCTTTGGCCAACAATTGGCTTTGCTTTGCACTTTTTTTAATGCTTTGCTTGATTTTTAATAAATTTGTAGCATTTGTAAGACACTAATACTGTCTTCTACGAATTGTTTATTTATATATTTATTTTTTGTTATTGATAAAAATTAAGTGATTTGGAAAAGTATTTCCTTCCGATTTCTAATAAAAACACTTTCAAATTTTCCTATCAGATCAAATTCAATTAAAAAAATATGTTTATACAAAGAACCTGAAATATTTGGACAAAAAATTTGAAATAAGTCATGCAGTGTCACTTTTTAATATTTCTCAAATTAATAAAATTAAACCCATTTGGGTTATTAAAATTTTTTAATGAAAAATATCAATGCACTTAAAACAAAATATACAGACTGTCTAAAAAATAATGTTTTAATTTATATCTTAATTAAAAATTTTATTTTTCAGTCTGAAATATCAAAACTAGAACAGGTGAAAGAATCAATGACTTGTGAGTTGGTGCAATTATCAGAACAAAATGAAAATTTGGATAAAAGATTAGCACTACTTGAGTCATTAGAAAAAGAACACAAGGTATGTATTATCCTTAAAAATGAAAATTCAGAAATCTACTTTTTAGAAAAAATAAATGTTTATTTTGAAATTGTGATAATCTAAATATAAAAACTTTATAGTTAAAAAGTTTGTTTTCCTTTTTCGACATTCATGTATGATAAAAGATAATAAAAAAATATTTTAATCTAGTCAAGAAATAGTCGAAGACAATTTATTTACAGAAATTGTTTTTGTTGAAAAATTTTAACACAATAATATTTGATCACATTAGAGCTACATTTATGGACTATTAGTGATGCTCTATGATTTATCCAACTGACGCACTTTCACAATTTAGATTAAAGGGCAGTTGGTCGTAGTATTCTCCTGGTCTCTGCAATTCATTCCCCAGCCACTCAATTGTGGCTCTGATATCGCCAGAAGCTTTTCTTTAGAGTGGATTCCAAACCATTAAGATATTATTGGAGAAAGTTTTGTCCAATCAGACATCCAGCTTTTAACTCAAGGAATCAATCCGCTGTCCAGACTGTGGCAGGAAATGACTAAATCTGCCACATAGCCTGAGCAACTCAGTGAGATTTAAATAGCATTATAATTTGGTACCTCTTGGTTTTTAGTGGGGCTTAAAAAAAATTGCTATACTATTATAAGTATTGCTGTAATAAATAATACTGGTATTGTGGTAATAGGTGTCTAATTTATTAATATGTGTAATAGGGTAATACGCTTTTACAGCCCTCAAAATGGATAAGTACTACGAATATTGGGATAAATGCAAATAAAATGTTTTTTTCCCATTTGGTGACAGAGTTTTAAAAATATTAATTTTAGTAAAGTTTTTAATACTTAATAATGATATTTACTCTTGAAATAAAATAAATGCTTTCAAAAAATATATTGAATGTGTTGTAAATAGGTATATATTATGTTAATTGATTAGAAATGATTTTTTCTAGGATCTTGATCAAAAATATAATACTCTTCTTCAAATGTATGGGGAAAAGGTTGAAGAAACTGAAGAACTACAACTGGATTTAGCTGATGTTAAGTCCATGTATAAAGCTCAGGTATGAAATGGGTTTATAGTATTTCTTTTTTCAAGTTATGAAATGTTGAAAATAATGCTTAATTAGCTGTTTAATTAAATATATACTTGAAATATAAAAACTTGTGTTGGAGAAAATAGATACTGTTACTAGTGAATCAAAGTGTCAAATAAGTCTGAAAGCGAAAAATTTTAAAGTATGTTGTATATTTATCTCACCTGGTACCACAATATCACAGCGATTTCTCTATGTAAGTTCGCAACACTTGACTGATACATAAATGTGTTGGATTTATTGTTTCCTTTAAAAATTATATATATACACCACATGCTAAAAAACTACTGCTTTTTAATTTGAATATTAAATGCACCTAGAATATATATTTAAAGAAACGATAGTTTCAGTTCACAAAGTACCTTTGCTGTAAAAAAAATTCATAAGATATTTTTAAACTTAAAATATATGGGATATAAATCTCTAGTGACTACACTTGATTACGTGCACAATAACTATTTTAGATTCGCAAAGATAGATAAAATTAATTTTTAAAGTATTAAACAGATCTCTATTATGAAGCATAGTATCAAATACATTTGATAAACATAGTTATTTTGTTATTTAAATTAAATTTAAACTTATTTTTTCACAGTAGTTAGATTTGCCCCTTACTTACAGGAATGTTATAATTTATATACATTTTAATTTTTTTTTTGAAAAAATTCATATTTAAATTGGTTTTTTGAAGTGTTGGGCATCCTATTAAACTTATTGTTTTTATTCATCAGTGCATTTAAACTTTTCACAACTTTTGGAATCACTAAATTTTTTGAAATAAATTTTAAATTGCAGTATAGTTATACTTGTATTTTTTTTAATCATTAATTCATTTTACCATACATAAAAATTTGTGCTTGTTATTTGTTTATTAAAATTTTAGTTTCCCATAATTCTAGACTATGCAGTTAGAGACAGCAAAATAGTGAATTTGTGGTTACCAAAGGCAATTTGTATTATACAAACTTAAATATTAGCAGTTTATATAATTTATTGAAAGGAGCAAAACAAAATAAAGTATTTAGTTCCTAATAAGACCATGTTTTGGGAGAAAGAATATGTTAATTTTCAAACTATTCAGTCAAATGTTACATACTTTACTGAAACAAAAGACTTTAAAGCACTATAATTTACAAAATAAATTTCTTTCAAAAATGCACATGCTATTTAACGAGTTTACTAACTTGAGAAATGTTCATAAGATCATTGATTCTTTATTACATATTCCAATCCATTTCTAATTTTTAGTCATAATATGAATACCAATTATTAAATATTGTGGTTTTTAAAATTCTCAATGTTTTTTAGTGTTTGAAGGATTCTGAAAAGAAAGGTAAACATTTTATCCAAATTTTATTGAGAAAATCAGTGTTTGCATTTTTTTAAAAAAAAAACAAACAAACAAATTCATTTTAACTTGAAAAAAACAAGAAAAAAAAACTGATATGCATAAATAATTTTAATCAATGAAAATACTTTTGTAAAACAATTTAGTTAGTTCAAACCAAAGCATCAGATATATTACTGATTTGTTATTGCAATAAAATTCTGTTATATTTATGTAATAAATTTTAATTTTTCTAATTGCTGCATCAATTTGCTTTTTCAGATTGAAGAATTGCTAATGAAAAAATGATTTTGTTTAGAATTATTTTATGGGATTGGTATATTCTTAGAGTGAATAACTGTACTTTTTTTTCTCCAAAATGTATATTATAAATAATGTAAAATAAAACAAATTTGTAAAAAAAATATGAATTATATGTACAGATGTGGAATTTTTGAAAGTGTTAAAGCTGAATTTGTAAACAATGTTTATATTTATTGTGATAAGTTTTAAGTGCCCTACTTTATCATTATTCTTTTTAATATATTACCTAACTATTTATCTATTGTTTCAAATAAAATTCAGTTTTAATCAAAATGTAAGCATTTATTCTGAAAAAAAAACTTGCTAATTATATAACTATACTTTTGTATTTTAATTCTATTCTCATATAATTCAGTTATTAAAATTTAGCTCAACATTTGTGCATTTTGTTATTTTTAAATCTTTTCATAAAAAATATTTTCTTGAGGCTGTGGGGCATCTTGTGTGTATCACTTTTTTTCTCATATTTGCAACATTAAAATGTTGTTTTAAAAACTTCTCTGAGAACCCAGTGTGATAATTAGCACTTGCCTAAATAATTTATTTGTTGACTATGTTATGGATTATTTTGTATTCTATAATAGAGGTTTTTTAAATAAAGTTACTGATTTATCAGAGTTTTCATTAATCAATATGTTGACAGATGCAACAAACATACATGAACACAAAATATCTTAATTTCTTGAGAAAAAATACAAAAAAAAAAAATCTTTTAAAAATAAAATTTGCATAGATGTGACAATATATTAAGGATTCAAAGCAATAATAAGGTTGTTTCTCTTATAAATAAAAACAATTCAGTTTATGTGTACACTGTGAGTTATTGAAAATTTCTGTCACTAGGCGTGGCAGTTATAGTTAAAAGAACTTGACTCGTTATAAAGGGTAATATAAGATATCGACCATTTACCTAATTACTACTAAACATGTTTAGGTTTTATAAAAAGAACTGGTGCTATGATTTTAAATCCATCCAGATATCGCATATTAACTCAATTCCCTGTGAATCAAATGTGATACATCAAGTACAGATATAAAATTCTGTGGAAGTTCTTAATAAAATGTTGATTTTTTTTGTGTGTGAGCATAGTTTGTCCAGTTCAAAAGCTCTTTATTATCAAATTATGCATCATAATTTCACAATAACTATATTACATTAATTGTATAAATATTAGTTCTATAATTTCTAGAGGAAATGTTAAACAAGGGCCTTGTTCAGCTATATTCAATAATGCTATCTCTAATTAAGATCAGGTGCAGTCCTTTGGTTGTTTATGCTAACATATCCCTCAAATGCACTCAATCAAAATTTAAAGTGGCACTAAGGTTTTCTAATTATGCCTTTTGGTAGCAAAACAAATGACTTTTTTATAATTGTTAGAAAGAAACCGCCCCTTTATTGTAGGAGTGCACAATCTTTTTGGGTGAAGGGTCACACACATATTTAGTAATGTTAGCAGCAAACATGATAATTTTTATAAAAACATTAGTGCTCTAAGCACTAAATATTTATATCAGTAAATTTAGAAGAATATTTGCAGAAAATTAAATACTTTTAATTATTTAAACCTAAAAAAACTTATGCATTTTTTAAAAATTTTTTCACTATAATTAATATATCAAATATATATATACACGTGAAGGGGGATATAAATCCTAACTAAAAAGAAGCTTACAGAATTAAAGCTTACAGAAGCTTAAAAAATATACAAATTTTTTTTAATTAAAGAAAATGTACAATGTTTAAACAAAAACTAAATTTTTTTTATTGTGTTTAGAAGTTCCAACAGGCTGTACATTAACAGTGGGAGGGCCACATGTGGCCCACCGGCCATAGGTTGTGCACCCCTACTTTATTAGGTCATTTATAAAATTTATTGTTCTTGGTTGTAAACAATTTTGAAGTCTTTTTATTATGGAAATATGCAGGAGTCCCCCCAGCATTCTAGGATGGTGAGCGTGAAACAAGGAGTATACTATGAAGTGCCCATGACTCATCTAAGATCATATTAAAAATTGAACATATGATCAAAAAAAAAAAAAAATTCTCAATATAAAATGGAAAAAGGCAAATGGGTAAACAATATTTGTAACACTTATTCTTAAAACATACAACAAGAAAAAAAAATCTTCATTTTATTTTTACTATTACAAATATAAAATAAATACAAGATATAAAATACGGTTATGACTAGTAATAACAAAATGCTAAAAAAAAAANGAATATATTAAGGATTCAAAGCCATAATAAGATTGTTTCTCTGATAAATATCATAAATAAAAACAATTCTGTTTATGTGTTCACTGAGAGTTATTGAAAATTTCTGTCACTAGGCGTGACAGTTTCAGCCAAAGAACTTGACTCTTTATAAAGAGTAATACAGTAGGGAACCGATTATCCGGAACAATCGGGACCATCGATATTCTGGATAACTGATTTTTCCGGTTTTCTGAATCGCTACAAAATGCCTTTTTTATATAGTTAAACCCAACTAAAAAAAATAATTAAAAATAATCTTAAAAAGAAGAAAAACGATGAAGTAATACACTAATGATTATTTCCAAAATGATGGTAAGGTAAACATCTTTCAAAAAAGAACGAAAAATCCTAAAATCTTATGAGGGAAAAAATTTTTTTTTTTTTAAATGGCGGGGAAACTAATTAAATTTCGTTCCGGTTTTCTGATTTCCGGATAGCGGGTTCTGCACTGTATAAGATATGTTTAGGTTTTATGAAAAAGAACTGGTGCTATGGTTTTAAAAATCCATCCAGATATCTCATATTAACTCAATTCCCTATGAATCAAATGCAATACACCAAATACAGATATAAAATTCTGTGGAAGTTCTTAATAAAATGTGGATTTTTTTTTTGTGTGTGCATAGTTCAAAAGCTGTTTATTATCAAATTATGTACCATAATTTCACAATAACTATATTAGATTTATTGTATAAATATTAGTTCTATCATTTTCAGTAGAAATGTTAAGTGCCTTGTTCAGTTTTATTCAATAAGGCTATCTCCAATTAAGATCAGGTGCAGTCCTTTGGTTGTTTATCATCCCTCAAATGCACTTAATCAAAATTTAAAGTGACACTAAGGTTTTCTAATTATGCCTTTTGGTAGCAAAACAAATGACTTTTTTTATAATTGTTAGAAAGAAACAGTCTTTTTATTATAGGAGTGCACAACCTTTTTGGGTGAAGGGCCACACACATATTTAGCAAATATGATAATTTTTATAAAAACATTAGTGCTCTAAGCACTAAATATTTATATCAGTAACTTAGAAGAATATTTGCAGAAAATTAAATACTTTAAACTTATTAATACTTTAAAAAACTTATGCATTTTTTTAAAGTTTTTCACTATAATTAATTTATCAAATATATATATACACATGAAGGAGGATATAAATTCTAACGAAAAAGAAGCTAACAGAATGAAAGTGTAAAAAATATACACATTTTTTTAATTAAAGAAAATGTACAATGTTTAAACAAAAACTAAATTTTTTTATTGTGTTCAGAAGTTCCCGCGGGCTGTACATCAACAGTGGGAGGGCCGTATGTAGCTCACCGGCCATAGGTTGTGCACCCCTACTTTATTAGGTCATTTATAAAACTTTATTGTTCTTGGTTGTAAACAATTTTGAAGTCTTTTCATTATGGACATATGCAGGAGTCCCCAAAGTGCATATCCCAGCATTCTAGGATGTTGCAGTGTGAATCAAGGAGTATACTATGTAGTGCCCATGACTCATCTAAGATCACATTAAAAACTGAACATATGATCAAAAAAAAAAAATATGTTAATATAAAATGGAAAAAGGCAAATGGGTTAACAATACTTGTAACTACTTATTCTTAAAACATACAGCAAGAAAGAAAAATCTTCATTTTATTTTTACTATTACAAATATAAAATAAATACAAGATATAAAATACGGTTATGACTAGTAATAACAAAATGCTAAAAAAAAAACTGTTAGCAAGCAAATATCTTATATGTTACAAAATAAAAAAACAGAGATTCTCATTGATATAACTTCATTTGTTCCTCCACTTCAGTCATACTAATATTTCCAAATTTATCACTTTGTTGCTGCATCAGTTCATATATTTGGGCCAGTTGTTTCTTCTTCACTCTAATTAAAACATTTAATATTTCTGTTATTTTTTGGTAATTAAAGGAAAAATTAGGTACATTTTCACATGAAAATATGTAATCTTAATAAAAAATATTGATCAGGAGCTATTCATATAGCCTTTTCAGGGGTCTGTTTAGAAGAAATTTGGGTCCGTTAACGAACCCTTCACAAAATATCTTTTCATAAAAACGGACCCTTCACAAAATGATTTTTCTTTTAATCGGACCCTTCACAAATTTGTTTATCTTCATTATTATTTTGTTAATCGAATAAACCCTTTCCAGGGCAGAAAACAAGAAAGATGGATGTAAACGAATTAAGTTTTGTCTTCGGCAGACGATTCTTCCATTATTCGTCCGAAATTAATATTCTGCGTTCAGCAGTATAGGCTAAATACCAAATATTTGTATGTTGCATCTCTAATTTAGAAGCAGCAATTGTTGTTTATTTTTTAAAATTTAATTTTTTTAATTATAATTTTACAGTGTTGAGCATTATCTTGTATGTCTTTACAATTTAAAAACTCCTTGAAAAAGTTTTTTTTTTGCAATAACGGACCCTGGTGAGTAATTTTTTCACAATTTCACTAAAAACGGACCTTTCACAAAATGTCTGGACAGACCCCTGCTTTTTGGCTCTAGCACCAGAAATCAAGAACTAACTAATTTAATCAAAAAGTTGATGAATGACCAAGTATGTATTTGAAATAAGCTTAGTTTTTAACAAAGGCAGCTTTGATTTATTGTGTCATAACTGCTTAAAAAATAAAGAGAGAGGGGGAGAGATTTGAACTAAAATTGTAAATATCAAAGAAAAAAATAATCAGTTTTTAAATAAGGTTAAAAAAAAAAATTACTAATGAGATTTAATGAAGTAAAATTATTATTAATATATTAATGAAATACTGATGTAAATTAAATATATTTTTTTAATTTTGTAACTAATATTTTAAGCAAAAGCACTGTTCTTAAGTTAAGAAGACAAATAAAAGTCAAAATTAGTTTTAATTATACCAATAACACAGACTCTATCAGGGGTGATTGTGAGCCCAAGTCAGAATTCCGGAAAATTTCTTGAATTAAAAAAAAGAAAGAAAAGAAGTTTAAATTGAAAAATTAAAAATTAAACAAGTTTTTTTTCCTGTATCTCAATATTTCTTAGTTTACTTAAGATATATTTAAAAATTTACACTTACCTATGATGACCTGCAGAAGTAATTGAAATTTGCAAATATGTCTGTCTTTCTTGAGTTTATGATTCTAATAACTATTTACTGATAAAAAAATGAATATTAATCATGAATATAAGCTTATCATGAATAAAATATCTCTCAGGCTCTCCCTTACAAACAAATAAAATAAACTGTTTTTTTAAGTTCCACCTTTGAAAATTTGATTTCTGGAGACTTCTGTGATCATTGAATTTTTGAAACGTCTGGACCTTCGATCTCCGGTAACTTCTGGATCACTGTTAGTGAAAAATCCAGAATTTTTCCGGAGCACAATCACCCCTGCTCTATTGTGCAACCTCTCTTCATTTTCCAACCTGCATTGAACAATTACAAGTTTTTTCCCCCTCTTGCTAAAGCACTAACATAAAAGTTTGTTAAAGCACAATAAATCCTAGTTAAAGTTTTCAGTAAAAGAATTTTTAACTATCAATAGCACAAAACAGCTTGCCAAAATATTAAAATTAATTGGGTTTTTTTTTCAGCAAGGAAATTGGAAGGATAATTGGCACAACTATATGGTCCAGTTCTTGTGAATATATATAAGGTCAGTTTGCCTAAATGCGACACGATTTAATGTAAGTTTGTCACATTTAGGTCTAACTTGACCTTTCATGGATATATTCCCTGAAAATGGCTGAAGTGTTATGAAGTTCTAAACAAATTTTTTCTCGCTGAAACTGACAAAAATTGTAATTTAACCAAAGATATTTCATTGTCGAAATTAGGGCATATTTGTCGCATTTAAGCACACTAAAGGTACCTAAATGCGACTTTACAGCAATTTTATTCACTTGTTTTTTGTTTCCATCAATGAAATCTTGCTATCAAAATTTCGAACCCTTTAAGACTAGCTTGAATGGTCCATATCCAAAGACAACACAAGTTGAAATCCTTTCATGATGAATGCTAACAGTATTTATAGTAAAATTGAGTTTATTGTCAATCAAAATTCGTTTCCTACTATATTAAATCTAACTAGAGTACATAAAATCCAACTGAAGTTCCGAAATGGGTGACTATGCAAGTTATCGTTTTTTTACTGCTACTTGCAAATTTATTGTGGATAGCAATTTATCGATATTTAAAATCATGGAAACTTTAAAAATAACTAAACTCTACAATTTATAACTCAAAATTATTACTCTGAATAAAAACAGAAGTGAAAACTCAGGAAATCATCGCCCACAAATTGAAGTATAAAATCTTGTAAAAAAAAAAAGGTGGGGAAATCTAGAAAATGCGAAAATAAATTTTATCTGTTCAGCATGTTTGATATAACTTAATGAACAGTTTAAATTTAAATTCACATTTAATAAAAATTAACTAAAGCAAACTTACTCTTGTTCTAGCCTCTTTTGTTCTTCGGTCATGTTTGCTTCAATTACTTTTTCAGCTATTATCGCTGGAGACCTTGCCAGAGACGATATTGCAGTTGCATCCGAATTCTAATAAATAAAATAACAATTAAAATTTAAAATAGATATGTTACTTTATTCATACAATTATACTAGTAGTTAAGAACTGGTTTGAAGAAAAGTAAAACACTAGTTGAAACTAACTACTAGTTACAACTAACAAGTTAACTAGTTGAAACTAACAAGTTAACTAGTTAAAACTACTAGTAAACTTACATTAACAGTCAGACAAAGATTTCGTGAAAATTGAGAACTAATTAGAAAAATCTTAAGGTAATAATAATGTTAGGTAATAATTTTGCTTTAATGAGGCAAAATTTTAAAAATAAATTTAAGATTGCTTAAAAAATAATCAGCTATTCAAGAGAAATTTTAATATAAATTTATGGTCTAAACACGAAAAATCACCTTAAGAAAACTTACTATTTTCTTGATTAGATTTATAGTTAGCACAAGAGAGTTATAATATGATGGTGTATAATTACCACAAGGGTGAACAATCATATAAGCCACATAATCAGAACTAAAGAAAAATATCAGAAAACAATATAAAAAACCTTCAATACAAAATTTATAAAAATAGAATCCAACAAACCAAAGTGTTTGAAAAATTAACTAAAACTGCAAAATTATAAAGATTAATTTAAAAAAAGAAATCATAATATAGGAAATTTAGGTACTTACATCACACTCATTGGTCGACTTTGGATCAGAAGAGCATATATTTAAGCAATTGTCAGAATGTTTATTCATTTTTGAAATAATAAAAGTAGTAGCCACTAAAAATACACTTATTATTACACTAAAGACATAGTGATCAAGCACAAGATCTATCCAAGAAGCGTACTCGATTGGAAACATTCCAAAAAACCGGAATTCTTTTGTTTTATATCATGAAGAAAAAAAATGCACAACACAAAATGAGTTAAAAATAATGCGTAACTCATTTATTAGTTTTTAAACATATAGACGTTTCCTTCATATATAGGATTGCAAAACGCTTCAGACTGTTTAGTTCTGTCCAGTTTGAACCCAAAGTCAAACAGAGTACTTTTGCCTTAAAATATTTTCGTTAGCTAAAGCTTTGCCTTAAAATATTTTCGTTAGCTAGCATTCGAACCGTTTTCCCTTCATTCAAAAAGACGGGGACTGCGTTTGAGAATTTGATTGGTGGATTTGCTACCCACGGAAATAAACCAATCAGATTTTAGTTCGCAGCTTCGATTTCGTATCTGCGAACTTTTTGTAGAGAGTGAGAACGTAATGCCCTATTTTTGCATTGAAGTTGATATTTACTTGAAGAGATACTAAAACGTAGCAGTAGCAGTAAGGAAAATGGTCATTTGTTAATTGGCAATCGAAATGGGCTACAGGTGGCGCAAAGCAGAGCTCTTAACCTATGGCAAAATTAGGCATGGTTTCACCATTAGCTTCCCCATTTCACCATCATTTAAGCAAATTGATTAAATTTTTTTTAAGCTAACTGCATTGAAAAATAGTGCTTAATTTAAGAATCACGGAAATTTGAAAGTGTCATCTCTACAAACTAAATGCGAAAAATATTATGCTAGGGGAAACATCGTAATATATTCCCATGCGTCTGATCAGAGATAGAGAAGGGAAGAGGGGGCTCTGGACATAGAATTTGCCATTTCCCCAGATTGCGCGTTCGAGTGTTGCAATCGCGAATATCAATCAATGCTCAATAGTGAAATTATCAAAGTTAATTTATTCGAAAGGGGGAAAAAAGTGTTAACGTAACTATAAATCAAAGAAAAGAAAATTATAGCATTTTTTACACATCCTCCTAGGCTTTCTCGCACTCTGGACTCTCCAAGTTTTCCCCAACTTTACGCCTAGAAACCATTTTCCTTCTTCAGAATCTCATTGTTTATTGCTTACTTTTTATTGTGCAGCAGATTTTTTTTCTCTTATTGAGGAAGGTAGGTGTCAATTTCAGCGTACTCTTAAAGTAAATAAATAATTAAGTAAATGATAAAAAATTCCAAGGGACTGTAAACTGGTCGTAAATGTAAAACTGCGAATTTTTTATTTCGTCATCCTGAAATCTTAATAATTTTTGTTTTTCTCTTCAAAACTATCTTTTTTCTTTGCATTTTTAACTTATTTTACGGGTTGTATGTACTTGCAGCTTCTGTGTAATAAATTAAACTTATTGTTATTTTTTTCTTAATTTTCTTCGTTAATCTCCCTTTACTTTCATGGTTGTTTTATCTCTTTAGATTGTACATTATGTTATATTTACATAACATTAACTTTGAAGCTTCCAGAATATTTATTTTTGCTTTCAGGTCACCGGAATCAAAGAAAAGAAATAATTAACTAGGCAGTTGTTAAGTGTAACGTTCTTTAAATTATTTTATTTTATAACTGTCGTTGAACAGCCGACTCGAATTTTTGGGTTTATGACTACCAATGTTCAATTCCGTAGCCTTGTAAGTTTGAACCCAATCCGACATGGGAACTCCTGAATCAAGTATTGGGAGAAATTTGCCTTCGTGGAGGACTTTTTTGATAGAACAAATCCGCATTTGCGTTACATGGAGAGGAAGACAACGGAAACTTCCCGTGCTTAGCCTGACAGCAAGGGGACTCTTACCCATGATCCGTCTACCACTGAGGATGTTTTACGCCAGTACTGGGGTCAGTGTGAGCCGGATACTGAATTCGTATCGACCAACAATCTCTGGGATTCGAACCCGATTCACCTCTTTGGAAAGTAAACGCTCTAACACCTGAGCCACTGTGGTGGATTATTCCAAAATTCAATTATTCCATTTGCAAATTTTACAATTTTAGCTCCCGTATTTCTTACAATCACGCTTCCTGTGTTTCGCCCATCATTACCCTTCGGTTTTGACGCAAAGGAAAAATTCCTCCCCCCCCCACAAAAAAACAAAAACAATCAGATAGAGAGAATGTCAGAACAGCTTCAAACATTTATAAATAAATCTCTCACTTAAAAGAAAAAAAAATTAAGAAAGAACCCAGAGAAAGTTTGTGCGAGCTTTGTAGAGAAAAAATGATTTTGATCTGTTAGAAAAGCGTAATAAATGGGATTTTCTTCAGTAGTAGAACGTAAAATCCGGGATTATTTCACATTATCGGTATAGGTAAATTTTCACGGACAAGCAGAAAAAGCGTTTGATTACGTAAAAAGCGTTTAAACACATTGAATGCGCAACAACGTTTTGGCTCAACATCTTATAACAGTTGGCGGAACTGGTGATATGAAACTAGTATGTATATTACAACTACAAAAGATGGAAAATAGTGATAAATCACCTGATAACAATCAAAAGGGGGAAAAATAATGTTAGTTATAAATTTCTGAATCATGAAAAATTAAATTTCATAAATACTGAAGCAAAATAAAAAAAATATGAAAGTATCTCTGTGAGCATTTATAAAACGGTATTTTGTATCACCACTAATATCAATAATAGTTGCATAACTGTTTTTTTTTCTTCCTTTTTTTCTACTTTTTTAAAAAAAAAAAAAAAGAATGAAAATAATTTATACAGTCGATACTAGTAGAGAAATTCAAAATAATGCCATTCAAATTAGAGGAAGTGTAGATTTGTAACATAGCTCTGTTAATAGATTTGAAGCTGCACATTTTAATAAAAAAAGAACTTTTTACTGATTGCAGTCGTAAGTTTTTTTTTTCTTTTAAAAAAGCAATTAAACTGTTCTAACGAGTAATAAAAGGGAAATACTACTAAAATTTCACGAATATATCTATTTAGAAACATCGTTTTTTTTTTTTTTTTTTTTTTTTTTTTTTTTTTTTTTTTTTTTTTTTNTTTTTTTTTTTTTTTTTTTTTTTTTTTTTTTTTTTTTTTTTAGTTTAAGTCAATTATAAGGAGAGAAAAGTTATGCGTTGTGCATTAATGTTTAGGTCAAAATTTAAAGCAATTAGCCTATGCGATGCTTGAGGTGTTTAATTTTTTATACTGCTTTAATATTGATTTTATTCAAACATATTACTACTAAACTATTTTCAAGCATGGTACCTGCAGCCCAGGGCGTCTGTCAACTAAGATCTCATTAATGTTTGGAATTTTAAGATAAAAGACTCAAAAATAGGAATTTTTTTTTTTAATGAAATGGCAAAAAAACAAAACAAAAAAAAACAGGAGATTTCAGCATAGAATTTAGAAAACTATAGTATATTTAAAACAAGTACTAAAAGCTTTGCGATGATGATCACTTCTTGCTTATTAAATAATCCTAAGCTCATAGAGCATTAGGGCAGCAGAAAAACAACAGCATGGAGCAACAGAAAAACGAAACAGTAGAATTAGACAAGTTATCATAAAATATTTTGTTGAGACCATAGAGCTGGAATAACAGTAGAGCAAGCTCGCAGTTATATTTTCCAATCGCTCTTCGTCCCCTCTAGCTATCATATGCTCCATCTCTTTCGACGATTTTAACGAAAAAAGAAGAGCGTTTACCAAAAAAAGGAGCAATAGATTTGTAACTTATGACAGTTTGGTTACTATATGCAATAACTGAAAAAAAAAATTTTTTTTTTGTTTGACTTGCGTTTTTTTTTGTTATAACTTTAAAGATATTCAATAAAATTAAACAAAATTTTTATAGCAATTTTAAGTTAATTACAAAATTTCTGATTTAAAATTTGAAAAAAAAAATTCGTTTAAAACTGCCCAAGCTAAGCCAATTAAACTTATTAAAACTGCCAATTAAAGTAGCTTGTTTTATACTGCGCATGGCCGGGAAATTTAAAAAAAAAAAAATTCTTAATTTTGCAGTGAATTGTATTTGGCAACTAATGAAAAAAGTACGAATGGAATATTTTAAAAAATTAAAAAGTTTCATGTAATTTTCAAAGAAGTTTTCGTACTTTTAAAAAGAAAGCTCAAACAAAAGCATAAACGTATTTTTAAACATTGACGCATTAAACGATTTTCAAACAATTGTAATATGCGCCCAACAGTTTTGAATTTCACAATATTTCAAATTGATAATTAATAAGGTTAAAAAAAAAACACACTTAGTCAAAAGTTCTGAAAATATTAACGTTTTTTTTCCTTCCTTTTTTGAGGTAATAAAATATATACATTCAGCAAGTAAGTTTTTCTTTGTCATTGCGTTGTTTTAGTAGACGTAGACACAAAAAATTAACAATGATAATTAAGAAAAAAAAACATTTTGAGCGATACTTTTTTTTTGCCAGCTCTCTTTCTATTCTGACCATTGCGTCTTGTAGAACACTCTTTTTCTTTCTTCTTTTCTTTTTAATAAAGAGCGATTAAATTAATGCATGGTAGCTGGGCTCAATGTTTAATTCTGTAGAGTAATCTGGCTATATATACATTTCGTTTATACTTTATTTTTGATTTCGTTTATACTTTTATTCTTGAATGCTCGGCTTCAATTCAAAGAAAAATATGATATAAATTAATGCTTTTAATTTTTAATATTAAAAATATATGACCTAACATACTTTTTGTATTTGAATTATAATTTTTTTTGAATATCATAAGTAAGGCGGAGACCCGAATATTACAATAGATTTGGGGGGGGGGATATTACATATTGAAGAAGTCTGATCAAATACCATACCCCATGACGGTTCTGTACGTAGCCCAAAATTCATATCCCCCCCCCTCTTATCAAGCTATCGCAAGGGGAGCGATAGAGTACTTAAAATTATTCACAAGCGTCTTTTTCTTTGAAAAATGCTATTAATGAATGCTATCCTGAATATTCTAACAGGTATGAATTATTTCCAAAATTAACTCAAAAATCAATCTGATTATTACAATATTTTTATTCAAATGTTTCTTTTCTTTTTAAGAAAAAGATAAGTACCAACATTTAATTTATTTTTAAAATCTCAGCTCACAAGTCTTAGCACCAACCCTGTGTTCCACTACATACTTTAACCATAGTGTTTTAAAATATCTCGAACGGTGATCATATCCTATTATTCGATAGTTTAAACGAAGATTTTTAGGGTTTCCGTTCTTAATTGAACACAGTTCAATTTAGTTTCATTCAAAAATTCTAGCAGAAAGTTATAAACTTGTTCGATGTAGGATGTAAAATATCTTTGTCTATGATGGTTCAGAATTCGATGGATACGGAGGTAAACGTTATTGCTTCAAATTTTGACGAGGGTAAACTTTTCATGGACGGAGTTAAATGTAGTCTATGATGGTTCAGAATTAGATGGATACGGAGGTAAACGTTATTGTTTCAAATTTTGCCGAGGGTAAACTAGTTTTTCCTTGACAGAGTTAAATGTATTCTATATTTGAAATTTTATTTAATTTTTATATATTTTTTTTCTTGTTTTTCATTAATAATATATTTTCTAAGAAATAGTGATACTGAGATGTCGCTAACTGCAGCGGGCAGCGGCCTGGACGCTAACATCTTGGATATTTGGGATTGCTAGCTGAAATACCTTTTTTTTCGTTGCTATTTCTGTTATTAAAAAAGCAATAACAAATAACCTAAGAATAAATTCAAATACGAGACAATAATTGAATAAAATATATAAATATAGTGAAAAAGATATTGTTCCGACTGATACCACTTAATCAAAATAGATTTCTATGTTTATCAAAAGGCTGAAAACAATAGCTATCTGTATTTTGCTTTCAAGTACAACTTTAACACTCTAAAAAAATGATAATAGAAAAAAACGAAGAACAAAACACGCCTTTTTATTTCTTCCAATCGGATATCCAGGAAACGAGGCGACACTCATCACTTAGGGCTGCCAAAGCGTGAAAGTAAATATTTGAGTAAGAAATCGTCAATTTGGAAGTGTTTGATCTTACTCAAGAAGTGAGGTAATAAAAACGCGCGGCCTTCAAACATTCCTTAAAAAAAGTGAGCAATATGTTTCGTGCAGTTGGAATATTCTTTTTAATTTTGGCGCTTTTAATAAGCGTCGCTGGCCGAAATAAATACATTGATATCATGTTTGCCACTGTAGGATGGATCGTGGTGGTCATGTATACGGCAAATATAATCTCTAGGTGGATATTGTCTGTTCTACCTAAACGGGTAGTCTCATCTGAGAAAAAAGCTGTTCTAATAACAGGTAAGACACTGTAATGAAATAAGTTAAAAACCGAGCATAACTAGAAGAAATTCAAGTTTAATACATATTCGTGTAACATTCTAAGAAATTAATAGAATTTTTTTCTTCTTATAAATAAATAATTTTAACTAGCAAGTTATTAAACCTGAGAGAAAAGCTGTATTTGTTTGAAGTGGAGCATTTTGTGGACAAAAACCAGAAATGAGAATAACGAAGAAAAGGAAATTATTTGAATAGACGTTCTATTGAATTCTCGAAAATTTGTAGAATATCTGCTTCTTAAACAAGATATTGGATCTTTGTGAAAAGATGTGTCAGTTGTAGGTAAAACTTGTAAAGCTAAATTTAAACAAGAATTGCAAAAAAAAGAAAAAAAAAAAAATTCTTTCATAGAAATTTTAAAAGCATTTCTGATAATTAATGAACTGGTTTTTTATAGTTAGTTAATAATCTTCTTAAGCAAGTTATTGAATTTTAATGGAAAGCTATGATGATTAATAATAAACTTCATTAAATAAAAAGTAAGAAATGCGAAAATAAATTAATTTTAACAGAAAATTTTTAAGATTTCCAAAAATTAAAAAAAAAAAACATTTTTAATTAAGTAGTAGTATAACTAACTGAAGTGGTTGTATACTTGAAAAAAAGTGCAAATTCGATATTGAACATCCCGAAACTGATGAAATAATTTAAAACTAGAAATCAAAAAGTACGAAAATGAATTTTTTGCTGACATTTTTATATTTCAAAAATTAATTACATATCTTCGCTAAGAAAACTTATCTAACAATAAGTTTTCTTAACAGTTGTGGTACCTGAGAAAATATTGATTTGAGATAAAACTTATAGGAGAGATAAACTAAATGAAGATAACATTACAGAGAAATAAAATTTTGTCGCATATTCTTACTTAATTAATAATTTTCTAAGCAAGTAGTTTTTTCAGGGGTAAACAGTTAGCTCATTACATGCGAAACGTTAAGCAATCTATCACAGTTTTCAAAACACATAACTTTAATTTAGAAATTAATTTTTATATTAGATTTAAATTATTGTTAAATCAATGATTTAAATTAACTATCAATATTAATATTACTATAATAGGAATATTACTTAAATGAATTATTTTGTTAATTTTTAGTATTAATTTATAGAATCAAATTTTTAAGATTTTGCATTTATAAGACCCCACACCAAAATGAAAATCAGCCTATATGAAAATATTGCAAATGACGAAAAATAACTATATATTTTCCTAACCTTACTCATGTATTAGTTTTTGTCTATCTTTTTTTATTTAAGTTTTGTAATTCAAATTTTTCTATGCTTTTTTGTTTCGATAGATCTTAGTTTAAATGTTCCGCAAAATGAAGTGTTTCTGCAAAACGTATTAGAAAAAATAATAAAATTTCAAACAGAAGCAGACAACATACCATCTTGAATTACTCAATATTGCTCTCATCTGATTCCAAATACATTCTTTTTTGGGTCAGTTCAAGTTTTAAATAATATGCCAATTCCTCAGTACTTGAAAAGGAAAATACAGAGGGTGAACAAAATAATGGAAACACTTCTATACTAAAACATTTTTTCATGTTTCTACAGAAATGCTCGACAAATTTTTTTATAACTTCAGAAGTGTTTAGATCATGCTATTTCTCATACATATTAATGAAGTTTAAAGCTTTTATGGGATTGAGGAGCCGACAATAAGTTACAAACGGAAAATAATGTTTTTGAATACCGTATGCCAAAAAATGTGGCTATAGATTTGTAACTTATGACAGTTACCATACGGAATAATTACACAAAATTTCGTAAGCCTAGCTTAAATATTTATTATTAAATTTTACTGCATGGGAAAGTAAAGCCTTGATTCTTATGTAGCTTTTTTTTTACACCGAATCGAATGACACACAAAATTAAGTCGATAGAACTAATAGTCTTTAGAAGTTTCATTGAATTCATGAATTCAGCGTAAAAAATAATGCTCGAGAAACAATAATGCATTTGTCTGGATAGCTATGTCAGACGCATAAATGGACATGGTCAGACGCATAAATGGTATAAGCCCAGTAGCAGAAACCCACCAGCACGGCAGCGGGCGCTGCAGATTATTACAGCATCTGCAGGTTATTTTTTCACGCAAGTTTTCTTTTTATTCTTTAAAAAAAATTGGTGGTGGGGTAGCTAGGACTTCTTTTTAAAACATCTCTAGACTTGTTTCTGATAATAATTAAAAATCTGAAATGAGGGAAAACTGCATGCAAAGAACAATAATTAATTTTTTTGTGTTAGATTACAGGTTTAACTTTAGAGCATTTTTTCCTATTTTTAATATCATTGTATAAAATTCAATTTAAATTTAAACATAAAGTTATGATTCATAATTTTTAAGGTCCCTTATATTAGCAAATTCGGCTAAGCGTATGTAAGACTAAGTTGAATTTTCACAATTTCGTTGAATGCGTTGAAGTCGCTGGCAATATGGAAGATAGTGTGGAAGATTAACACCATAAATTCTGCTACCGGAGGTAAAAGTACAAAACTGTTCTATTTATGCATAATTTTTGAACTTTACCGATTTTGCTCTGGTCTCATTCGATTAAGCAGACGAAGTTAGAGAAAATATTGCTTCGCTTGTTTGACTGGACAAGTGAGGTATTATTTTCTTTAAATTTTTATTCCGTATTTCCGTGGGCAAAATAGGTAAAATTGTACTTTTTATAATTTGTACTTACTAAATTCCTTATAACTTCTAAACTATTTGTCGAATTGATTTAATTTGATATCATACGACTTAGCGCAAAAATACACGAGGACAAAATAATTGTTCACATACTAAGGTTGTAAGTTCTCCCTTTGGACCCCTTCTTTCCCTCAGTAATTGAAGGTGTTGGCTTAAACTCATTTTGGGAACTCAAGGTTTCCATATCGGGCCCAAGCGACAAATAGCAGTTTCCAGCTTCCCCCCAATTGTTCCCGAATTGAGTCTTTTTTTTTTCTTTCTGTGTCATGGAAACTGGCCTGAAAATGAAATTATGTCAGCTAAATTCTAGAAAAACGTAGCTCGTAAAACTTAATGAGCTTAAAATTTCAAAACCTTACTCATGAATAAACATATACAATTTTTTATGAAGGTCAAACTTAGGCATGAAGAAGAGATGTTTCCTTACTGTTTTAAAGCATCAGCATGCTGATGTGTGTGATCTACACAGCGTTTATTTTTAGTATTAAAATTGGAGTCAACATTTTCTGAGTTAATGAGTTGTATGCAAATAAAAGTGGCGGTGCTGTTGGTTTCGTAAGCACAGGAATATAATCGGACCTAAAAAAAAATAATAATTCGACTTGCAAATTTATAGCAGGCGAAACAGTACAAATTAATTACTAATGAAAAATCAACAGTGCTCTTAGTATAAGTAGTATTTTTTCTTTTTAATAAGTAAAAATGCTGCATATTATTTTCGTGGGTGAAATTATTAACTTCTTCATTGCTGTTCTAAAATTGAAAAAGTTGTTTTTAATTGAAACTATTATGGAAATTTCAATTTTGAAAATTAACTACATAATTTAAAGAAACTATAAACCAGCATTTAATATAAAGTGCCGAATGACTAATTTATACGATTCAAAACAAGAATACTATTTTTCTATTAATTTTTTTTATTATAATTTATTATCACTAATCGTTTATATAGTGGCGTTAATTTATTCTTTAATTACACTTTCTTTTTACTTAATTAGAATTATCTCAGAAAAATTTCAAATGGTCTAGGTGGTTTTGATTTTATTGAGGAAGCATCAATGTGCACCTTTATTTTGACTTTCCATAACTTATCCAAAATTTTACTGGAGTTTAACATGAGAACAGACATTAATTAAATGCACTAAACTTTTTTTTATAATTTAATTTCCTTTAGAGCTAAGGATGAAGAAAAAAAAAAGATACTATGACGGCTTGCGCGCACGAGAAGAGTCTTACAAACCATGTGAGAAATATGCACTTTTTAAGATCATACTAGTTAAATTTAAAAGTATATTTTAAGTTAAGAAAAACTGAATATTTTGGATTTTTCTTTAGAAAAATTATTTTGAACCATAAAATAATTTAAAATGTTTGTAAATATTTATCTACTTGTATGAACGTAAGCTATGCTTAAACCAATTATGAAGTTTCATCATAATAGGTTTATTAGAAGTCAAGAATTCCTACGCGCTGGGGAAAAAAGAAGAATTGAGAAAAACAGTTTTAAAGACAAAACTTAGAATAAATAACTTTAAGCAAAATATTTGAGTTTGCAAATGATTCCAATTTAGAAAATGGGTGTGTTATTTTTGTTTCCAGAGAGTGGGCTTCAGTATTTTTGCTGTAACTTTGGAAGTTTTTTAAGTATTATCTTGGTGTAAAATTAATTCAAATTACATGTATTTTTTTTCGAAGAAAAAAAAAATCGAAAATTTTGTTAGGAAATACCATTTAAACTCCTTAATATGTGTTAGAAAATAGTGTAGTCGTTGTGTAATAGATACAATATGTGTTATCTATTACATTATTTATTATTTAGATACAATATGTGTTATCTGTTACACAATGGCTATACAACGTGTAATAGATAACAATATGCGTTATGTAAAATTTGCTTAAAAAATTTAAAACATTTTTTATTGCTAATAATATATTATGGCATAGAGCAGGGGTGGTCAACCTGCGGCTCACGAGCCACATGCGGCTCTTTGAAGGATTATTTGTTGCTCTCGATAAATGTGCCCGAGTTCCCTTTTCATTTTTGTGCTATTATATTTTAATATTTTTCTGAGTCCATTTGAAATTAACATAATTCAAGGTGAGTTTTCCAATTTAATTATGACCCAAAAAGTATCTGAAGAATTAGAATTAAGAGAGATGTAAGACGATCAAGCTCTACAATTAAAATATAAGTCGACGTTGATTACTGAATTTTGGAAATTTGTACTAGAATTAAAAAAAGGCTGCTTGTCGAATTATTTCAATATTCAGAACAACTTACTTATGTGAATCATTTTATTTCGCTTTAAAATTCATGAAATCCAAACACCGTTCACTATTAACTAACCAGCATCTCAAAGAATTACTGAGAAGTACTGTCACCAATTTTTCACTAAATTTTAATGAAATATCAAGAGAAGTAAAATATAAGTGTTTAATTTTAAATATTTAAATATACACATATTTTGTATTATTATTTATGTGTTTTCAATAAATATAATTTCTGTAAAAAAAAATTATATATTTTTTGTATACCTTTTAAATACGTATTTAATTGTGGCTCGGAAAAAATTTCAAATTTTGAAAAATAGCTCTACTATTAAGGAGCTTGGCCACCCCTGGCATAGAGGATGGCTGGATAACTTAAACATTGGATTACAGTCAATAAATCTTATAATATTTCTGTACAAAATCTTAAAACATTGATTTATTTACAAAACATAGATCTATGCAATAAGTTTTAAAAGAAAACTATTATTAGACAGTAAAAAAAGGGAATTTTTTTATCTCATTAAAACACTTGCATGACAGGTGACAGAAACGATTGATAAAAGTTTTAAGAGGTGCTTTTCTGAGTATGAAGCATATAAGAATGACAGACGGTGATAAAATCTTTTAAATGAGATTATATTTGCATCTTATCAGATAAACGTTACTTCGTGAAGCAGACAGATGCATTTTTCATTCAATTAAATGTATTTCATTATTTTTAGATGCATTGAAAAACTTATTTAATTTATCATCTTCATAGTTTATAATTTTCCACTTTTGACAGTGACTTTAACTACGAAAAAACTATTTAAAACCGTGCTAGTCAATACTATTAGTTTTAGTAATGTTAAGAGTTTAATATTGACACAACACGTAGTTTTTTTTTTAAATATACGTAGTTTAACTTAATAGTTTTTAAATTTTATGTATCATTAAACTGTGGAAAACTGGTTTGACTCGAGTCTTATTTTAATTGTTATACATGCATTTGATGAAAAAATTTGATAAGGAGAAACTTTTCTTATTTATACAAATGTCGTAAATACATTTCTAATCGTTATTGGGGACAAAATGATATAAAAACTACTTTAGAAATACGTAACAAAGTTTTGAAATATCAATCTCCTTGTGTATTGAGAAATTAATATATTTGTTGATGCAATAATATTTGAATGCATAACTATGTAATTGATATTTTTGTTGATACAATAATATTTGAATGCATAACTATGCGTACAAACACTAGATTCTATTTGCAAAATTGATTGAGACACTTGAAACTTTTAAGTAACGCATCCAAAAAAAGTTGGACTATTTTTTTAAATTGAGTCTTTAAAGCTCAAGTTTAAATTCTTGTTTAATTCCTCTGAAATTTAATTTTTCGAGAGGATTTTTGATTTAAAATTTTTACACAGCTTGCTGAAAAATTACCTTTTTCTAGCTTGTCTTACTCGTTCCTTTCTTATGTCACAAGCCTCCTACTAGGACAAAGGGGGGGGATAAACTTTAGTATTATAAAGAAAGTATTTTTTCGAAAAATAAAATGAACATGCATAATTTAAACCTTCTGTTCACCCTCCATTCATCATTCAAGAAACATTTTTCACATTTTGTACAATTTTATCTAAAATATCTCGTTATAATTTACTTAGTTTTGTTTATTGATCACTAAGGTTGTGACACTGGGTTTGGATTAGACTTAGCAAAGCGTTTGATCAGCAAAGGCTTCACAGTGTATTCTTGTTGTTTGTCTTTGGAAAGTGAAGGCGCACGTGAGTTGCTTCAGATCAAAGAATCATCAGATCTCGTAAGAATTCATCAGTTGGATGTCACAAAGTATAAGCAAATACATGATGTTTGCAGAGAAGTGGAAGCTGACTTAGGAGATAATGGTGAGTAGTGTAAGTTTATTTGACTTCTAAAATAATGTTCACTCAAAATTTTAAATTTTTAGCTGCATAACGAAAGTAAAATAAAAGTGTTATTTTCGTTAAATGTTTATAAGAATTCTTTTTGTTTATTTAAGATATTATCAATAGTTTTTATAAAAATAAAAATAGTTAACCAAGACAAGTCTCAAAGGTTTTTTTTACTAAATTAATTCAAAATATCATGAATTTGAAAAACTTGAGACATTAAATTATCTTCAATTATCTAAGTTTATGTGACTTCAAGAGAAATATTAATTTAAATTACAACAAAATTTTAAAAATGCGCTGTTCCTGGTTATGTATATAAGGATTAATTTTGTTAGTTTGTATTCATAAAACTGGAAATGGTTGACCAAAGCAAACCTCAAAGGATTCTTTTTGTTAAATTAATTTAAAATATCTTTAATTTAAAAAAAGTCATTGTCATTGCATTTTATATTTATATTTTGAATTCTTGAAAATGTATAAACAGAAATAGTCAAATTTTTTTTTACGTAATCTTTATCAAAATCTAACGAATGATTATTGAGATGAAACTAAATGACACTTTCAGTAATTATTATAATTAGTTTTTAGCCCTTTTAGTTGCCTTAAAGCCCTTTCGTTGACTTCAGGAATTTGTTTTTCATACTTTAAACCCAGATTTAACTGTGAGAAAATGTATTAATGCTTCATCAGATTTTCATAAAATTGTCGTTTTTTTGGCGTAAGCTCTAACTGAGTAATCCTTGATGTAAGTATATTTGTATTTTTCTTTTAATAAAGATTTTTAAAGTATCTAAAGTGAATGTGGAACATCTGCACATTTTATTCCTATCCATCAATAAATTTCATAATTATTATTTATTTACTGACGTACTAAACCTTTATTTTCAATATTATCTGCTTTCTATTAAATATAGAAACCCAAAAAGATTAAAATCTAGGTTATCCCAACACTTCGCATTTGATTATTATCTTTTGAAAGTGATGAAATTATCAATTTAGTGGAATAAAAAGAAGTACAGAGATTTCAGTTATTTCCTTCTTCAGAGTTTTCCTATCAGCATCCTTTAATGTTTCCTTTTCCCTTCATTTAAATGTAACCATTTGACATGATTATCAGCATCGGGGATAAACAAAGAAATAATATCTTATCTTATCAATATCTGTGCTAACATTGTTTCACCTAGTCCTAAACAGTTTCAGAATGAACAATATGCAAATAACAATTATTATTATTATTATTTCGCAAAGTTATTATAATTTATTATTATTATAATAATAATAATAACAATTATTATTATTATTATTATATTTATTCGCAAAGTACAATGGTTTACAAATTTTAGAATTACTTTATTATGGAATTAACAAATTAACATGCATTGACTTAAATCGATAATATTTAAAGGTAAAACTTTCGTTTATAGTTGAAAGCTGATAAAAAAATAACAGAGTTGAAAGCTGGTGAGTTTGGAATGGTTTTAATAGAATATCTCATTGAAATTTTTAATAAATAATGAAACCTCAATAATTTTATGTTGGTGTTAGTGAGGGGTTTCTCTTCTGATGGTCGCTGATATTTTTATTACAATATAAAATGTTTCGTACTTGCTTAGCTCTGAAATGTGAGCTTAGACAGTGAAAAGAGTTTGGTAAAATTTACTGTGTTTTCGGCTCTATGGGAATACCAAAAAGCTCGGTAATTTTTACCTCACCACTTTGTTAGTGATTTTGGTAAAATTAACAATAAATTATGGCTTTATAATGTATGATAAAATTTGGTAAATGTGGCAAAATTTGATAATTTTATCATGATATCTTAGAGCATGGCATAAAAATCATTTATTCCATAAAATTTACTTATCATTTTCGAATTTTTTAGTAACTGTTCGGTAATTAGAACTATAATCTTGAATACCAGAATTACCAGTAAACCGTTACCATGTGAGCAAAAAATTAAAACATGAATCATTAAAATACTGTATATTTTGGTTTTAACCAGAGATAATTTTTTTAAAATCAAAAATGTGTACTGTAAGGTAGTTTTACCAGAATTTTTTTCTCCACGTACTTTCTGAGTATAAACATATTTGAAATTATGATATTGGTCCAGTTTAAGAGACGAGACGTACCGAATTAGGCGATTTTCTTCTATTACATATGAACTGTCAATATATAAGCAAAATTTACTCCTTTAGAAAATTTGCGTAACTAATTATTATGAAAAATCAGGGTTAATTTGGATTGTCGCTCTATCCTTCTCTCTCTTACACCAGCCCTTGCATATTGACCTATCTTATGAAAGGGCAATTCATTCTTGAAAGTTATTATTTCAGTTATTTAGGTGTAACCTTCTACTGGAAATTATTCTGGAGGGCTCATGCAAAGTGCACAGTAAATTATCTCACGTAGAATAACACTTTTGAAACGGCTGTCTGCTGCTCAAGATGGGGTTGTTCTGACGATTAAGTTTTCTAAATCTAACTTACAAGTTATTCATTGAGCCTTGAGCCTATTTTAAATTATTGTTGTGAGCCTTTCATTACAACATCTTGTTCTGGTGTTGAATTGCTAGATAAAGTCTAAAATCAGGCTCTGCGTATCATTACGTGGCAGTAAAATCAACAGAAATTGACAAAATGCTGACGACAACTGAGAACAAAAAATTGATGAACATATTTCGGGAGAAAGCCCTACTATTTTTTGAAAGAATTATACGTTGTCTCTCTCGTTTTAAATAACACTGCTTGGTTTCAAAGAGACGTTTGAAGACTCGACGTGGTTTTGTACACATTGTTCTGAAACTAAAGGAACACTTTGATTTAAATTTCGGTTTTGAACCTCTGACCCTGCTACCAGATTCAACCATGGATGAGAGTTTTCAGATTCGAACTGAGCTACCACCCGGGTTATATGTAAAAAGACGCACGACACTTCGAATTTGTGAGCAACTGCTCCAGAAACTGCAATTACCCTGACTAGATACACATCTATACCAATGAATCTCTATTTAAGGACACAGCCATCACAGGGGCAGGAGTATATAGCTACCTGTTCTCTGTTTATGACCAAGAAGGAAAAGGTACGACTGTTTTCGATGGTGGAGTTGCTGCGATTTGTGTGGCTCTGTCATAGTTGTATTGCCACTTGAAGAGTTTCGCAAAAGCTTTTTATCTTTGATTCCGTGATTCTCGCAATGGATTCTAATACGATCCCTACTTCCTCCGACATCTTTGAATTCAATAAGTTCCTGCTGTGACTAGACTGTGTAACTGCTGGGAGTGAATGATCGTAGTGTATCCAATGACATTGCGGTGCTGCTGTTAGCTTACAGACTATCTAGTAAAACAGGATGATTTTATCCCACTAACTTTAAAGAATGCTGCCCCTTTTGACAACGTTAAGCTACTTATTTCTTTCTTTATTTTTTTATAACCGTCGTTGAACAGCATGCCTAATTTTTTAGGTTTACGACTACTAATGTTCAACTTCATGGCCTTGTAATTTTGTACCCAATCCAGAAGACAAGGGAACTCCTGGATCAAGTATTGGGAGAAATCTGCCTTCATGGAAGACTTTTTGATTGAACTAATCCACATTTGCGTTACATGGAGAGGAAAACCATGAAAACCTCCCACTGTTAGCCCGACAGCATGGGGACTCTAACCCATGATCTGTGTACCGTTGAGCATATTTCACGTCAGCACTGTGGTCGGTGCGAGTTGGGGGTGGAATTCTTACCGACCAGCCATTGCTGGGATTCGAGCCCGGTTCACCTCATTGGAAGGCGAACATTCCATCCCCTAAGTCCCTCAAGCTTCTTATTTAGAAAATGAATGAGCTTTGTCTTAAACCAATACTCGGTTAATAATTCTGATAAGGTCTGGTGGAATAATCCCAAAGTGGACTAGACGCAGGACCGTTGCCGAGTTTTGCTTGGCTGTAACATAACTGTCTTGGACACAACTGTCTCCTTAAGCATCTTTAACGTATTATTATTGACCCGCCCTGCGAGCTTAGGATGATGAGCGCGATGAGATCGCAAACCATCTTCGCCGCTGTTCAGCAATAAATGACACCTCTTTGTGTGACTGTTTCTGACGTGCTCGGGGCATTCTTGGTTCATAGACATTTCTGCAATCACGTCTCTTTCTTTCTTTTTTTCTTTCATGTCATTTTTCGATTGCTTTCTTTTTGCGATGAAATGGTCTTTTGTAACCTTGCTCATTGGAAATTTTTTTTTATAATTAGTGCGTATACTACAGGTATTGAAATATGTCAAATTTTGGTTTTAAAAAAAAGGAAAGGCAATTTGTAACAGGATGTTTCTCTTTCTCGAATTTATTTTAATTTTTAGATCACAAAATAGAATTTCGAGTCGAGTAAAATGAATATTTTCGACACCTCTGTCTTTTTGCCTTTAATCAAGATTCTATTGCCGCAAAAGCTGACATTTGTGCTGTGTATGGTAAGGCTGCTATAGCTGAAAGAAAAGCTCGAGATAGTTACGTCAAGTTTAAAAATGGAAATTTTATCTTTAAAGATACATCTCGCTCTGGCCGCTCATTTGATTTCAATGAAGAACGATTAAACCAACTTCCCCGGGAAAATTTGCATCAAACGACAATGATACTGGCAAAGATAATGAAATGCTCCACACTTTAAATTTTCAAAAATCTGAAAGGAAGAAAAAGGAAAGGCAGCGGAAACTTAGTTGCTAGTCCAATAATAAAAAATAAATAAAATTATTATTATTATTTTTTAATAAAAAGGAACTAATTTTTTTTCTTTTAATAAAAGATTTCTTTATGATTTCTCCATTTCTTACAATGCATACTAATATGTATCAGTGTTTGAAAAAATGTTATCTCATTACAACAACGTAATTTTAATTAATAACCTAGATGTACGTGTTGACATTTTCTACTTACACGAGCACACAAATGTTATGACATATGAGAACATGAGAGTAAAGTTGTTTATTGTGGACATTAATCTTCGCCTCCCTTTCTATCAAAGCGCGCTTTATAACTGTCTCCCTTTTTTTGAAATAGGCAGTTCTAGAAGAATATTATGATTAAAAATTCCTAAGTTTTTCCTACGTCTTAATTTGAGTTAGCCTAAGGTTCAAATGAACCATTTTTAATTCGTCTTTGGTACATGTTATCACTCGTTTTCTTTTTTTAGACATTCATTACTTTATTTGGATTTTTTTACTGTATTTCTTTGCTGACTCAATTGTCAAACTGTCCTCTTCTTCATGGATGCTAACTACTAATAAATATATTTTTTCTTCCATTTCCTTTCCTTCCCAACTAAGTGTTTGTAATTCCATTTATATTTTAAATAAATAAATAAAAAATTTTTTAAGTAATCATGTAATTAAAATATCTTGTAATTAATTTTCACATTTTACTGATTCCGATTTCTCTAATTTGTTTCAAATAAATAAACTTCCAACAATAGCAGGCAGAAGGCATTTTTGCTAAAAATTTTATATTACTTAATATTATCCATATTTTATTAGGTATTCCCTATTGAACTTTAAAGGTTACTCTCAGTATCCTTTATCATGTAGTATTCCTTACTCAGAAATTAAACTTTTTTAAATATTAATACTTATCTATCACTTGCTTCATGAATTTTAACTTTTTATGTAAAAGGTAAATTAAGGTTTGGTTATTTTCTTTAAATTTTCGATAATGCTTGTTGATTTAGCTGTTTAGAGTACTCCAATTACAACGGGTTAATATTTATCAAGAAAATTAATCATGTTAAAAACATTTCGACGCATTTGAATTGATAAAAGTATAAAACAATGCAATTTATTACTATATCAAGTAAAAATTTGTTCAACTATCTAATTTAGGGGTACTATATTTCAATTTTTCTAAATTTAAGCCTCATTTTAAACTTTTTCTGTTTAAGGATTTTATTAAAGTGTAAATAAAAAATTACACAGACAAAAAATTCTAATTGTATTTTAATTCAAAATACTATCCACTAAAAAATTCAAAAGATAAATCCTTATAAGTAGGTCAATTAAATCTGCATACTGGACCTGTTCAACCGAAATGACTATGAACCACAAAGGGTTAATAACTTTGAAAACGTTTTTATTGTTTTTAATGTATTAAAAACAAATAAATAAAATAGAACATAACATTGTCTTTAAGTCAATGCTTTAAGTTAAGTTATAATTTTGCAAAAACTCACTGATCAAAATTTCTTTGTGTTGAAATTATTCGAACTTTAAACGATATATATGATTCACGATAATACCAGGGCACAAATTGTGACCTCAGTTCAGGACCACGTGAATCCTAGAGTGTCAAAGCTCTCTTAGTTGAGAAACAAAGTGATTTGCTCATTATAAAAAGTTTCGCAGATTGTTCGATATTTTACTTATTTTTATTTCGTCTTTATTGTGTTCCAATGGTGTATTTTATGCATTTAAAAATAAAACACGACTATATACCAACTACAAGATAAGCCCTGATCTTCAGAAAAGCAACTCGATTGAGAATTCATATTGTTTTTGCCAATCTATAGTTTATTTTTTGTAAATTTGTCTCTGTTTAGTAGAGACAACTTTGTTTTACTTTGTTTGACACTTTCAATAGTGTCGATCATGTTCTTGCAATTGAATTGTGTTATGAACAATAGCTATAAATATAGAATTTGTTCTTATAGTTATTGTTTATATTACTGCAAAGATAAAAATCTAGACAGTAAGAAATATATTTCGGTATTTTGATATAACGTAAGATATTATTAGATGAAGTTGTTGTTATAGTAAAGATAAATATTAATTTCTATATAAATGTTATAACCTCTATACTAATTGAACTTAACCAAAACTCTCTGCATTTTCTAGATCTTTGGTGCATTGTAAATAATGCAGGAGTGGCCATCTTTTCAGAGTTGGAATGGTGCAGTATGTCTGTTATCGAACATATGTTCAATGTTAATGTTTTGGGGGCTGTTCGTGTTACCAAAGCTTTTCTACCGCTTTTGAGAGCTGCAAAGGGACGTGTTGTAGTTGTAGCTAGTGTTGCAGGTATAAAAATAAATATAATTTTTAGTTTTATAAATAAATTATTAGAACTGATTGTCTTAATGTATCATGTGTGAACATAACATTTGCGATCGTAACATTTAGGACAGGAAACCACTATAGAAATTTTCTATTTAGCACTGTTAAAAAGATACATTTTTTTTCTCAATTGTTAATGTCACCGAAAATCGGAAAGCTTATTAGATTGCACAATTGTAGATCTCGTTGCACTTGAATTGCGTTTATAGTTATCGGATGATCCCAAAGCAAACCCTGATAGATAAAACATTTTTCATTCATCACCACTTTATTCAACTACAGCCGAACAGTTTTCCCATATTTCTTACAGAAACTTTTTTTATAAAATTTAGTTTCAAAATTTCTAAAAATAAATACTTGTTTTTAGTTATATAAGCGCGCAATAAATTTCTTTAAAGCAATAAATAGCTTGTAAAATATTTACTCGATAGAAAATTATATGATTCTTATAATATCCTGCATAAATGTTAAAATACTCAGCTAGGTAGCTGGAACCGGCTGGATTACTAATCCAAATTTTACCGGGAACTGGCCGGGTAAGAGAGTCAATTTTCACCGGATACCCAGACCCGGTACATTTCTAAAATATAATGAACATTAGCAGAAAAACACTTTTTTTTAGCATACGAGTGTAATTTGCATAGAATTATTATACATTATAAAAGGTTCATTTACATGATTTATAGCAATTGTTTATCGTTTTAATTGAACTCTAAAAGAATTATTTACTGATTTTCTATTTAAGCATAGAATGATAAAATCTTTTATCTCTTAAAAAACCTTATTCGCATGTAAGTAAAGTGATTCCAAGTACTAGTAGGTATTTATCTCCTCTTTTTTTTTTTTTTTTTAGTATAACCTTCTTAAACAGAACGTGTACTGAGCATGAATAAAAATATGGAGTGTGAAATATTATACACCTTGTATCTTATATTATTACAATAAAATGTTTCGCTTTTTTAAAATGTTTTATTTCAGCTTCATTATTTTGAACGCTTAGTATTGTTCCCCATTCACGCTATTCAGTCATTTTGGGGTTATTTCACGAATTTTGATTGCAAAGTTTTATTTTTTGTTTGACTTAATATCATGCAACAAACTGATTATCAATGAACTAGAACTTTTCCTCTTTTAAGCAGTTTGACAAACAGGTGTCTTTTTTCTGAGTTGTATTAACTTAAAATATCTAGGATATGAAAGACCCATTTAAATAATCTAAACATAGATTAATAAAACATAGTAATCTGTTGAAAAATGTGTGCAACTATTTGGTTAGTTTAATTTATATCATGTGAGTTAAATTAATCTCAGCATATTATTTTGAAATTTCTTTACAGAAGCAAAACCTTTTTCGTGTCTAAAAATGCATTATATTTGAATACAATATAAACATTTTCAGCTATTATCCCATTGTTTGGCAAAATGCGTCAGAAAATATTAAAAAGGATGTATTCTCAACTTGTTCAGAATGATCCATTCGTTTTATTTACGTAATCATTTTATTTGACGTAAAAGTAATTCAAGTATTTTTATGTTGTTGCTAGGTCACATTACTTATCCCGGATTTTTATCCTATTCTATGACGAAACACGCTTTGGTTTCTTTTGCTGATGGATTGCGCAGAGAAATGCTGAAATGGGGAGTAAAAGTCGCTTTAGTGGAACCTTCCATGTATAAGTAAGATATTAAGGGAAAATAGTTTTGAAATAAATTTAATAAGATTTATTTGTATTTTTACTCCACAATTTATATTATTATTATAAAAGTAATTTAATTTTGCGAGAGAGGAACCTGAAATATTCACATGTAAATCAAGATGATTAAAGAAACATTAAAAATGCTATTGAAAAATTAAATATCTAAAACTCTTTTTTTTGTCTTATTTTGCTTTAGTTGCGCAAACATAAAGAATCGCAGAAATTTCGCCACAAGCGCAATGACACTTAAAATAAAGTATGTATGTAAAGTTGTAAGTATTAAGTCAATAATTTAAAAAGTACTAATAATTTAATCATTTACATTTATTATTATTATGCATATTATTTAACATTTTATTTTAAATAATATGCTTTTTTTTTAAATGTCCTATAAATTAGTTAATAAATTTAAAGGAAAACTTTCGCGATTAAAAAATGTGTTAAGGTACTAAAACAGTCCGTTAAGGGAAAAAAAATATAAATAAATAAATAAAGGACAAACCTGAATGACTTCTGATCTAATGATTCTTGAATAACTTTTGATCCAATAATCGATATTCACCTTTTTAGGGCACAAACTTAATTGTCCGAGGGATCGATCTCAAATAAGCTAATTAATTACTGCAGACGATATTTTAAGTTATGAAATCTGGCAAAAAAATGTACTTTCTCTGAATAAGCATAACTTTTTTTTCACAGCTTCGGATTTCTGACTCCCCAAATATAGGCGGTAGCCGCAATCTGGGAAGTATGGTCCCCATAGTTAAATCAGAAAAGCGATAAAAATTTGGACCCTTTAATGTTAAAAATTTTTCCGCACAATTATAAAATTCATTTTTCTAAAGATAATTCCATGAAAGAAAGAAATTTTTGTAAAAAATTATTATTGTTTATTTAATAATAGTCGAAAAATTTTTAATTGCAAGGTGTACAATTTTTTAAGCCACTTTAAAGTAGTATGTAATTTTACATAGCAAAATTCAAAATTTGGGTGAAATCGGCTGAATAGTTCCTGAGAAATCAAATTTTAAAGAATCGAATATTTAAAATTTGATTTCTCAGGAACTATTCAGCCGATTTCGTATATTGCAATGTAAAAATTACGGACTTTAAAATGACGCAAAACATTGTATACCTTCGTGATTATTATTTAATTATTATTAAACAAAATAATAAATATTGTAATTATCTTTGGAAAAACAAATTTTATAATTGTTTGAAAAATTCTTAAATTCCCTTAAAACAATCTCGAGATATGGAGAAATACGAAAAAAGTAAAATTGATATTAAGGGGCTTAACTTTGGATTACTCTCTTGACCAAAGTATGGGGACCATATTTCCCAGACTCCCTATACTTTGGGGGTCAGAAATCTGAATCCGTTGAAAAAAGGGCACGTTTATTTAGAGAAAGTATGTTTTTGTGTCTGATTTTGTAACTTAAAACATTGTCTGCACTAATTAATTAGCATATTTGAGCATACACTCTACCTCGAACCATTAAGTTTAAATCTTAGAACTTGAAGATCAGATCATTAAAACAAAAGTTATTCAGGGAGGTTGGTTTTCTTCTTTGCACTGTGAATATTTTCTTAGCACCTGAAATAATTTACGATTTGATTTCAATATTTTAACTTCTCTCTAATTTTCTTGTTTTAAATTTATTTCTGTATAGAATATAATGTATTTTTGTATGTTTAACATGTACCAGCAATCCTTTCAAATTATATAAATTACACATAATTTAAAATTACACTTTGCGATTCTTATTTACGTGATTTAAGATGGCGCATTGTATTTCATATTTCTACAATTTTATATCAAATATCGCGTTTCATATTCTCGTAATTAAAATTATTAATTGGAATTCGTATTATCTCGTTTTTAAAATCAAAAATCGATATTCCTATTCAATCGATATTTCTATCAAAATCAAACAGCAAGATTTCTATTCATGTGATTTTAAAATCAAATATCGAGATTCGTATACAAGTAATTTTAAAATCACGCATCAAGTTTCGTAGTAACACGATTTCAAAATTAAAAATCGAGATTCGCATTCGCGTGATTTAAAAATCACTCATTGAGATTAATATTCCTGCAATTTAAATAAAGTAAACAAAATCTCACATCGATATTTTTATTAAAACGCTGAGCATTCTTTGGGTAAATGCTTCCTACATACACTTTTTCTTGCTCAAATTTCCGGTACTTTTTCAATTTTTTAAAAAGTGTTTTTGCACATAACATGTTCGAATTTCTATTTTCAGCCTTTTTGGTTTTTAACCAAACTCATCCCTGTGGTATGAATTAATATAGAGTTTTATAAAAGCTAAACTTTCTAAAAAGAACCAGACAAAAAAATAAGGAGAAAATTAAAAAAAAAAAAAAAAAACGGTNGAAAACAAAAAAAAAAAAAAAAAACGTGATTTTCAAGCAAATTTTGCCAAAATAAGATGGCGATGAAAGGGTTCAAACTAGTGAAAGAGTCAATGCTCACAGGAAGTTTTTTTAAATTGAGATTTTGTGTTCACAGGAAATTTTTCGTTTTATCGAATGCACTGGGCGCTCGCTGTTTGCGTTTAGGTAAATTTAAAAAAAATATCACCTTATTGCTACAACTTAAATATTTTAAGGAGATGAAAAGGTATACAAACACAATACCAACAAACAATATTTTGTTTGTAGGTACCGAACTTACTAATAACCTTCTTCTGTAACTAATTTATTTGAAAGTCATATTTGCCATATTCAATTGTAGCTAATAAAATCAATTTTATAGAACCAGGATTTCCAGAAGTGATGTCCTTACAGGAGCCTTAGATAATTCTTGGGAGAAAACTCCAGATGCTATTAAAGAAGCTTACGGATTTCCTTATTATGAAGATTTTAAGGGTCGGATGCAAAAAATGGCCTTGCATGCTAGGCCTTACCTCGGAGAAGTGGTAGATAGCATGGAACAAGCTGTGACTGACATGAGCCCAAGTATCGTCTACCGTTGTTCTGGACCAACTGACAAAGTCCGTGTATGGATTATGTCTTTGCTTCCCATTAGATTGTTGGATATGCTAATATGCCATGTCATACAGCCCAGCCATCGACAACTATCTGGTACAAGAAGTACGAAATCATCAACATCATCTTCATCATCATGAAATACTATTGATGCAAATTAGTGCTCGTTATTTTACCTCTCATGTGAGATAGCACAAGATTAATTACTTTAAAAATAATTTATTAACTACCCCCGAAGATACATCAAAGAGTATAAATAATCTTGTGTTTTTGCAGAAGGGAGCTAAAAAAATATTTTTGCTGTCATCACCTTTTGCTTTATTGGAGAGACCTTTTGCTTTATTGGAAAGCCCTCCTTTGCACTATTCAATTAAGAAAAGTACAAAAAAAGGGGTCAGGCTTTGGCATGCATTATGAAATCTTACTTGTTAACGAAGAATAACTTGCCGTAGTCTGTTCTCTGTTGTCGTAAGAAGACCATCAGTTTACCCATTTTTACGAAATATGTTTGCTTTATGCACACTAAGAAAAAAAAACAACAACTCGATATCTGGTAGCCTTACGTCTTGTATTACTAGTTTTACGTTTTGTAATGGATAATAGTTAGCAACAAAACATGCACTTTGTGTTGAAGAAAACGTTCATGTGATTTTTTTCACTCTGACATACTCTACTGAATGGGAAAACGATGTATAGTTCGTTCACCAGGAGTTGGCACTTGGCTCCGCCTTCATCACGTGGTATCCGACGATAATACTTCGCTATTTTTGGGAGAAGAATGTGAACAATCTTGTACAAGGTTGCTATTTGCCGATCGAATAACAAAAATATTTATTTTGCTATCTTTATCTGCATTTTTTTAACATTAAATATTTCATAAATTTGATGATATTTCCCTCTTTTGAGTGAATATTTTGTCCTTTTTGCGACATTTTGCTGCAATATATTTAATTAAGTAGAGTGACTAAAGGTATAATAGTAGATGATAAAGCGAAATAGGTGACGGAAAAAGAATTCACCGTTTACGTTTGGCTCGCATTAAAGGGTTGTTTCAATTTCAAGCGCGAAGACGGCTCTTCTCTTACTCCCGCTCTGAAATGAACTCTTCCGAGGAGGTGGAGCCAAATGCCAACTCCTGGTGAACGAACTATATATTCCAATTTTTCATCAATGAACGTGCACAAGGGATGACGTCAAACTCGCGCAGTCTTCGTTTATCCTTATAAAAACCCAAAATTACTGCTTACTAAAATTATTGAAAACATCTTTTATAAATAAATTATGGCAATTAATAAGTTATGAATTTTGTTTAAAATTTTGATTATGTTTTAATTATTATGTTACTATTTTGAATGCAAAAGTTTTTAAAGTGACGTCAATCAGAGAAATATATCTGTATTGATATACAGTTTTTTTCCTTTTTTATGTATTGAGTTTAGGTATAAGTCATTGTACATGGAAATATTCATATAGTTGAAATACTTGTTATATAATATAAAAACAATATTTTTTCACTTTTCAAATAAGCTCAAGCAGTGATTATATCGACAAAATATTAATTCAATAGCAGAAGAATGTATGTATTTTTAATAGATATATAGTAATTTTTTCTTAGTACTCATTGAAATCTAGCTTACAGTATTTTTTAAAATTTATGTGTTTCATTTTTCGTCTTTATTTTAATGATTCATGTACAAAAGTATTACATAGATTATTAGAAGGTTACAGATTGAAGAAGTATTAATAGCATATAAATATTTTTTTTGAACTTTGTAAGAAGCAAACTGTAACTATACTTGTAAATAATATCCAATTTGTATGTTTAATGAATACTTGTTGTTTAATGTTGAACTTGTTGTTGAATACTTGTATGTTTAAGAAAGTTATTGTTGTGTTTAATGAATGCATATATATGTATTATAACTAAGAGCAATCCTCCTACTTAGAACAGTAAAAATTGTTCCACGCTATAATCATTCTGTTTAGTAGTTATTTTACTTAAAAAATATTATTTCAAAGGGATTACTATTGATAAATTTAAGAATCAATTTAAAGAATAAACCTTACATTGGAAGCCAGAGAAAAAGGAGAACAATAACTGGAAAAAAGAGAACAATAATTAATAATCATGCTAAGCAATAATCATTTTGTCTAACAGATAATTTATTTAAAGAATATTTATTCAAAACTATTCATAATTTAATTTTAGAGTTATATTAAGTACTGTTTCTTATATTGGTGACCAAAGAACTCTAAAATTAAAAAGAAAAAATGGAATAATAGCTAAGAAAATCATGCTACAATAATTATTCGGTCAAACAGATATTTTATCTTAGGAATATTAAGTCAAAACGCTTACTATCAATAAATGTTTAGTAATCATTCTGTCTAGTCGATATTTTATTCGAAGAATACTAATCCAAAACGATTAATATTAATAAATTTTAGAATTATTTTAAGTGATTAGTCCTACATTGTCATTGGTGGCCAAACAATATAAAAATTTAAAAAGAATGGAACAATAGGTAAAAAGAGCGGGAAGAAAAAATATTTAGAAAAAAAGATACAAAAATTACCTGAACCTGATTCATATTTGTTTCTAGAGTTATTTTTTCGTTAATAAATTTCACAAATCAAGGAAAAAAATTTGAAGGAGACTGGGAAGAAATTTTAAAGGTTTTGATAAATCATTTATGAATGGTAATTATTACTAAATTCATTACAGACTCGTTAAAGATATGTGAATCCAAATTTTAAAAAAAATTCTATTATTTGCAGACGATATTCTACGGACTTATCAGATGACTTTTTAAATAAATATTTATTTTATTATCTAACTTGAATAATTATTTTTTATTTTGTTTGGAAACGTAATATTTAATACCTTTTCTGGCAGGTGGTTTTTATATTTATGAATGCAGATGATTTAATTCCATTTTTAACTGAAGAAGTTTCCTTTTGATTTAAAAGTTGACAACTATTTCATTATAGAATGGCAGCTGATGATTATTTATGAACTCTCTGTTCTGACACGAACTTATTAAGAATATCTCATATTATTAGAATTATCAGATGTGTAAAGACTTACGTATGCTAGTGAATTTTATAAGCACTTTAATATCTCTCTTCCCTATGTTTTTATCCTTTATGCTTATTTGAAAGCTGGAACTTTTAATCAAAATTAAAATGTTTACGTTGTTGTGTTCTACAGTTTTATTTTTAAAACAGTTTAGTGATAGGTAGCGCTAAGCTTCTGAAACCCTGAACATATTTTCAGTTTGCTGCAAAATTCTGGCAAGACTTATTACTGAATTTTTTTATTACGTGATATAGGATTAGGTCTGTTAATCTTAGAGTATAAAAAAATCCTTGGATGGCATTACTCTTTATTTAATATAGAGAATACACCAATTGTGCCAAAAAATTGCTTTTCTTTGTTTAAAATAAGTATATACACCTAATATTTTTGTGTTCTTAATAAACACATTTCTGAAAGGCCATATTTGCTAGCAAAATGAATTATTTAAACGAAAACAACTTAAAAAAATGTTTTCAAAGTTTCAAAATTTGAGATTAATTCATCGAAAGGTTAAGTAGACTATTGTCTTACTAAAATGTTGGAATAATAAATAGTTAGAGTAAAGGAAACTATATCAATCATTTGAAAGATAAAAAAAAACATTTTTGAAGTATAAATAATTTCTATGCTGTGTTTACTTACAGTATGAAGAATAGTGTGTTATGATACTGAAAAACAGTAAGCTCTGATTTTCAAAGCAAAGAAAAGAAATTATCAAACTGAAGACACAATTAGTTTTATTTCTAATGGCTTACAGGGTTTTTATTTACCAAGAATATTTTCATGATATCCCTTGTAATCTTTGTTATTCGAAAAGTACAATCACATAGTTTCAATTAAGCAAATGGACTTTTTTAAGCTGACAAGATAGCACAAGTGTTTTATGAAACATTGGGATAGCAGGATCAAAAGTTAGTTAAATTTAATACAGGTAAAAAAAAATTAGAGTTGGTGAATATGACAAAGATTTGTATTATATTTTTATGTGCGTATTCAAACTTTGACAGGTAAATCAACATTTTAAATTATGTGTTTCATAATAGGAAATTGGTGATATGCGCCCAATTATTATTAAAAATACATTTAAATCAAATGAAAAATTATTAGATATTAATTGTAAACTAAGTATAAAGTTAACTTTTCAGCAATAGATAAAAATATTTAAGTCGAGCATTTTATTATAAGATAAAATGCAGTGTTTTCAACCTTTAAATTATGAAAGGAAACCTTTATTTTTAAAAAATGACTGAAACAGATATTTTTATTACACAATTTGCACAACCGTTCAAGAATATTTTTTAATTGTTTAAATGAAATATATAATTATCAAATTAATATTTGCCCGTTTAAAGTTTCTTTAATAATTAATTTCTTTAATAATAAAGTTAATTTAATCAATTAAATAAATTTTTAATTGAATACTATTGATCAGTTTTTGAAATAATTTTTATAACTCAAATTTTGATTTTTTCAGCATTTCAAATAGATTTAAAAGACATTTTTTATAGTGACTCAGTACAATAATTGTGAATTTAATATTAATATGTACCATAAAATTGCATAATTTGATTATGATTGTTAAATTGCTTTAAAACTTGATAATTTTGCGATTGCTTTGTTTAATTTCATGCAGAATAGGTTACACGTATAAAAGCACAAATACACATATAAATAGTAGTAAGGAAATGCGGTATCTACAATGAAAAATGGAAGAAAATAAAAGTACACACAATACTCAATAATTTCGTCAAATACCATCATTAGCCTTTTAAAAGTGCAAATTTAACTCAATTTAACGAACAGTTAAAGTTTAAAATATAGTACTTAGTAATAACCGTTAATTAAGTAACGCCAACATTTTTAACTATGTAAATGCTTCAAGAATATTTACAAAATATCTATGCTTAATTTCAATCAAGCTGTATCTTTAAAGTTTGTGCCATTGTAAACATAGATTACAACAATAGGATACATTAAGAGCTCAATCCAGTATTTAAAATGAATATAATGCAAAAAAGTAATTTAATCTTACTCAGATGCGTAATTGACTATTTTATTTTGCACTCAAAATGCAAATAAAATGTATTCTCCGATTCGATTTATGTTTTTTATTGCGATGTTTGATGTTTTCTATTGCAGATTCTCATTGTAGTATTAGTACTAGTGTATCAAGAGAAAATCGATGAAAATTTTGAAAAATGTTACACAGGCATTGCAATATGCATAATTATAAAAATATTATGCAGTTTAGTAATGTTGTAAATTGTGTAACCAATTTTTAATAAAAAATTAGCTAACGTGTCTAGAATATAAAACTTTAGTTAAGAATAATTTTTACAAATTAGTGTATTTTAAAAATAATTTAGACATAGCACAAATATTCATTTAAACCTCCAATTGCTCTCTTCTCCAAGCTTATGGTCTTAAAACTATTGATCTATTTAAAAAATCAATGACTATCAAATCAGTTTAGGTGTAAACAGTTATTTCAAATTTTTTTTATGGTTATGAAATTATTGTTAATTTTTTATATTTAAATTCTATTTAATACCTTTTAAAAATGTTCATAAATTTTAAAATTATTTCGAACTATTGATAATTTATTTAGCATAATATAAAACTGGTCATTCATTCTATAAATTTATTGATAAAAGTAATTAAAAAAGAGGCAAAGAATTAAAAACAACTAATTTTAGCTATAAAGTATAGTCATGACTTTAGAGTTCTTTCAATAAGCTTTTTATGCAAACACTATACAAATGTTTTTGGAGAAAAACGTATTGAAAGTTTTTAATTTCGATTTTTGTATTTATGCCGAAGCATATGCAAAATAAGTTCTGATTGGCTGGATTAAGGTATGCCAAAACATATGCAAAATAAGTTCTGATTGGCTGGATTGAGGTCTCTCTGTATATCAATCTCTCGATAATTAACATTTCTATATACATAAAATATGTCTCTCTTTAATGAGTAGTCTCGTAGGTTCCTTGGTCCTTGTAACCTTGTACGTAGCCACCTTCATTGGGTCTGTCTTCGCGACCTTCTTTACCACGTCCCTTACCAGTATCGTCAAATCGAAGTTTGTGGGTACCAGTGTACTTGGTGTGATCAGTTAATCGACTAACTGCAGCCATGGCTGTAGTAGGCTGAAAAAGCAATTACTTAATTAAATTACTTAATTAAAAGAATGAAATTAAGTTAAAGTTATTGCAGCAATCTGCTCGGAAAAAAAGTATTCTCAAAGCTATCAGAATATGGTGAAATTTACCGTATTTCGTCACTATGGGAACACTTTTCAGCTCGGTAATACTTACCGAAGTGTTTATTAAAACTAACAATGAAATATTATTTTATAATACGTGATAAAATTTACTTATTGTGGTAGAATTTGGTTATTTTATCATATTACCTTAGAGCATGGTTTTAAATCATTTATCAGCGAATTTTACTTTTCAGTTTTTTTTTTTTTTTTTTTACTAAATGTGGGGTTCTAAAAACTATAATTGTGAAAACCAGAATTTCCGGTAAGCAGTTATCTACCGTACATTTTGATTTTATTAATCAAAATTATTATTATATTTTTTTTACACCAGAAATGTTTTTACAATTCATTGCGGTTTTTTGTTTTTTGAAGTTATCATTCAATTTAATTCATCATATTTTGTCTATTTAAATTAAAAAATAAATAAACTGGAAATTTATCTAAATGGTCCTTACTTAAAATATTTTCGCATAATGCGTAAAAGTTTATATGTATGCACATAGTGAAAGAAAAAAGGAAAACATATTCTACAATTTAGGCATTCAGACATGAATGAGGAAAACAAACGAAATTTAAAGCAGAAAATGTAAGATTGCCGACGAAAAAATAAAAACTAAATAAAGTTACTTAGAACTAATAGAGTGGAAAACAAACAACTTTACGTTTTCTGTTTCAAATTTCTTTTGTTTTTCTCATTCACGTTTTCTGAGGAAAGGCGGCAATTTTTGAGCGATAGCAACAAGCTGACGTAATCCACGTATGAAGTTTTTAAGCAAATGAAGTTTTTGTATGATCAAGTATATCTTTCCTCTAAGTTTCTTAGGATTATTTATTTAATTCAGTTTTTCTTAAAATTTTGACAAAACTTCTTTCCTATTTGATTTGAGAGTAAATTGACATTATACTGAGCATTTAACTCTGCTGCCGTTTATAAATTTTCAAAAACAAAACATATAGTTAAAAATCATTGGTGTCACGCTTACAGTCATAAAATAATTCTTGTGGGCTTAAAACGAATTTTTAGAACCAATTTGAAAAATGTGAGCCATAAGCATTAATGGTTCCGTGTCTAGCACTTATATGTATGCTTACCGTTGTTTTAGATGTAGCTGGCGGGCCACATGATGCCATTTTCTGCTTCATTTGTGCTATATCCACCTTTTTGTTTTTCGCTAACTTGTCCAGGAATTCTTCATACTCTTTAACGGCCAGTGACTTTTTTGCCCTGACAAAAGATTTATAAGAGAAAGGTTAAAAATTTGGATAGACACCAAACAGTATAAATAGGCATTATTGATTAGGAGTATGCATGGAATTATTCATTGAGCATGCAAAGGTGAAATTTGTTATACACTTAGAACAGTGACATTAGTAGACAACAGCATACATTAATAGGAAATAATGCGTAAAATTAGTTTTTAAACGTAGGATCAATTTAACCATTCCCCTGCTTTCTAAATTTTTTGCTGTGAACTTTGCTAATTTATTACTTTTTGAGATTATATTTTAAAAATATAAAGCTATAAAATAATTTTTTAAAATTTACCATATATACTTAATAATAAGATTTGTTTTGGATGTGAAAAACGAAGAAAAATTTTTCTTAAAAAACGAAATGAGTACATTCAAAATCTAATATATATAATTCTCTTACGTGGCTCCCAAATTTTGGCTGTATTTCTTTTCCGCCGGTGGCAACGTTTGCGTTGTTTTGTTTACGTTACTATTTCTCTTACACGGCGAATCGACCAATGATTGCCGCTAAAAATGAGCTAGTTGAGGTGGCTCAACATATAGCGCTTTTAAAAACGAAAACTGAAATAATCAGAGAGCATCAGCTGCGGCAATCTCATACTATTAAGCTAGGCAGAAGTGAATAGTCTTTGTCGATAGATCTCTATTTTAGTATTTTGTCGAAAGCGCTTTTTTTCACGAATTTATATATGGATTTGAATGATTGTCTTGAATTCTTAGAATTTTGTGCATTTGCAATGTACCTAAGTTAGTAGCGAGCTGAGCGAGCTTGGTTTGCGAAGCAAACCATATAAGATTGCGTAGCAATTTGCGGGGGTTGGCGAGCGTTAGCGAGCAGGGGGCGCAGCCCACTAGTTCAATGAAAAATTGGATTATACAAAGGAAATAAATTTTCCTATAAATGAATGAATAAAATTAATTGACATAAATAAAATGAAATTGAATAAATTTGGGAAAAGATAACTGCTCATAAATGAGAGTTTTTTTCTCTAAAATTAAACTTATAAATATTTTTTTATTTCATTACAAATTAACTTTTTCTATTAATCATTTTTATGCATTTCTGTAACTAATATAGAATTCTGCTACAAATCGCTTTTCGTAGCTTCTCGTAGAATCAAATTAAAAAACATATTCCACTCAAAATACACGGAAATAATACGGTAGTACACAAATAACCAAGTTTGTTTTAACCTATTCTAAACAAAAGTTGAATTTATCACGTTAAAACATTTCGAGAACTTTAAAAGAAAAAAAAGATGGTGTTGCATAGCTCCATTGTATGGTTTCTTCCCATTCTTTTACATTGGAAGTGTAATACCTTTAACCTATATATTAACAGAGCTGAAATAAATCTGTTTAAGCATACTTTTTAATTAAAAGTGAATTTTCTCAATGTCAGAGAAAAAATATTGAGTAAGTAAATACAAAAAAAATGTTTTTTTTATTGTGTCAATTTGCATTTTTAAAAAAAAATATTCTAAACAAAGATAACAATTTTATTCATAGTGCACTGCAGTTATTCTAAGTTTTATTCATTGGATATTATTCAGTATGCGTCTAAAAATCAATTCAACGTATTTTTTTATGCCAGTTATAGTAAGTTTGAAAAAAACGTCGAATATGTTTTTTCCATTCGTAAAAGTATTTTTTTTTAATCTCTTTATAGAATGACTCAATAAAAAGACTAAATAAAAGAATTCTATAAGAGAGAAAGCATAATAATACTTAGAAGCAAAGAGCAAACACGTTTGGCAAATATCACCCTGTCAGATGTTTCCCTGATACACCCTGTTATTCTTTTTCTTCATTCTAAAATGATTTCTTTTTTCGAATTCACAGTTAAAAATAAGATTTTTGTTAAAAATAATCTATTTTAGGAAACTGATATTCCAAATTTTGAAGAACAACTTAGAATTAAATGTATATCGTTACGATAAAGTAAAGCTTAGACCAATCTTATTATTAATTTAAAAAAACGTTTTAAAACTTACATAAATGATACAATTAATACATAATGATATATANTATATATATATAATGACATGATAAATGATACACTATGTTTCTAAAATGTATATATTACAGTTATTTTTTATTACTATTTTAGATTTCTATTTTTAATGCATATATTGTTTTGAATTTTTTACATTTTTGTACCATCCTAATAAGCTAAAAAACATCGATGATTTAAAAATAAATTAAATCTGAAAAATGATGTTTTAAGTTTTATTATACATGGGAAAATAGTCGGTTTCATTATTCGAATATTTTGGATTATTTTGAATAAAAATACTATACTTTAATATATCTCCTGTTTTTTTAAAGAATTTCTGAATTTAAAATTTAGCATTTGTCAATTTTAATATTTTTTTAATTAAGAAAATAAATCAAAAATTGTTTCTCAAATTTCTTGAAATTAAATTAAAGCAAAATAATAAAATAATATGCATTTAAAATTTCATGTAGTTGTCCTTGATATGTTTTGGGATATAATGTTTTAAAATTTACAANAAAAAAAAAAAAAAAAAAAAAAAAAAAAAAAAAAAAAATAGAGATGGCAACATGATCATGAACAAAACAAATCTAATTTTCAGAATCATTAGTAAAATTTTCCCGTTTTTTATCGAGCTAAAAGATACATATTCGAAAGATAACTTATTTTATTAAGTAATAATATAATATGTGTTGAGATAAAGTGTCCTAAAATTTAAAAAAAAAATGGCAACATGATCATGAACAAAAGAATCTTTCTGCGTTTCAGAATCAGCAGGAAAATTTTTCTCGTTTTCATCGAGATAAAAAATAACTATTTGAAAGTTAACTTTTTAGTAAGTAATAAAATAACGGTTATGATGATTTTTAAGATTTTTGTGCCCCTTTTATAACCTAGTCCGGAATTTAGGCGATGACTGATTTTATTCACTGCTAAGCAATATTTTTTATTCATTTATTTCAAAATGACTCACATAATGATCAATTAGTACATACAGTGGCCAATGAATTTAAAACTTCGGAAACTTTATTTTGTCTTGTTTGCAGTGTACGAAGATCTGGTGCAACGTTACGGTCATGGTGGGAGTATCATGATGTGGGACATGCTCTGCTGGTATAGATGTGGTGCTTCGATGTTTCTAGAGAGTAAACAATAAGCCATACAACACTTGCACTATAAAATATGATTCTCAAATATCACGAAAATTTCTTCATTTTTGACGAAACCATCGGTTGATATATGCTCCGAGTAAAAATTTCACCAAAGTGACGAAATAACTATCGTCACTTCTACGAGAAAACGAATTTCGCCAAAATTCAAGAAATATTTCATCATTTCATTTGTTTCCCACAAAAAAAAGAAGAAAAACTAGTAGTACCTAATGCATCTAACTTTTCTAATAATCAATTTAACATTGGCACCGCATAAGAAGGGTAGATAGAACCCAGAGATAAATTACAATAATAACCGAAGCGGAATTCAAACCACGGATCTTCTTAGTATGAAGCCAACTCCTTGACCACCATAGAGGAAAGCAAACTTTATTTTCAATCTTTAGTCCAGCTTCGTAATTCTAGTTAACAATCTCCCACTACTATGAGGTTTTGACTTGAGGAAACATTTTCGTCATATATTTGAGAGTCAGTGTTTTGTCACAAATCGCGTGATTTCGTGACGAAATGATTCTCAAACTTAACGAAATACTGCTCAAGGATTTCTGAATCGTCATAAGTGAGAGTTATATTTCTGAGAGTGTGGACACATTAGCTAAACAAGTTCATCCCACAATGTTAAATTCCCCCCCCCCGAAGGTGCGGATACGTCATGGATGATTAGTTCATCAAGCTATAAGTGCACAAAATTGGTTCTATGAACATCAATCTGACTCCAACATAGACCTGAAAATTTAAATTTTTTGTTAGTGGCCGGTAGACTCAAATAACTTAGTAGTCGCTTTTTCCTCAAACCTATTGAGTCTGTGACCGCTATTGAAGAGGGCATTTTTTTTTATTTAATAGCCACTTTTTATTTGCTTGGATAAAATTATATTTTTCTTAAAATCATATTAGAAATAATATACTGCCATAAAAAGTTAATTCAGCAATGAAAATAATATAAATATAAGACAAAATTTAGTTAAACATGCTGACTTTAAAGAACTTTATTTAAAAATATTTAGGGAGGTGAAATACACTTAATGTAGACATTACAACTTGGAATTATGTGAATTATTAAAGAGTTCTTCTTTCACATGAATCTTTCCATCACAAATCGATGGATTCTGAAGTATCAACATTTTGAATGGAGACATCGGACAGTTTAGTGAAAATTCTTTTCACTAAACTGAGAGCTTTTCAGCATTGACTTATTTCTATCATTAAACAATTTGAAAAAAGATTATAAAAAAGTGAAAAATGATTTATTTAATTTAAGTCGACTTTTTTTTCGTTCACTCGCCACGTGGCGAGTAATTATTTTCAGGCCTATTCCAACACCTTTCTTGGCCAACGCAAAATCCAGATTTTAGCCTAATAATAAATGTTTGGGATATGTTGGAAATACTCATTCAACAGCTGTCTTCTCTTCTATCTTAATTTACAGGATCTTAAACTCTGTGTAGCAAATGAATGGCATTCTTTTAACTTAAGGGCACTCCAGAAACTTGTAGAATCAATGCCCTGACGAATACGGACTGTTATCAGGACAGAAGGAAGTCAGAAAAAAGAAGATTTCTAATTCATTGGCCAGTGTGTGCATTTCTGATTAGGTAGACTTATATTTTAAATTATTTTTGTGTTTTCTGTTTAAAAATAAATAAATCAAAATTAAAATTTTTCTAAAAAATTTATTGATTTTTAAAACATTATTAACTAATTTATAAATACTAAAATTTCGAGAATTTTAGTATTTTTTTGCAATACATATTTACTTTAGTCATCGATTTAATATCCTCTTTAACTTGTTATCCATATCTG